CACTAAATATTAGGGATGTCAACGAATAGTCGACTATTCGACTATCAGTCGAATGGACCGACGATCGAATAATGAAACAACATTCGAATATTATTATTAGATAAATGCAATACAAGAGTGATAACGAGATGGAATTCGTATAATCATGCTATCTATATATGTATGCATTAATTTTGATGTTACTTCTGTGTAGACTTAACTAAAAGGTTTTTAGAGTTATAAATACGTCATGTATCAGCGAAGTTTGAAATAAAATTTCATTTTCATAAAATTTTCCGAATATTTGACTATCGTTCGAATAATGCAATAAAATAATCGACTAAAGAAAATAATTATTATGACATCCCTACTAAATTGTCAAAGTGTTCGATGTTTGAGTGATCGAATAGGTGATATCGCATACCGATAGTACTATTACGTGTGCTATATCATTTTTGCAAGTACTTCATACTGGAATTATAGAAACGGTCACTAAAAATATATGGCAGCGGTGGGATTCGAACCCACGCCTCCGAGGAGACTGGTGCCTTAAACCAGCGCCTTAGACCGCTCGGCCACGCTACCACATGCGAAGTGGCTTTCTGAGTGGTTTATATTAGCTAATTTTATGAGCGAAGTCGTACACATTCTCAGCAGTGCACTCTAAAGTCGCACATTCTTATTTATGTTGATTTGTGATCACTTAACATGATAATGACCATACTGTACAACGATAAATCATCTGTAATTGTTTAGCAACATGTCATTACACATAACACACTTTTCAAACACTTTTTCACGATAAGCATTAGTCTGATTTACTGACAAATGGGTGACGGTTAACTATGTCACAAAAATTTATAAACTATATCAAATATATTTAGTATCAGATGGCAGACAGAAGATACTTCTCTTTTTTGTCTCGCCACATGCAGGTGTTTGCACTCTTTACAAAACACATTCGTCAAGAAGATATAAAATGACGTACACTGCAGGATTCCAAGATGATAACTTCGCATTCAGTCATTCTACGATAAATGGACCAATTCAGAGTAAAAAACATGAAAAAAATGATTGTTTCAAATAGCAAAATGAACATCATAATTCTCTAAAGGACCTATCAGTGAACTTGAAAACAAAGAATTGTCCACAAATCTGGCATCATTAACTTTTTGCAACAATTTCAAGATACCATTGATTTTAAGGTAATGTTACGGAAGTTAATGCTTGATCAAGCCTTATTATTTTTTAAATAAAGCTGAATTTGACCAATTTTTCGTTTCTGATGTTCAGTAAAGAACGCTTAAGTATGATTCATGAAGTCTCGCATGAATCCGAATTTAAATTAAATTTTCGGGAAAAATATCGTTACGGAAGTTAATCGTTACGGAAGTTAATTCCCAGCAATAAAAGTTAAAATTCTCTTCAATAATTAAAATCAAAGTTTGTTTTAGGATATTAAACAAAAGTATGAAGAATTTCGCTCCCAAAATAATCAAAAATTTTATACCTTAAATGCAAAAACTTTCCTGAATTACCGTTACGGAAGTTAAATTTTTAAGAGAGACAACTGTTTTTGCCTAATTCATTTTGTTATGTCGAAAATGTAATCGTGTAAAATAGCTGAATCGCAAGTAGAATCGATGATATAAGGTTCCGTGGTCACTTTCAGATAAATTTCAGTTCTTTTTGAAATATGCATTTTATGCATGAAATTTAAAACAAAATCGTTACGGAAGTTAATCGATTTTAAGCGACATGCTTATAAATTCGCATGAAAGGAGATCTATGCATTTCTTTGCGAGAAGTGGTTTGATTTCTTTTTATATAGAATAAAAGACATTTTTTAACATTCATTGCACTCTATTCGGAACGATTTTACGGCTGAAAACTTCATCTTGAAATTTGTATATAAATGAAGCGACATTAAGATTTGCAGTGGAATACGTTTTTCAACATTATAATATGTTCATATTAAAACTTTAACTGCATATATATCGGTGAATATTTACAAAACCATGTGTGTATTTTAAGTCTTAGAGTTGAAATCGACCTTTAAATTTATAATTAAGATATTACAACGGTAAATTTGCAAGCGACATAAAAAATTCTTAATCGGTCATGTTTTTGTAGAATGACTGTTTATCCATAAGAAGTATTCGAGTATTTGAACTGATTTTTGTGTATTCACTAAATTGTCATTGAATATCACATATTTTTAGCTCTACTGGTCAGAAACTAGAACTTGTACGATAGTAAGGTGTCCGTCGTCCGACCAGCTGTCTGTGTCCGTCTGTCTAGCTGTCTGTTCAAGGACTGCTCCTCCAACAGTTTTGGTCTGATTCCAATAAAACTTTGTATATATACAAGTAGAGTAATATACATAATTCTATTTCAGTTTTTAATTTGGATGAATGGTGTCGCCATGCTTACTAAACACAGAAAAAATCTGTGAAATTGATTTGAAACGCTTCTTTTCCTACAGTTTAGGTCTGATTGCCTTAAAACTTTCTACAGAAGAAGACTATATTACTAAGATACATAATTCTGTGTGTCGATTTTTGATATCGATGAGTAGTGTCATCATGGTTACTCAAAATAATAACATTAGTGAAATTCTTTAGAAATGCTACTTCTACAGTTTTAGTCATTTTTCAAGAAAACTAGGTTCACAAGTAGACTATACACTTAAGCTTAAATAGATAATTATGTGAATACGTTTTATTTCCATTAGTGAACTCTTCAAAATTAGAGGCGCGTTTGGTCGTCTGACTGGGACAGCTTGGCGTTGCGGATAATACAAAACATGCCAATCTCAATCCAATTTTAAATGTTAAATGTATTTGTCATTCCAATTAAAGAATAGAAGAACTAAAAGACATATCTAAGGGAGCAAGAACCCTAAATTTATCATCCATTTATAAAAAAAATACGACATTTCCGAGACATGTGCATTGTATGTAGATGTACCATAAGATAAATAGATACATACGTCAACAATAGATATAATTTGATATCGTTGTCATTCCTACTCTTGATGTATATAAAGTCCACAACAATAAAATATTTCATTTGCATTTTCTTAGGAATTGTTCATCGACATTCAACATATTGTTTACATGTTTATGTTACGTTTGTCCCAGAAATCTCGCGAGATTTGTACGTTTTCCGACTTTTTCACAAAAGAGCGCACTAAGAAGTATAACTCTTCCATAGTGGAAATAGAACGTAATTTGAAATTTCAAAACGCCAGAGCAACAGTCTCGTCCTGTGGAGACTTCTGGGGTTTTTTTTTCATTATCTAGGAGAGTACTGAAGAAAGATTGTAAATAGCTTGACAGAAAGAAGAATAAAATATACTTATCGCTAAAAAAAATTATAAATGAAAAAAATAAAATAAATAAATAAGAAAATAAATGAATAAAATGAATAAATAGTTGTATCTTTTAATAATGAATACCAGAAGGATGTCTTCTGCCCCACTTTAAGATCTTTCATTTGATTCTACGATTTTTATATACACGTTTATGCCTTACTGTGTTCAACGAAGCTGTCCCTATTCGGAAGACAGTTTGCTAACTTCGGTCGAAAATCTGCCAGACAATTCCAAGTTATGACTTCCCGCACTTTGTAACTATGCAGATTTAATTGGAAAGGAATGAAAGGAGAAAAAATTATGACCAGGACCACTGCATTACCAATCAGGTATTCTAAACACTGATTTGCCCATGCAGGCCGATATCAATGGCCCATATAGTCCAAGCCAATACACATAATAACGTGCACATGACATAATATCTCGTGCGAACGAGAAAACATTTTCCAACTGTTACACTGTTACAGTTTTAGTCCAAATTCAGTAAGATTTGATACACAAGTAGAATATAATAAGATACATTCTCTTAATTGGTCATTGATTTTGACAAACGATGTTGCCATGGTTACTAAAAATAGAAATTTCTATGGAATTCTTTCAAAACTCTTTTCCATTTAGAGGTTTGGTCCTATTTGAATACGACTAAGTGCACAAGTAGATTATACTAAGATATATAATTCTTTATATTTGTTTTTGATTTGGACAAATGGTGTTGCCATGATTACTTAAAATATATATATTTTTAATTCTTTCAAAATTCAGTTTTGGTCTGAAAAGATTTTTTACACAAGTAAGCTATATTAAATACATCTTACTACGTTATGTTATGTTTTTACTATGTTATGTAAAAATTGGAATTTTTGGAGATTTTTCAGCGACTTTAATTCCAGTAGACTGTTCACAATATATATGTATGAAACTTTTTTTCTGAGTGTACTATTTTAGGTTTCATCTACATACATGTTCTCTCATTTGTTGAATTTGCAGAAAGAGGGATTAATATAAGCCTCATGGCTTGTTTCCCAATTCTATTGTATTTATTACTAGTGTATTTGTACCTTTGTCAATTTCGTCAATAAAATATTGTTTAAACGAAATACATCTTTATTAAAAGTGTGTAGAGCTACAGTCTCGTCAGAGACTTCTGGATTTAACCTTGTAATACTTTTTTATTTCATTCGTGCATATGATGTGTGCACAATTTTACTTCCCGTTTGCAATTTTAGCCTCCCACCGTGCTTTTATGGACACCTCTGTTTCACCTTGTCAACGTACAATAAATCAAATCTTCCGTCAGTTTTAAACACCTACTTCGATCGCCCTTCTACTGGATTCTATGTGTCCGTAATCACTCATTCTTTGACAGAGAGTCTGGATTAATGCTTTGAAGAGCAAATTTTGCTGCTAGATACGTTTTGCCTATTTTTGATATAAATGATTCATCGTTCTTTCAAAAAATAGTGTTTCTTTATTAACCATCACTGTCATGGGTTATACTCAGCTTGTAGTGAACGTGTGTATCACACGATATTAAATGAATAATGTGATAAATGGTAACCTACATTTACATGCTATCCACATAATTTGAACTATTCTGCATTTTACAATAATGCTAGCCTTTAATTAAAAACTGAGAAGAATGAAACATGAATTATATATTTTAATATCTTCCAAGACCAACAAATATTAGTAAAATTCGGTAGAAATAAGGCATCCAAAACTGCCTTCAATAACTTTAACCTTGAATCCCCAAAGCTCAACCTTTTCCAGTGCGCTTTCCTCTTCGGAAAACCCGGAAGACATTCAGCAAATCAGGATCATTATCCATGACACTAATTGTGCGCTCCTTTAGACGCGATGAACTTTCAACCTCAACGAAAGGATTTATGTTTATTGCACTTTCTCTTACTTTGAAGACGAAGCCAACATCAATTTTAGCCGGCGCTCTTGGAGATGGTTTCTTCTTTAGCAAATCTTGTATAAAAAATTCATTTACAGAACAGACAGTTGGTTGAAAGATGAAAAGTTAAGGAATTAATGCTAAAATATTATGCATTTACTATATTTATACTTAGTTAATCGTGTTCGTAATATACTCCAAATGCAGGCCATCGTTTATGTTTGTATGCAAACATAAATTACCTATCAGTATTTCTGTGTCATAGAAAATCGTGTTTTGACGGTACGGTAATTGATGTTTGACGCACTGATTTTTTACACCAACATAGATCCAGTTAAAATAAAGGAGATGATTATCATGTTGTAAATTTTGAATCACTTTGTGGATGTAAATGCAAGTGTGTGTGTGTGTTTAAGGGGGGGGGGGGGTAAAGCACAAATTACCACTGTATGCAGTAGTCATTCCACTAAATGCCGGTGTGTATCTTTTTTCGTAAAGTCTGGCGATGGAAATCTTCTCTTTTTCCGTATTTTGGGTGGTTTGGTTGGACGCCTCAGGAGATGGTACTTTCCTGCAATTAATTGCCAACAGGATTCCATTATTTGGATCTGAGGGTCCAGATTGATTAGGATTCTTATGAAGACGGTCCTTATTCTTACACATGGAAGTACCCATTGCCTCTAAAATTAACAACTATAGATACATTGATTTGAATTAAATTTTTTTTCATTAAATTATTTATTTAATTAATTTTTTTTCATTAAAAAATGTTAATCTATATATTCAGATTTCACAGATCTATGTTTATTCCTATATATATTGTTTTATATTAATTCTTTCTTCTATTAACATGATACTTAATGATTACATGTTTAGAACACGTAACAAATGCATACATGTAATCATGTGATCAATGCGTATCAAATTTTGGAAATAAGTACAGTAACAGATGTATTCACATACGGAAAATACCCCTGTTTCTTCCTAACCTTTTCTTGTTTGTTAGCTTTTGTGCCAAAGAAACGTTTAATTTTACTTTAATATCATCTATAGGACTTGAACCCTTTTTTAGGTTACCTGACCCGAAGGCTCAAGTTAGTTGCAGAAATGTAGCTCTCTGGTTGAGAAAATTCGTATAGACAAACCAGAGAGCTACAGATCCAAGCGTTGTAAATTCTTCGAATTAAGGTGACGCCTTTTTTGTCGCTCGTTTCGGGTATTATTTCTTGTATTATATGCGTTCCCCCGTTTAAAGCATGGTTTCCGTTAATTACCCATACATTATGCTCATATTCCTGATATTTTACCTTTCAGAGCGTTATTCTAGCAAGACCCCAACGTGGACGTAGGAATGAGAATTTTTCAAGCTGACATTCGAAGGCTATATAGACCTGTTTGGAACGTTTACTTACTTAACGGAAACCATGATTTAAACGGGGGAACGCATATAATACAAGAAATAATAATTATTTATGTGAAGGCTTCCTGACATAGGATAGATTCAAATTTGTTCAAACGACCCCAGGGGTAGAATGGGGCCACTATGGTCAAAGTTTTACATGGGTATATAGTGGGAAAATATATAAAAATCTTCTCCTCAAGAACAACAAAACCATGATCAATCATATCTATAGATTTACATTTCCAAATATTTTTCTTTAAGATTCCTTCAAATTAGAAAAAGTTCATGTTCTCGTGAACTTCCGTGCGATGAGTCAGAATATTTCCATTGTAACCTAATTGAAGTCCAAAAAAAAAAAAAAAAAAAAAAATAGTGCAAACTTTTTTTTCAAAGATGATCGTTGATTGACAAAACTATTTGGCAAATTATCAGAGAATAATGTAAATATAAGGAATGAAATTAATTTTTGAGAATTTGTGAGGTACATGATCTACAACGCTTCACGCCTGCATATGTATAATGAAGATGCATCGTGAAATATGCCGGCCTGAAGAGTCGTAGATAAAATTCATTACTTGAATAGAAGCAACAACAGTTGTTGTAGATTTATGTTTGTTCAAAACATGACCCCCAGGGTAGGTGGGGCCCTATAGGCGATCAAAGTTTTACACAGGAAAACATCTATATTACGAAGAAAAATCTTTTAAAAAATCTTTTTCATATATATATATATATATATATATATATATATATATATATATATATATATATATATATATATATGGAAGCATCTTAGGGTAGTTTAGATTGAAAATTGTTCAAATCATGACCACCGGGGGTAGGGTGAGGCCACTATGGTCTTTCAAAGTTTTACATAAGAAATGTCTCTAAAAAAATCTCCTTTTCAAGAACAGGAAAGCCATGTTAAGTCATATTTATATGGAAGCATCCGTAGGTATACAAGTTTGTTCAAACCATAACCCCTGGGGGTAGGGTAAGGCTACCATGAGTGATCAAAGTTTTACATAGGTATCTGTAAGAGAAAAGAACAAGAGGTACCATCGTTAATCAGGTGAGCGTTATAACCCAAGGGCCTCTGGTTGCTCTTGGGAAACCCCCTCCCCGTCTTTTATTTCCATTAGCCATATGACTAAAATATTAAAAGAAAAGGACTTACTTGAATTTACTCCCTATTATTTTCTTTATGTTCTTGAAATTTCAGCCAAAAACACCGTTTTATGTGACGTAGTGCAACATCACAGTCGACTCCCAGATGTGACGTCACAATTAGAAGCAAAGAAGCCTTCACCCCCGTTTTCTATTCAAAAGCATTCACGACGCTTCTACTAGCATACAAATTATCATCTAAATTACAAAAATATTAATGATGTAAAATAGCTTAAAGATTAAGATTTCATTTTTATCTCATTCTCTTTTTTTATATGGGGGAAAATCCTATATTTCGTTTACAACTTCCCTGACATTTTTGGGATAAACTCGAAATTAAAACACCTCCAAATAATAGAGCATCAAACATAAGAGGTTTTTTTTTTTTTTTTTTTTTTTTTTACAAAATTGCATAGAAGATTCTTATTAATGGTAAAGTTATACCTTTTCTTTCATTTTTCTATATAAACTTTGGAGACGAAAACAGACAGAGGTACATGTACAATATACTAGCTAGGTCTCGAGTGTTTGCAAACAGACATTTTTTGTAAACCATTTCTATTTTCGGTCACCTAGTGAAAATGAAAAAAAAAAGAGTTCTCCCGACCAATGATTGCTTATTTGAAATCCTGTTTTTCTATGATGCTAAAATGCCCACTGGATTTTAAAAAAGACAATTCTTTCAGATACACATTAAAAACCGCAGAAAAAAGTTTACATGATCGTGAATATAAACGAATGCAGTACTGATATAGCAAGTAATCTATCGAAACTAACAGAGAAGACACACTTCTCTTTTTTATCAATATATAATTAATGCTGAAAATTTGAATACATGCAGGTGCTGTTGAAATTGTTGGAGCATTGTCCGAGAACTGTTTGAATTGATATTGCCCAGCTACAGTCTAATGTGCAGATTCTCATATTTCTGTGGTCACGCGGGGGATTCAGATTGGGTACCAGAAATAAAGTATTCATGTAAAGGGAATTACTACTACTGTCTTTAATGATTCATTTTCTGAAAAATGGAGCAGATTTCCCTATTCTTAATTTATTTGTTCTGTAATAAACCTGTAAAGTGTGTGAAATTATTTAGATAGATAATTGCTTTGATTCTGGCGTACACAGTTTTTTGGCGTATTTAAAAAAAATTGTTAAGCGCTCCCCTGTTAAAATGCCACCCTTGCTTACCGTTAAAAAAATTCCTTGCTGTATATATACCCGTTTTAATACCATTTCCCCGCCTATCGCCATCCGCCAACGTATTATGGGTGCAAATTTGTCTATTACCGTTGCCCCCCCCACCCCCCACCCCCCGATATTTTTCCTGAAAATTGGATTGGTATAGGTCTTTGTTATATTATAACATTAAATGACAAACGTTTACATCAGAAATCAGAATATATATTTACATCCATCTGAAAAAATATTCAAATGTTGAAAACTGATTTACATTAATCACTGAGTGTGTCATTCTAATCCTTAAATTGTCGGTTGTCTACGGTAGTTGATATTTGGAATCTTTTGTTATTGTTTGATAATAATGATAATAAAAACAACCAAAATTCGATAAATAATTTCAAAATTAAACGTGTATCAAAATATAATAATGAGCGCCTATATCTTGTGCTTTCAAGTGCCCATTAGCATTCCCCCGTTTAAATGGGCTTGGTGTAAAATATGGAGGATGGCGTCAGCAAAAATGGAAAGTCACAGAGTGCAAGGGGTGGAGTCTCTCTTGTCAATTTCACCACCTTTGCCTATTTTATCTTTCATTCAGTTTAAGACCTTTAAACCTAATTAAATCTGTCAATACTTCATGTGTTACTGTGGGATAGCAGCGTGGGACATAAATCTTACCGAAGTTTATATGTTTCCGTTGCACACAGCATCTGTTATTTAACAAAATATAAATCAAAAGCACAAGATGTATGCCTCCTTCTGTTTTTTGATACCTAAAGGTCCTTTTTGGGCTGAATCCCATTTTGTTATTTCTCAATCGTTTCTCGTTCTTAGAGAAAAGAAAATGACAACAAAACGCACTAAAGGATAATTTTGATGCTGTTTTTGTTTCATTCAGTCTCCTTTATCTTCAGACTTTAAATCAAAAACAAAGCTGTTTCCCTGCTGAAATGTGAAGGTCATTAATTGTTTCACTGTTTCCTGTTTCTCGTTAACATACTTCATAAGATATTGTCAAATGGTCTACAAAAAATTGAGTTTCGGGATAAATTAGATCCATTCAGTCAACTTCAGAGGAATTATCTTTTAATTGTTTGGATAATGTGACACTCTAATAAGTTCCCGCGGAAAATTAGAAATTGAGATAACAGTTCTAATTAGCAAGTACTTAGATTGCAACAAGATTCTCCACCTCTTACATCATGACTCAAAAGGCTCCACCCCTTGCACTTATTTTCTGACACTCCGTTATTGAGCCTCAATCCTCCACATTTTACACCAAGTCAAAATGTTAACCCCGTTGTAACGCCAACATTCGGCAAACCTCGGCTGATTCCGTCACCTTCTTCAAGTTAGATGAGGTAAGAATCGGCCGAGGTGTGCCGAATGATAACGCCAAAATTGCCGAGGTACAAAATGTTGGCGGTAAAACAGGAGAACACTTTATATTCTATCATTTTTTTCCATTGAACGAGTTATTAATTATAATATTAATTGAATTTGACGACAACAACAAACAACACATAATCAAACACGTTTGGTATTTTACACTTTGACTTTTACTGTTTACTGACAATCTTAGGACTTGAATTTTGAAAATGATATAACATGTGTAAGATAAGCTCAGTTTTTGTCTAATTCAATTGATTCGATTACAGTAACTTGTATGAGCACTGTTATTGTTCATATAACATTTTCAACGGTGCAGCATTATCATTTACAATTTCCATCAAACAAAAGTTGAAAACTTTGCAGGATCCAAGGTCGGAGTACGAGTATATACTTTGTCTAAATTAGACACTGACATACCACACTAAGATACATGTTAAAAGAATACGAGAGAAAATAAAAGAAAATATGAAGATGTTACTATTTTTTATTCGACGATGGGACATGTACCCTGACAAATATAAATGCCCCAATTAAATATTTTCATGTAAAAACTCGACATCGGTAACTTTCGCAGCCTGCAGATTGTTTTTTTCTGCTGTCGTTTTTTTAAACAGATTTTATTTCAAATAAAAATCTGCAATGTTATTATACTTGTAGGTCGTTGATATGATACACTCTGGAAGAAAGGACGCAGGACAAAGACTTTTCATGTAAGCGGAGCTGAGGGGGGTTCTCACGCTATGTTGAAGAATGCAGCATATCAGTTTCCTCTGAATAGTATTACAAGTTTAACAACTAATATTTAAATTGTTAAACATAAGTTATCTAGCACAATCTCCTCGAATGATCTATCACAATCTCGACGAATGACACAGCCCATGAGTCCTTCAGCAAATAATTCTGTAAGGTGATATGATTCGATATCTAGGTCGTTTATAAATGACTAACTACGTAAAGCGCTATATTATCTAGTCCAGTGGTTCTTTACATGTCTTTCTCTCTGTGTCATATATATATATATATATATAGAGAGAGAGAGAGAGAGAGAGAGAGAAATTCACAATACAAGGATATAATTTAATTTTGTTTGTATTCTAGCCTCTGATTGGTTAATATCCAAAAAGGAACACAAATTATTTCTGTATAACCTGGTTTGGTATGGGGACACACCCCCCTGACAACCAGCTGAATCATCTGTATGCATACAATCCTCTCATTTCCAGTCCTCGGGATTCATGGAAAATTCCAGATTTAATAAATATACCTTTAACTTCAAACAATAATTCGATCTTACCACATGTAAACAAGCTGCTAGGCCTATGTATCAGTTTTTTACCTCCCCTCGCTTCCCATCACTTCCGTTACTTCCGTTACTACGGTTGTATTATTGAGCGGCAAATTTGAAGTAATAAAAAGCAACGAAATTTTACACCCATATTTATTTAATGATTTTAAAATTAAATTATAAGGAATGACTCTAATTCTTGGCCAAATTATTCGAGTATAACCTGGTTTGGGTCAGTTTACGCTGTTTTATAATCCGCTTCGCGGATTATAAAGCGTAAACTGACCCAAACCAGGTTATACTCGAATAATTTGGCCAAGAATTAGAGTCATTCCTAAAATAAACTACTGACGCAACCCTTAGTTGAAATCTCGACCCGCGGAACCTGTATCCTGCATTCCAGACCGCTCGACCAACTAGAAAAGCAATAAAACTTGCATTCGATGGCGATGAAATTCATGCAGCACCGCCGTGCACAACACAATTATAAATATATATATATATATATATATATATATATATATATATATATATATATATATATATATATATATATATATATATATATATATATATATATATATATATATATATATATATATATATATATATATATATATATATATATATATATATATATATATATATATATATATATATATATATATATATATATATATATATATATATATATATATATATATATATATAAAACCAGATATATTCAGCGGGCTAAATCTGTTATAAATAAAATCTCTAACTATATATATATTGTATAGCAAAAATAATAATAAAGGGTAAAAATAAAAATAAAATAACGTCTTATTGTACTATTCAAAGTAAGTTTTTAAAGTTCCAAGCGCGAGGATTTTGTCTGTTTGAATGTTCGATAAAAAATTATAAGTGAAAGGTTAAGATATATTGTGTAAAAATTAGATTGAACTTTAAATCCAATGTGTGAAACTTTTGGGGGCTAAACAAAAATAGTAAAATTGAACAGAAATAATTCTGGGAGAAGGTAAATATTAATTAATTATTGATGTAGGTAGGAAATTATATCCCAAATTTACTGTTTGAAAATAAGGAAGAAGGTTATTATAATTTTTTTTTTTTGTATAATTTTAAACAGTTAAGCGACACCGTGACGCACAAACGGAAATTTTTTTTGCAAAAAAAAAACGTGCAAATTTTATTAAATTCCTGAGAGTACTGGGTTTCAAAAAAAAACACAAGTCCCGAAACCTCAAAGATCCACTTTTTATTTTTGTCTGGCCCAAAACGAAAATATTTCTCCACCTCCTCCTCAATGTACGCGTGCGCATAAAAGAAGAAAAAGTCTCCATGGTCTCAAGTCCCGAGAAATGAATGTCGGTAGACCAAACATTTCAATACAATCTTCAAAAAAGAATAATATGTTGACGGTGCGACCGTTAGGGCGAGCGCAGATACCTGTTCGGTTTCAATTTAGATCCATCTCTTCAAACCGCACGTGACATTTGGTACGTCTAGACGCTGACATCACATGACGTCATATGTACGTTTACATTATGAGCCTAAACAGAGATAATTTTATTTTTTTAAAAGTTTAATTGAGATATTTAGCTGCAATTCGCAAACTTTTTAAGAATTGTGGGTCCAGTGCTTACTGCGGAAAATTCGTTTGGATCAATGTGCGAAGTCCGCATTTTCTTTTCGCCCAGGCGAGAAGAGCGAAGACCTCGCAGTGACGAGCGGCGCATGGAATATGTAGTAACACAAGGATAAATTGAAAGAAGTGTAAAATTATTGGACAAATTGGGTTGGAAATTAAAATTGAGACAACAATGGGCCTTCGTAGGTTTCTTCAGGTTCCCAAAGACCCCCTGAGTTTGCACATTGAAAACCACTAAGCGTTTCGTCTTTCTTGTTCATCCGATTAGGGTTAATACACACCAAGGTTATATTTTATAAATACCCTTTTAAACTTTGTTTTTAATGGTTATTGAAATTGCTGGAAAAAATGGCGAAAATGTCCATAATTTGTTTTGTTGCTATATTATTAGGAAATGTGCCTATCAGTAATGGAGGTAAGAGGTTTTTTTTAATTAATAATAGAAGAAAAAACATAGGTTATATCCATTAATTCTACAGTTTATAAGTGAAAGAGGCAACCTATAGTAAGATTTAATTTTTTGATTAATTTACTCCACTTCTGACAATTTTAAAAACAGTAATTTTACAAAATGCCAATTATATTATTAACCAGTCAGGGAACCCAGAACGCATTTTGACATCCATAACATTTACAATGTATTTCACTGTTGAAATAGAAATTTTGAGAAATGAAAGTACAAATCATATATTTGTTATCACTTGAAAGTCAAAAATTGCTAGGTACGTGTTTGAGGCCTTGGATTGATTGCATTTGAAGTGTTTGGCATAGCCGATAAATATGCAATTTATTTTAACAATGTTTGCATAGACAGCATAAAAATAGCATTTTGCTTAAATCTACTCTTATATAATTTTACAGTTTCTAAAAATCTTTGCAGATCAGACAGATTCGGCTTTAATACTAACCATAAACGTTTTCTGGTCCAAAAACTTTACAAGGGTATTAAGTTTCTTTTGTTTATATATGTAATTTACTTGGCATTAATGGTTATACATGTATTTTTCTATCGGGTCCATGTGAACAAACTTTTGGATACTCTCTCTCTCTCTCTCTCTATCACACACACACACAAACACACATAAAGATGTACAGTGCAGGCACTTAGCATCTTTTTTGGGGGGTTGGGGGTTGGGGGGGTACACAAAAAAAGGAAATCAAAATTCAAAATTTCCAAACTCGGAAAACCTTTTTCGTGGGGTTGGGGCGGGGATGGAGGAGGGGGATATGTTCCAACTTTTTCCGACAGCAAAATTTTCTGATAATATTACCGTAGGGGGTATTTACCACACTGCAACAAAATGTGGGGGTCTGTCGGAGTTTTCATGCCAAATTAACAGCAAAACATTACTCTTGGGAAAAAGTGAGGGGTAGACTTCCTCCCCATCCCGATACTACATGCACGCACTAATAGAAAATTATTATTCAGCAAGCAATACTTGGTCATACGAAGAGGGATCAGACGGCCCATCCTCTTGGAAATCTAATTATCCCATCTGCGATGATCGGGCCCAGTCTCCCATTGATCTCCCTCCCATCGCCAGCATGACGTATGATAGCCAACTGATGCCATTCCGCCTTCACGATTTCGATAAACCAGGCTCCATGTACAACCTGTCAATGAAAAACAACGGACATACTGGTAAGTTCAACTCCTGTAAAGCTAAATGGATTTTACTTTATTTATGAAATTTAGGGTACAGGCATGTTTTAATTGATCATTTAAGACTGTACGAACCTGGGGCTTAACCCCCCCCCCCTTCGATTATTGTGACAATATAATGTAGTTTCTTTAGTTGAATTAATCATAGATACAATATATTGCATAGATATAGAAAACAAAGTTGAGCCCCGTTAAAGAAAACTTTTGATGACCCATCCCCCCAATTGGGGGTCAAGGAGTTTCTATTCGATTGTGTCCCTCCCAAGGATTTTTTTTTCTACAGACCTTCATTAGTGTAATTTAAGGAAGTTTGATTGTTGAGGTGATTTGTACTTTCTCTTTTTCCTGTCTTGAAAAGTGAAAGTGGATGTGGAAGATAATGCCTCTGTGATGATTTCTGGTGGAGGATTGGTTCACTCCACGTATAAAGTGGCACAGTTCCACTTCCACTGGGGTAGTAACAACACTAAAGGCTCGGAGCATACATACAACGGGATTTCTTATCCAATGGAGGTACATTTAGAACTGTGATGTGCATTATGAATTTTTATGTCACTAAGTAACCTAGAACCAGAGCAGCACTTTTATAAAATATGAAACAAACGTTTCTATTTTTAGCTTCACATTGTGACGTACGACAGTCGTTATAATAACATAAATGAAGCCGCTGACAAGCACACAGGACTGGCCGTCCTTGGTTTCTTCTTCGAAGTAAATAACTTAGAAACTTTGTTACATGTCAAGAAAACTTATGCAATTTATTTTGTACCTTTGTACTATTACTGCATATTATTTATATATCTGTTTGCGTATTACCTGAAAAATTAGCGGATGTTTTATCTAACTGCAACTATTAATGGTTGGTCATTGATGACATTGATTTTTTTTTATAGATAAATGACGATACCAACTGTAACTATTCTCCGTTAGTGGATGCCATGACGAATGTGGAAGTTAACAATGGTATGTTTTACCTTCATGATAGTGTATTCATAGATTTAAACATATTTATAAAACAAAAATTATTTATTTCTATTTACTTCCCTTAAATTAATTGTAACATATATGCAGGGAACAGTTTCAAATTTCCTGGTTTTAAGCTGCGGCATCTGATGCCAATGATGTTCGGACAATACTTCCGGTACGAAGGCAGTTTAACCACGCCCCCTTGCTATCAATCAGTACAGTGGACTGTATTTTGGAAAAAGATCCCCATCTCTTCTGCTCAGGTAATCAAATGAATGAAATTAAGTAGATTTTTCCAATCACTGAAAGTCGGCACAAAGAACTACATGTAGAAACATAGCTAATATCATGATGAAATGAGAAATTAGCATGATAGATAACAAATATCTGTCTGTAAAGAAGCTATTCATAAGTACACTTTATTTTTTGTTATACGTTACATTGCAGATGGAGAAGTTCAGAAAGTTATATACAGATTCCAGCAAAGCTCACTCTTTGTCCAATAACTACAGACCTATACAGGCTCTGAATGGCCGAACAATTAGGACAAACATGAAACTTCCGGAGACTACTTCCGGTTCATCAAATGTGTTCAACAACATTTTGTCATTCATTCTTGTATCAATATTAGTGTTCAAGTATTTGTTTTAACTTTATTGTTGATATGTGAGAAATGTTTTCAAAGTTCTTATAACAGTGTTCGTGTTCGGCTGCAATATATAGGTCACTTAAAGACATCATTTACGAAAAATAATCACTTAACATCTTGTAAAGTTTTCGAGTAAGTTTAGGACAAGAATGAGGTCTTAACTTCTAGATCGCATTCACTGATGATAAAATCAAACTAGGGCAAATTCAGTTTTTATTAACATAATTATAATAAAGAGGAGTTTAATAATCATTATGATGCCCTAGATACATATATTATCAATTTAACGAGGAGTGTTACTATAGGCTAGATTACATTAACGCAAGTGTTCTTTAACACGCCAGTAATGTATACAAATTGATTCAATTCAAAAAATACAAAACTAATAAAAGAATAATATTTTTTTAAGATCATTGAAATGGATGCCTGTGATATTTGACTAAATTTTGACAAGAATAGTGTTTATGACAAAGATGCTAAGTTGCGGGCAGCTAAGGTATTTTATCTTATATTTTATCAGTTTATAGAGTTTTCTATCTTTAGGATGATTTTAGAAGATTATTTTTGAGTCAGTTCTCCCCAAGATACGCCTAATATGTATATCAGCAATTGTAAACATAGCTGTACTGTTTTTTTTTTTTTAAAGTAAATTATAAAATTCAATACTGTAATTCAGGAAATGTGTGATGAAACACTATTATTTATAATGATATATGAATTTTGCAAACTTATTTTTTATTTTGTTTTTTTATATTATTGACTTAAGATATAGAGGGTACATTGCATAATAATATGCTCCTTCTACATTTATTTGATAAAAAGCATACATTTTCAGTGTTTTGTTGTTGTTGTTTTTTGTTTTTTTTTTTTTGTAAAATATCTTTGTATTATGAGTTGCCTAAAGTAACAACGTGATTTCCAGAATATCCGCCCCAATTAGGTTTTTAATGGTTTTATTCCATAAAATGAAAAAAATGCAATTTGGTTCTCAGCTCCAACGTACCAGTCAGTCACCAACCTGTTAAAAAGGAAGGGAATACACTTCACTTACAATATTCATTAATAGAAACAGAACTCAGTCTTTATAAATAATGTAAAATTACTGTACATTCATCCTATTTGTAATTTTAGCATGGCTTCGCTAATTGTTATACTACAACAATTAACGATTCATTGATACTCCTCCTTTTCCCCCAACTTTCAGCGAAATTCGAAAAATAATCGAGATAAATTTTAATGCCATGTGCTAATTTCGTGTTCAGTCTATGTGCAATTTTGTAACTTGCGTGAATAGAAATAAACCAACCTTGAAGGACAAAAGGTTGTCTGCATACAATACATGTAATGATCCTGCAGTGGTTTATTTATCTGCGAAGGAATGTTTCCTTTGTGTCCTTTGTGTTTCGAGACAGTAAATGCAATTATGGGTCAGTTTAAACTTTAAAGGGACCTAGACATAGATTTGAAGTTAATATTTTCTCAAATTTTCAGTATAATATAATGACATATGTTGCAATAGCATTTCACACGGAAATATAATAAAAGCGTGTTCAGAAACTTGTTTTATATGGAAAGTATTGAAACTGCCGATTTCGGGACGCGTTTATAATTGACACATCCTTGCACTTTCACAAAGTAAACTTTATCCTTAATACTTAAGAAAAGTAGAAATTTTGTTGCGTATTAATGAAAAATATTAAAACTATAATCCAGAAAATTCAGAGTAGAAATATGAGAAAGCAAAATCAACTCACCGGTAATTGTCAGTCCATGCTGCAGAGTTTAACAATTTGAACACACCCGCTGAAACGTAAACATTAACAAATTGAGCTCGTGCCCTGTTTACGAAAACAGATATTTGACGTGATGTTCAGAAGACTGTTGTTGTCATTGATTTCTAAGAATATTCATGTAAGTTCAATTTAAAATGTAAACAATGCAACTGTATCCAGGCCCCTTAAAGTACCTTAATGAGTCCCTTCATCTGTATGTCAATTTGTCCCACTTAGTTTTTTTCTAAACACTTGCCGATATTGAGCTCATTTTTGGAAACTATGTGAGTGTACCTTAAAAAGTTACAGATCAAGTTTGGATATCGTTCTAATTCTATGATTTTTGACTGAATTAGGGCCTTTTCTAATTTTTAAGAGGAGCCAGTCTTCCCACTTGCTTTCCGCACTTTTTTCTCAAAGACTTGCAGATATTGAGCTGATTTTTGGTATGTGAGTGTACCTTAATGAGTTATAGATCAAGTTTGCATTTTGTTCCACGTACTTCAGTAATTTTTACGGAATTATCGCCTTTCTAATTTTTAAAGTGAACCAGAATACACTTGCTGGTACAATCGCTTCTCTTGGGCCTTTCGCAAGCTCGGAAAAACACATCACCGGATGTCAAAATTTTATACAAAATGGAGTCGTTTCCTATTCATCAGAGTATTGGATAGACAAAAATTGATTGTCCCTTTTCGTGGTATATTCTAGATAATATCTTAACATTCAATAAAGTTAAGCCCCAGACTCTGCCGATAAGAGGTCTCCCTACATTTATTTCAATGTTTATGAAAAAGAGGGGGGGGGGGGTCAAGGACTCTCACATAGTGTGATTGCTGTAGCGGACTAATATTGCTTATGCAACACTCTCAGAATGCTTGTTTTATCGATATTTAATTGCAGTCACTGATCATACGGTATTTATCAATGCGCTACTGATGGTTTATTTCAAAGTTTAACTGTATATAGTAAGAAAATATTCATATTCAAGATGCAGTTTTTAATATTGGAACATGGAGAGTTAATTAATACCGTCTAAGATTGTATACTGATTTTGAAAATACATGCATGGTTGCATCTCAAAAAATGTCTGCTGTAAAACCTTGAGCAGTCTTATAAAGCAAAATTTATTTTTGTTTCTTTTTTCTTTTACTTGTAAGTTTCCCAAACTAACGCTTTATATAACTAGGCCTTGCATCTCATACCAGTAACAATTCTTTGCTGCTTGAATATCATCTTATTGTTTAGAATAGAGGTCACCGCAGTTATCCAAAAAATGACATCTGCTTACAATACAGATCTAACAACTGTATATTCGATAACACAGGTCTAACAAATGCAGTATAGCATAACAAAGGGCTTTACAATTACAGGTAACGCAATACAAAAAAAAAATTAGGCCACAAGAACCTCTAAAGGAATTCTCTTAAAGGACATCACATCCCGCTTTACGGACACATAAAATCACTAACTGTTTCTCTCAAACTTCAGAAGGGGCTGTCAGAAATTGCATCAATAAAGGGATAATAACTAATAGTTGTGCGTGTGATATTCAGGTTCAGTTTGCTTTCTAAGTAGTAAATGTATTAAGTCGCAGCCAGGCGATACGTGTAAATTGCTTATTCACCAAGACATTATCGCCGGCGACAGATACGCCTTTCCACACATTGCAATGCATCCTTGCGCCCCTTCAGATTAAAATATTTGGATTTCCTTTTTTATAACAAAATAACCAAATTTCTTGATTCGTTTTTTTTTTTAAACTACCAATTTAACACAGAAAACGAATTTAAGTAGTGGCACCGAACTTATGTAATGTACGTTACGTACGTTAACGTGCATGTATCAGAATTACTGTAAAAATGCGTTTCAGGCACGTAGCATCTGGGAGGGGGGGCTGCCCCGCCCCCTCCCCTACTCTTTCCAAATATAACTTTGTACTATTTTTTTCATTCATATGATTTATTTGTGCTTTCACATATAAATATATCAATTAACAGTCAGTACATGAATTCGTTTCTACTTCCCTATACAAAATGAAAGGAAGTAAATAGAATATATGTATCAACGAATATTCGAGTACTCGACTATCGTTCGATCATACCGACTATCGACTAAATATTTTTTAGTCGGTTATTCGTTAAAAATTTGCTACTTAATAGTTATCTTAAATTTAAGGTTAAAAAATTGGATCTGCTCAGTTCATTTATTAACGTATCAGTGTTCGGTGTTCTCGTGAGTAAAACTCAGGGAAAGGCTTAACCGGTGTTCGTTAATTGTTCAAAGGAATTTACCCCCCTTTTGCCTATGTACCTCATGTTACAATGTTGTTATGGTGCTGGGGGTCAGATTGTGCAATATTTTGCCTAAGATACTCTATATTTGAGTCCCCCTTTCTGACCCCCTTTTTGTTAACTGTGTTTTACTTCTTTTCGTCATTTACTCAATAAATGACGTATTTCACTTCTACATGATATTATTTGTTTTGCCTGCTTTTAACAAAAAACAAGCTCAGTCGTTTAGCAGGAGAACTAAGGAACAGAAAAGGATTTTTTTGTTCCGCAAACATGCATTGACATACTTTAAAAGATCCAAATTGTAAAGTTTCAACCTGCAATTCCTTAAGATCTCGTATAATGCAACTATCAATCAATAAATAATAATTAAACAACTGATAAATACGTATTTGTGAATTGGGGGACAGTTATGAGCATAATTTAAGGGTGTTTCTTTCTGATATTAATATCAATCATAACCCTCTGTATATAGATAAAATGTGCAGTAAATATTATATTTGAAATCCAATATATTGGATACATATATATTTATTACTACGTAGTACTAAATGTTAACGATTCAATAATTCGTTGTATAATGGTTAATGATTGTAGAATGGTAATAGCCTATAGATTAAATATCATATATAGTAAGTGCAGGAGAATGAGTGCGGGTAACATTACTATTGAAAATGTTCATTGAAAGGCCGGTCGTACCTTCTTTTTGTTGGAGTATAGTCAAATAAGGGTAATGTAGTTGTGTATGAAAAAAATTTGGAACTGTACTGTTGGAACCTAACACCCCACCCCACGAAATAGGATTTACATGTTTGGACAATAGTCCTTTTTTCTTGTCCAGTTTTTTCAGGCAAGTTGATTTTTTTTCTGTTTGCCCCCCCCCCCCTTCAAAAACGATGTTACGTCCCTGTATTTTAATGTGTAACCACAAAGTAAATGTACATGAAAATATGTAATAAATCATTTATTGTGACTATAGGAAAGATGTCAGAGGACAGTGAAAAATCACTGGTGCTTACTTAAATGGGGGAATTAAATGCATTTTTTTTTTAATTTTTAATTATTTATATGCATATTAAATTGTCACGGAATTAGAAATCTTTAGTCTGCAGATTGTAAAGGATACCCCAAACTGAACATTCAATTAGTAATATGGATAGAAAGCGATTAAAAGAAGTCGTCAATACACATAGATTTTATTTTGTACAACTATCACCGTGGGAAAGGTACCCTAAAGACATAATAATCATCCCTGTAGTCATGCACGTCCGGCTGAATGAATTTTTACCCCCGAAGATCGGGAGCATCATTTTTTGTTCTGCCTGTCCTTCTGTCTGCTCAGAACTTTATTAAGTAGACTTTTTTAAACAGTACGTAGTGGTTAACCTCTTGAAATCTGACACAACATTCAACTGCCCTCTTAAATGTACTCAGTTCAAAGACCTGTGTTTGTTCATGATGGATGAATTACTACCCTAGAGGGATCGGACAACATCTAGAAGTCTGGAACAGGTCATGGTAATATAATTACCGTGGTTTGGTTGCTCGGTTCGGAACCGGGGACCCCCGATTCAATGCCGCGTCAAGCCTAGTAAATGGACATTTTAGATTTTAGTTTAAAACAGTACTCTCTCTGTCCACAACAAAAGTTTCGTGTTATGTCCAAGAACTATTATTTATAACAAAACTGACCACATTAGGGGACATTTGTGTTTAACAAACATATCTTGTATATTCTACGTGATATTTTGTTTATTTTAATTAACAATTTAATTGATCTCTGTTTGTATGTTTAGCTTTTCCATTAGATTCTATTGTTAAAATATTCGGTGTCTCAGTTGTTATGTTACGGCAGTTGGAGAGCGACAGCAAAGGCCTTCGGAAACCTACTTACGCAATTCCTATTGGTCCGCGAAATTTCGGGATTACGGGCGATCAGTGACGTTTTGATCTTTAAAATACAACGTAAATATTAATATATTAGGCTGAGTCGATGTAGTTCAACTAAATATTTTGATTAATTCTTTTAATAGAATAAAAAATTAAAGGATGTGTTCTTATATACTTGATCAATATAGAGATATATTATTGAAACTATAGTACAAAATATAGGCCCGTGACGTGCGAAATATCACGAGACTTGCCTAAGTGGCAACGCACTTTGAAAAAAATACGCACTTTGAAATTTTTTTCAAAGTGCGTTAAATTTGGGACAAAATCAATGCACTTTGATTTTTTTTTGAAAGTGCGTTAAGAGTGTAGGTCAACATTTTTTTTTACCATGGAGACACTTTACGCACTTTGAAAAATATGAATAAAACAAAAATTCTGGACTTGGATTTTAGTAAAAGACAGCATTATTTTGCTATAATTCTTTCAAAAAAACTATCCTCATCGAGATTGAGGAGAAGACAGGTAGAAGGTCCCTCAGCTCATCTCTTGATTTTTCCTACCCAAATACATGTATTTTCATAACTGGTATCACCTTGATATACTTTCTCTCAGTAAATTTGAGATAACATAAAATAGATGAAAAAATTGAGAAAAGCTTTCCTGAAAAAAAAGTAATAACGCATCCTATTATGTTAAAGAAGAGAGGCTCAGGGACCATATCGCTGATCTAAGCAACAATAGCCAACTGACTCTAATTTGGCCAAAGTAGCTTTACAAAATCATACAATATAAATTTATATATATATATATATATATATATATATATATATATATATATATATATATATATATATATATATATATATATATATATATAAAGAATCTCCCAAGACGTTTAAAATGATTTTATTCGGACTTAAGAGAATTAATAATTCATACTTTTAAAAAACTGATTTCCGAAAAATGTTTGACAAAAAGTGCTAGTAGTACGTTAAGTGCATGTAGGCTAGGACAAGATCACATGTACGACTGAATGTCAACCCATTACTTTTTAAAAAAAAAAAAAAAATTCTAGTAATAAAAGGCTGAAAAAGTAATGAAATACTGACACGGTACTGTATAAGTGTGTTAAAGCTCAGGATGTGGTCAAGAGACAAGATGTCTCTGGCTTTGAGGAATTCATTTTTGACCTCTGGCCTCCAAGTATGCCATTATGTTAACAAGAGGCCCAACTTCGGATTCGATTCGAGTCGTTCTGTCTTACATAAGTTCGCTGTTGTAAGCAAGATTAACGTTCTGGATAGAAAAACGATGATTAAACATCCTTGATCCCATAGATATAAAAATCAACAAAACATTGAAAGCTGAATGAACTTAATGGGCTGTGTCCAAATTCTATATCAAAATACACTGAAATGCTGCGTCAAAAGTAGATATCAAAATACATTCAAATGAATGTTAAAAGATTTCCTCACTACAATGTCACCTTGTAAACTTCAGGATAGGTCGGGCATGAATTCTGGATTTTTTTTTTAAATCTTAAGATTTAATTTACGAAAAAAGCCTTCCAAATAACTTCAGTGCGATAGTTAAGATTTTATGCATTTCTGATTTAAAACCTGTGAAACGCCATGCATAAAATTTAAAGGAGAAATACATGTATAATTATTTTAAACCTCAATATCAACAAAATGAAAGGATATGATTTTTTTAAAATGCAACACGGATAGATAATTTTATTGTTATGCTAAGAAGCAAAAACTTGGAAAACCAAAGAAGATGGGCGAACAAGGCGAGCGAAGTGCCTATAGTGCGACAAACATGAAGGTGAAAATTAAATCTCAATTATAACAAAATTTTCTTCGATATTTCTTCTAACATTAAGATATACTTTATGTAAAATCTCCAAAATTTGGAAAAATCTCACAAAGATTGAAAATATTTGCCTATGAAATAGCATACACGCACTAAAAAGGGCAAAAAGGATCATTTTCTCATATCATAACACAATTTTTCAATATGAGTGGGTCTTTGCTCCATTTTTTTGAAAGTTTATCCTTAAAGTTTGCGTAAAAACGTTCATTTTTTGGTTAACAAAAATATGGAGCAAAGACCCAATACACTTTTATGACACAACATTCGTATCTTTCCGAGAAATACTTGAAGTCCATTTTGTCAAGGGTCATATAACAAACATGATTTAAATGCCGCTATTCACCAAGAGTTGTTGTAGCGTAGTGGTTAGCGCGTTGTGCAGGAAACAGTGCAGGAAAAAACAACACTGCATGTCCCTGTAAACAGAGTGGAGAAAATTTTCCTCAGAAAAGTTTGTTTATCGTTATTTCATAAATTTCAATAATGAGAACTTTACTCTAAATGCTGAATTCACAAATTGAATATGATTTTTATATATCTGAAGCTATAGGCATTCTGCACGCCTTGTTCACCCATCTCCTTATTTTGAATAACAAAATTATTTTTAAAAAATCCTTAGTAAAGGTAAGTATTCTTATATATTGACAAAAAAAGTTAAAAAGTTGATACGATGCCTTTGTTTGTTTTTCTAGGTAACATTTCATCTGCCATGCGCGGATCTAGAGGGGAACCCCCCCCCCCCCCACCCGGCAGGAATTTGCAGAGTTATTAAAAGTATATACTGAAGGAAAGAAAAAACTTACTTTGGACCCCCCTAGAAAACGTGGACTCCACCATCAGCACCACGAAATAGGTGTTTTTCACGTCTGGGAAATGGATTTTACGTGTTTTTTTTTTTTTTTGTTTTTTTTTTGGTTTTGTTTTTTGTTTTGTTTTGTTTTATTTTGCTTGTCAAGGAATCTTTGGGTTGGAATTTTTTTTTGACCGCAATCGACCCCCCCCCCCCGGGAAAATAAATCCTAGATCCGCGCCTGTCTGCACACAAGCAAAAAATATATCAATTAAATAAATAAAGTATAAATAAATAAATAAATAGATAAAATTAAATTAAATTAAATTAAATTAAATTAAATTAAATTAAATTAATTGTACAACTAATTATTTTTAAAGTAAAAGACCAAGGATTTCTTTGAAAGTTTCTTAATATTGAACACATCTTAACTTTACATAGGTACAGTATCTGTTATTGAGTTACGAATCGATTAGGCAATTTCAGCTACAGAGGTTAAAAGGTCATGGTCATCTTTCGAAATAGTATCGGAAACCTCTCGTCAGCCTCATTGTTTACGTGGAAGTGAATCAAATAATTATTCTGATAGGTCAGTAAAAAAGAAATGAAGATGTAGACACAGACAGACCAAATATATTTATTTGATAAAACAGTTTTATAATTATTTTGTTTTGGTTTGTTTTTATTTCTATTTATTTTTTTTTCTTTCAGTATTACTAATAGTTCCATGATACAGATTGAATACTAAAATGCTGCATTGAACTAGACAGCAAGTCAGCAAACATACTTTCAAAGTTATATTTTGTTTTGGTTCAAACAAAAAACAAAATCCGGATATACCAAAATTTTAACCCAAATGGGCTTCCGTTCCGAAAATCAACTAAGGCTTATTACATACATTTAGTGTTTTAAATATTCTTAAGCTTCTGACCTAACAGGGTTCATACCTCCATGACGAAGCTTTATACCTGATAATCTGTGATTGTTTCTCCGAAAGAAAAAAACCTTGAAATCATTTTCCTTCAATTTCCTGATTTTTTTTTTAAATTCCTCTAGTTTTATAGTAGGATATTGGAAGATGAAGGGCATATTGGTACTTTTTACCATTTTTGAGCATGCTTTATTGTCTAATGCTGCTGGCCATGAAGGTAAGACTTTAATTTTTTTTCCAGTGTCGTTAAAAAGATTATAGAATTAGTCTTATTTTTTTTCCCAAAAAATAATAATAATAGTAATTATAACAATAAAATAAATAAATATATTTTTTTTAAATCCGGCATCCTCCTATTCTCTAATATTTTTAAACGAAAGGGGAAGAAGTGGGGTGGGTAAAAATGCATTAAAATATTATATGAAATTTAAGATCTGAAATGCGTAAATATCGTAATTTTCTTTTGATTTACTAATCAGATTTACACAAACAAATGTACTGAACCACTTTTGGACTTATAATGTACTGTAACCTTGATATATCAGGATATAGTAATTCGCTGCATGGTGAAACCCTCTCTTCCAAATACGAATCCATGCTGTTTTTCTTCAATACCCCCCCCCCCCCTCAATATTCTGCGAAACTTTTTTAGTTCATAAAACTTACATCCCATTTGCGTGTGTAAATAATAGGGGCATGAATTTTATTGAAATATTGTTAAAGAAATATGCACATGGTAGAATGATTAGGTTTTGAAAACATTTAAATAATTCTCGGCAACTGAACAGGTAATATATTTTATATACAGGCAATGTTAAGTATACCTATTAAAAATATCGCATGAAATTGCTAATCTTAAATACATATTCATTATTATGTCTGGTCTGCATGTTGTAAATTTAAAATTTTATTGGTAGTTAATGCAATTTTACGGTATGAAAGTAAATTCGTTTGTTTGCTTGCTTTGTTTTTTTTTAATATGCCAGAACCACATGACCATTAAATGCTGACCAAGCTCTTTTGAACTTGCTAAGGCGCTTAAAATCTGGATCATATGGTCATTTCATAACAAGGAAATACACAAAGGGCAAAATTCTTAACTGGTTTTGACAAAGAAAAAAGATTACGTGGCTCCTGTTTGTTGTGAATCCTTTCACGCTGTTTTGGTTTGGTAATTAAAGATCAAGTGCAGAGAGGTATTGGTATCTTGTGAGGATAGCCATTGGGTCGGCGATAGGTGGCAAGTCCTTCTTGATCAATTTGTCCCTTATTATAATTAAATGAAAATTCAAGGCAAGCATCCATCTGTTGATGTTTTTATAGCTTTGATTGAATTTGATTGCTTCACATAGAGTTAAAAGAATGAGTGCACTTTAGAGTGTCATTTGGAGCCTTTTCGGCCACCCATTTTAAGCCTTAAATTAGACTATATTGCTAAATTAATCTATGGTTATTGTACATACATATGCTTTTGATATTTATACTTCGAATTTTTTGTTAAACATATTGCTATAATTCCACACAACGTCATTGAAAAGAACATGTATAAGCCTTAAATTCCGGAGATTTGAACTGGACCACTTTCGAATTTAAGGTACCCGCAAATGGGCAGAGATATTTAAATCGCATGGAAGTGGAATGTAAACATTTGCACATTATTTCCAGATTGATTCTACAGTATGAATTTAGATGGAGGAGAGAAAGATTGTGTAGTTTCATGATTCACACAAATAGTAAATGATTCATGGCCATACATATTAATGATTTTCATGATTCGTATCCATGCATATGTTTGATGCCTAGCGCCGAATTAGATCAATCATAAGTTTTCGTATATGATAAAAAATGCTCCCTCTTTTTTCTTTAGCTTTATCATTTTTCGTTTTATATGCTGAATGCTTTTCAATTCAAAGAATGAATGTATGTTTTAAGAAAGATTCACATTTACATGACTTCGATGTCACACTACATTTAATCATAATTATTCACTATACATGTAGTACGTAGAGTAATACAACGTACGTGTAGTGAAACAAATTATACATGTATGTAGTACTCACGGTGATACATATTTTATTATATGCATGTTTAGATAAATAACATTCGGAAATGATCGAAATATAAAATTTTAACTTAAAATTTGAGTCGCTAGGTTAACATGAAAACTCCAAGAAATACAAACTATCTGTAATTTAAATTAACATTTATTGACGGTACAAATATATTTCAAATTAAAAAAAACATGGTTAACGAAAATTCTACAACGTTACTATATCGATAATCACTCGCTTATGCCTTCAATATCTCTTTCATTTCGGCAATCCCAATATTGTCAGGTATGATATACTAGTGTTTAGGGATGTGTCTCTAGATGCCTGCAGACCATAATACAGAGGCGACATGAGCTAACACAGCTACATACTAATCGTGCACTTGATTTGCACTGGCAATACCAGAATTTCCTTCAAAATGCCAAACGAAAAACACAATTTAGTGAAAGAAGACAAGGTAAACTTTAAGACCCTAATAAAATTTTCGCAAAATTCTTCAAGTGCTATTTTAAAGTGTTCAGGCCGGTACAAACGGTGAGATTTGTAGTTATTGTATAATACAAGTATTATATTTATATTATGATACTTTCCTGTACACACGTTTATACCTTTTTTTAGATTGTTAATAGACTTTAGGGATGTCTACGTGTTTCCCTCGCAATATTTCTCTCTCTCTCTCTCTCTCTCTCAATAATGGAAAACGAAGTTCTGTTAGTAGTATCTGTTATCGTATTATGCACTGCATTAAAACTGAAAAAAAACATCGTAATGGAAACAGCGGCGGAACACTCGTATATGTACTTGGTGCACACAATGCATCGCTAGATGAGGTGCAAAGAGAAGACCCCAGTAGTTATAAAAACTTCTTTAGAATAGATAACGCTGCATTTGAGCAACTTTTACAATTACATGTAGTTACTCCTTTTGATCTTCTTCCCATAAAACAACGAGTTTTTCGATATTTTTACTGCTAAAGTCGACCATTATTTACCACGTGCTTTTTTTGTTATGATAAAAATAGGATAACCACAACGTGAGTACTTTTGATTGGTTTAAAAATGAAAGGTAAGTTAAGACTTGTATTTAGAAATAGAGCATTGCCCTATTCTTAATACAGTTTTATAACATTCGAAAAATCTTAGGATTCACTGTATTAAAAGTCCATACATAGTCAGATTTTGTACTTAAATACATATCCGTGTGTACAGCCCTGAAGTCTATTGACAGACACAATGAAAGCATATCGAACAGTGGAATGTCACCTGAGTAAAATGATTATAATATCAAACAGGTCAAAATAGGTTGACACTCGGTGACCTGTTAATTTAGTAGCTAACCCGACCGTAGTTTGGAGAATTTTTTTAAAAAAATACATATGAGCCGCAAATTGTCCAACATTGCCCTTTGGATATGTATAAGTTTAGATAAAAATACACATTCTGTGCAAATGAGAAGAATGGACAAGTTGCGGCTCGATGTAAACAATGTCGTTGAAAACTTGTATGCATATGAATAACAATAGAAATGTGACAAAACTGCTAGACCCCTGTCGCGAAAACCAGTGTCGCTCGGCATTATTTAATATTTTTATGTGATATAATATATCAAACCCTGCTCTAAAGATATTGTTAAATAATTCTGATTCAAAAAGTTTATAAATTTCGGAAATTTATTATTGGCAAAGCACCGGGATCCAACTCTCATAGCTTAAGTGCACTGATCCTTTCTATAATTCTGTGATTCGCCTATTACACCACTAATTCTACGAAAAGCTAATTAAAGAGCTATAACTCAAGATGAAAGCAAAGATACGCCAGCAATAATTGTTAAAATATTAACATTAAATGAATCCTTCAAATGATATTCGCTTTAAGATAAGCGAACAGGAACTTTAACACAAATGGGTATTCTGCATGAATTTAGTCAAGTGTATATTTAACGCCAAAAGAACTAGTGTCATATTTTTGTATTTGAAATAGATTCATTCTTTTGAAAATATACCGGTACTAGTAAATTACTTCCAAAAAATGTTAAATCAATATTCCATTCTTTTGTTTATATAAAGATTTTACAAACATCAGCAAAAAAAAAAGGGGGGGGCAGAACAGATAAAACGCATATAATATCCACTTCTTTTTTCCCTGTCATTTATATATGGATTCAAATTTAGAGTACACCTTCTTGGAGCGAAGGATGATATCTGCGGGTTTACATGTATATATATATATACATGTGTATATTATATAAACACACAAAGGATTATTCGAATCGTACAGCACAGAAAGCATTCTTACCTAATGTATATGTTTTGTGTTTGTTTGAGTAATAAAACATTCAATAAACCAAAAAATTTTGGTCAAATGATACTCGGATAATTGAATTTTCATACTGAGGTTCAAAATAAGATATTCAATCTACCAGGTAGATATAAAATATAATTTTTTTCTGGCTTTTTTTCGAGCTTATGATACCGCAAAAATCATTGTTAGGTTCTTGACATTTGGTTTGACCTTCTCAGTTACAACATTTACCGTCAAGGACTAGTTCATTTTAGTTCTTTCCTACCCCTTTAACTTCTTTAGACCTTTTTAAAAGGTGCTCTTTCATAGCAATTTTAGACAATTATTTCTCTATTAGAATTAAGGACCGTAACGTACTCTTTCTATTTTATATGGTACATAAAAGGATTTTCCCCTCATTTATAGGATGTCTAAATCAAATTGGCAGCTGTTTGAAAAAGACAAGACGAAGATAGCATTTACTTTTTGTGGTACATTTTGACGCTTAAAGTTAATAAAATAGAAAACCCGTACAAAATCAGGGACGACTATTAGTTTTCCCCCTTGAATGTCGGTACTATTAAATAAAAAGGGAAAATTTTGATTTTTATATTATACTTTCATGTAAAGTAGTATAGTCTGATAGGTCGAAGGGCGTTTGAAAAACAGAAATTGCTGAATTGTTTGACTGATTGATTGAGAGAGGGGTGAACCTGAATTCAGTGTGTAATAGTATTTCGAATTTAAACAGCTTTATTGGTCTTAACATACAAGCCAGTACAGGTTTGTCTTAAAATTTACACAGATTCCAAAGGTTTTGTAATAGGAACTCTCGGCATTGTTTTCAATTCTGCTAAGAGACAGAAGGGGAAGGGGGAAGAAACGCAACACCATCAAACTTTTCCCCCTCACGCTATACTCTAATTTCTGGAGCACACTCTATTGGTGATCGACAGCATCCTTATGATTTGTAATACAAAGATAATTAATAGGGTCACATCAATCCCCCTCCCCCACCCCAAGTACACATTATCCAGATGTCTCCAAAAGATCTATTTTCTAAATGTAGATATTTAACAATAAATTTAACATTTAAGTTCACAGCTGCATACAAAAACAAACAAGATGTGTTTGTGAAACGCCGATGCCCCCTTATGGCAACTTATAGCGAAGGTTAAACTTTCTCAAATGCAAATCAAATACGTTGACACCCAAAGCAAGGTCTTGTCTCGAAGAATATACCTGTGAAATATGAAAGCCCTAGCTGCAACCATTGAAAAGATATGGAAAAGGTTAAAGTTTTTCAAAAGTGAGTCAAACATCAAGGTCATGGTCGAAAGGAAAGACCTTCTCACAAGAAATACACCTGTGAAATATAAAAACCCTAGCACCAACTGTTCAAAAGTAATGGCTAGTGTTAAAGTTTTTCAAAAGTAAGTCAACCTCCAAGGTCAAAGTTGTTATCCAAAGGTCTTGTCACAAGGATAACATATGTGAAGTATGAAAGCCACACACCAACTTTTCAGAAGTTATGGCCAAGGTTAAAGTTTTCCAAAAGTAGGTCAAACTCCAAGGTGAAAGGTCAAAGTCCTTGGTATCTAAAGGAAGGTCTTGTCACAAGGATTACATATGTGAAGTATGAAAGCGCTAGCATCAACTGTTCAAAAGTTATGAACAACAATAAAGTTTTCCAAAAATAGGACAAACGGTCAAGGTCAAACGGTCAAAGTTCTTGATATCCAAAGGAAGGTCTTGTTACAAGGATTACATATGTGAAGTATGAAAGCTCTAACACCAACTGTTTTAAAGTTATGGCTAACGTTAATGTTTTCCAAAAGTAGGTCAAACTTCAAGGTCAAGGTCAAAGGGTCAAAGTTCTTGGTATCCAAAGGAAGGTCTTGTCACAAGGATTACATATTACGTGAAGTATGAAAGCCCTAGCACCAGCTTTTCAAAAGTTATGACCAAGGTTAATGTTGGGTAAAATTTTGCAAAACTGGGTCTACCTCCAAGGTCAAAGGGTCAAATATGATGGTACCCAAAGTCAGGTCTTGTCACAAGGAATACACATGTGAAATATGAAAGCCATAGCTCCAACCAATCTAAAGTTATGGGCAAAAACTATATGCCCCCGAATCTTCGATTACGGGGGCATAAAAATTCCATTCATGACCTGTTTGATTTGACTGTGATCTGTGTTTCTTTAATGTATGCGTATGTGACTTCTATACATGTACAGTAAGTGATTTCCGTGAATATTGATTTGCATGTAATTATTTTTTTTAAATACAGTACACAGACCTTTAGATCGCTTTTACAAAAAAAAATTAAGGTGTTAAAAAAATATCTTTATTATACACCCCATTTTTTAAAAGTCGAATCTAAGCGATCCAAAGGCCTGTGATACAGTACAATCAATTTATGATGACTTTTGATGTAATAAAATATTATAGTGGCAAAAGCAGGATTTATATACATGTATGTTTATTGTTGTTTTCTTTTATTTGTTTGCTTGTTTTTGTTTTGCCTTGTTTTTGTTTTGTTTTATTTTGTTTTTATTTGACGAATGCAATTTGAATATGCATATATATGTATAGAACTTTCAATTTTTTTCCTAGCCTGGAACTATACAGACCAAGGAGCATGGAGTTCGATGACGGGGTCACAATGCAGTGGTACCAGTCAATCACCCATCAATTTCCCTCCAATGGTAGAAATGGTTTACAGCGAAAACCTGAAACCATTTTCGCTCACCGGTTATGATCAATTAGTAACAAGTCCTACGATTGAAAATAATGGACACAGTGGTAAATATTGTACTTAACGAAAATAAAAACACATCAGTCATTAGGCTTTCACTCATTTGGTCAATTTTCAAGACTGATTTTAAAAATATGTCTTCTCTATTCTCGCAAAAGAACAAGCAAATATATTTTACGATTTGCTTCTGAAGCATCTTGGGAAGTCGGAAGTTTACTACAATACAATGTATTTAACATATATATATATATATATATATATATATATATATATATATATATATATATATATATATATATATATATATAATAATAATAATAATAAAACATACAAATGAATGTCTGAATATGCTGCATTCCTGTTTGGCCAGGATGTAAACCAGAGAAAAAAAAATGATTTCTGAAAAGAAAATCGCAAAAACCTCTGGAAATTTTTGCCCTACAATGTACAATAGCTATGAGAAAATCTAAACAAATACAATGTACTTCGAATATATAATTAAAATTACATGTATATTTCAAGGATGTATTCTACTGATTATGCTGAGGTGTTAGCCATTTTTTAAAAGGACTCCTTTGGTTTTACCCTTCAAGATATGCACACATTTCTCGCCCTCTGACCCCTTATTATTTATTCGCATTTTGATTTTTCGTAGTTTTCATAGTCCTCTAAAAAATATTAAGACATATTTAATTCCAGATCATAATTTTCAGAGAAAGAAATTTTCCATTCATTGTCTAAGAAAAATCCCGAGAAATCTGGTTTTCCGCCATATTTTTCAACGTCTTATATCTCAAATATATGCTCACTTACTCACATATTTTTCTACTTCACATTTCAAATAATAAATACATCTAAGTAACGTATTTTAATAAAGTTTGATATACATATGTATATGTCTTCTTCCGATTCCCCTCGCTATCTGAACACTTCTCATAGACTTATTACTTATTACTCCAATTTCATTGGATAACTTATTTCCGAATCTATAAAAATTATTTCTCGCTATTCTCCTTACTGCAGTAAATATTATGTATAAGAGAGATAACTTTCAATTTAGCCCCATACGATACATGTACGCTGAAACTGTATGCATTTTGAATTGTTTGGAAAATCATTAATGTTTTAAGAAAAAATATTGAATTTTATATTGGTGAACAGTTGGTGAACAGTGGACTCTGAATCATAAGATCTTGCCTAGGGCATTAAATGCTTGCAGGACTCGGATCTTACAGTGTACATATTTTGATTATACTGTATATTTAACATATATTATTACATATATAGAAGTACATAGAAATCAGCATATAAACTTGTGTCATCTCTTTCCAAAATACAAAATATTACATTGCAGTGATATCAATGAAAATTCAAATATGAGGAACTATTTTTCGCAGATATTTACGCGAGTTCTTATAAAGTATTGCTCTCCCTCTTCTATTTCACAATTAACATAAGAAACACACTGTATACATGTACAAGGAGACAAAAAACCATCAAACTTGTGCAATAATTAAATGAATAAAACATTAATTTATAAATTATCTAATTAATAAATGAGATAATTAATTAATTTATTCATTTCTTTCTTTTTATTTATCTGAGCCAGAAAGACTTTTTTGTTTTGGCGCATGTCATAAAGAAAGTGTAATGTGCATAACTATTATTAACTCTTTCTCTTTTTATTTAATTACATAAATATTCTTTTAGTCACCGTAAAGTTTACAAACGAGGCCCACGTTTCCGGAGGCGATTTAGGAAGCAAATTTAAAGCGGCCCAGTTCCATTTCCACTGGGGGAATGACAATAACCGGGGTTCAGAACACACCTACAATGGAAAGACTTACCCAGCTGAAGTTGGTTTTTATTTTTGTTTATATACTGAAAAGATAGAGATACCAAACAATATCTAAAATATGTGGCATGCTAATACATACAGTAAAAATACTACACTACCTCTATGTTCCAAGTAACCTTTGATTTTTGTTGAGGATACTATCCACACCTGACCTTATCTTTTTCAAGAATTAGTTGCTTCTTTTACAGCTCCATGTTGTCCATTACAATACAAAGTATGCAGACATCAACGAAGCTGTAAGCAAGCCTGACGGACTGGCGGTGTTAGGATTTTTCATAGAGGTTTGAAAAATTTACATACCTATATCTGTTTTTTTTTCCCATACTGTACATACTATTTAAAAGTTGTTGCTCGCGAAAATCCTTGCCAGACACCCCCCTTTCAAAAAAAACGGCAACTTGTGCGTTTTACCTTTTTTTTAAGATAAATTTTATGAATACGAGTAAGTTTTATGCTACAGGTTGGTCCAATTCACAACTGCAACTTTGGACCTGTTATAGACACATTGAAAAACATTCCAGACAAAGGTTAGTTTGATTTGTTTCTTTCCATCTTTGCTAGTTAAGGGTTTTCGGTCCGCTCTGCTCCCCATAAACTGTTTATGGGGAGCAGAGCGGACCGAAAACCCCTGGCTATCGAAGATGCATGGTTTCTTTCTCGAATAAGTAGTCTTCATGGAATTCTGAATTGTGAAATACTAATTATTAAAACATTTTTACAGGTATAAACCGATTTTTGAGGTGAATCTGTCACACGTAAAAGATATAAAATACTCGTTAGCCACCTGAATACTCACTATACCCTTTCACCAGTATGAAATACATGTACGGTACGGTCTGCTCTGATACACAGGTTATATACATTTCAGGTAATAGTACATCGTTGACTCCCTTCAAGCTCCGTCACATACTTCCTATGCAGCTAAGAGACTACTACAGGTACATGGGGAGTCTGACCACGCCCCCCTGTTCTGAGACGGTCAAATGGACAGTCTTCAGGGATAGACTTTACATGTCCGAAGAACAAGTAAGAAGCATCGTCTCAAGCCACGGTCCGGAGTCCGCATATAGCTCTCTCCAAAATGGGAGAGGATCATACATTATGGCCGTGGTTTGCGACGATGAGTAAGAAGTGAAGTAAAACAAAAAAAAAATGCATCGGGCCACCTTAGTTCAAGTTCAGTTTATTCACCCAAACCAAATATTGGTACATGGAGTACATTTATAACACCCACACCCACATATATATATATATATATATATATATATATATATATATATATATATATATATATATATATATATATATATATATATATATTCCTGAAGGTAAAAAAAAAAGGTTTGGAGTCGGGCCAGTCGGTCGGTAGAGGGCAACCAAACATTTTTTCAAAGATGGCCTCGTAAACTGGCCTCAAAGATTCCTAGTATGCAATAGAAATTTTGTAAAATTTTAAATTTGATTTTTTTTTTAACTTTCATAAACGATTTTCATATATTCCTCTGGTAGCATACACTTTTATCATGTAACACTATTCGATGCTCCTACAATTCTTTGGATTATAAAATATGCATACATTTTCAGTTACAAGAATTTCGCAAGATCTACTTCGACTCGTCAAAGACCAAATTAATGGTGGACAATTGGAGGCCACCCCAGCCTCGCAATGGAAGAAAAGTTTACATCAGCTTCGACGTTAAAGCGAATTCCTCACCAGTTCATCTGTTTAATTTTATCTTGGCCATAGTTATATTCTGTGTTCAGTTACTATGCGTGTAAACACAGTTTGTAATGTCAAAATTCTACAGCAATAAAACAGTGTATTAAGTATTTCCGCATTGTATTAAGTATTTCCGCATTGAAACTTTTTTTCTGTTTTCGTGTAAAGATCGTCACATACTCTGTGTTTCATACAGTTAAATACGGATTTTATCAATAATACATGTGCGATAGTCAGAAGTTGTCATATGTTTTACATCTCTGTATAAATGTTAAGGATTTGTGTATTTCATGTGTATATTAGAAATACTACTGTAGGTAGGAACTAGGAGAATTTGTATAATTTCAAGATATTCTACTGTAAATATGTACGTCATGTATATGTATACATTGTATTGCAATAATTGTAAATAATTGAAATATCCATTGTATTTTAATGTAAAGAAATTTAATAAAACATATAACGAATAATAAATTGATTAATTATTGAATTATAATACATATTACATGCATAAAACAATTTCCAGTGCTAAAATCAGCTGCACATAACAAGATTATCCAATGAATTCATGTGATAGTCTTTTGTGTGTCTACTGCAAAAACTAACCCGATGGCTCTGTCTCTGTGCGGAATGCTGTTATGTGCATCTTGTCTGGAAATTTCTGCGTTCTCAATTTCTTCGCATTTAAATGAGAACAATTTCGACTGGATCATGTTCAGATCATCAACAACGGACGCTAACTAGAGGTCGGTAAGGTAACACAGGTATACTTCTGGGATGGAAAGTAGTACTTCTCACTCCATCTGTAAAAACATCGCCTTCATTTCAAGTTTTTCTCCATGTTGTAAAGAAATCTAAACAAGCGGGGCCCAGATATGCTTTCTGTGGGAGGCTGAACCTGAACAAATCCCATTTTCTCAAAAAATGCAACAGCTCTTTCTGCGCTTTGTACGCGGACAGGTCGTTTGATGACGTCCAACATGGACGTCATCGCTTTGTCCAAGAGTCGTCTGCCAACGCCCTGGCCTTGGAAGTCTCCTTTCACAAACAAAAAAGCTACAACGTGGTAAAAATCGGAGTCAAACGTTGCATCAGGTTCCTCTAAACTAGTGTCAGCTATTTTGAAGCATATACTACCAATAAGAGTTGTTCTTCCGTGTAAAGTTTCGTATGCAAAAATGACTTTGTGTTCTTCTGGGATGTCAAAAACTTCTCCACTAACTTCACGTGAAAGTTGTCTGAATTTTGGTCGAGAGCGAATTCGTGGTTCTTCCTTCAATGTTACTTTACCTGAAAAATGTACAAGATAATATAGTACTTATCTTACGGATATGAGTTTTTTTTTCTGGGGGAGAAGGGTCCATATCTACTTTAAACAAGGGATATTATATAAATAGTGCACGTTTTTGAGGGTAACAGTTGAAATTGACACCCCAAGGAAAACCATTGTCAACCGACGCGTCAGCGGAGGTTGACAATGGTTTTCCGAGGGGTGTCAATTTCAACTGTTACCCTCAAAAACGTGCACTATTTATTTTATTATACTGAATGTCTTATTGATATCGGATGTCATAAAAAAATTCGGAGATCGTCGTTAAGTTCACGCTTAGAAGCTTTCAAACTCACCGCTTCCACTTTTCTCAATAAGAAAGCTTCGGAAAAGATTTACCAACCTCTTTATTGTTTGTTTGCTACTTAAAAAGTCCTTTATCATCTAAGTTTTGCACTCGCAAGGATGTTTCGTCTGTCGTTTGTTGTTTTCAAGTAAGCTACATCGGACGCAAGCTTTTATTGACGTCGATTAATTGGCTTCTTTCAAACGCACAACTGAAGTTTTGAGAATTCTACGGTGAACCGTACGCGCATGATTTGAACGCATGTGATATTTTCGTAATATTACCCGTTGTCAACTGTGTTGCTAACGCTGAGGGTAATATTACGGATTGTTAAATGTGTTTAAACCAATCAGATTTTAGTATTTAACATGAAAGTATAATAAACACACTTATGTCCCCCCCCCCCCGGACATATACCCAAACAGAACTTGACCTAGATATTCTTATGACAAATATGTATACCAAATTTCATTTCAGTATTTGCAACCTCTGCGAAGAAAATGAACGGAAATTGCAAATAATTGAAATTTTTCCAAGTCCAAGGAGCATAACTCTGTCAAAAGTTGCTTGATCGTACCCAAAACAGAACCTGACCTAGATATTCTTATAATAAATCTAAATACAAATTTCATTTCAGTATGTGTAACCTCTGCGAAGAAAATGAACGGAAACTGTTAGTGGACCGACAGACAGCAGCAAAACAATATGTCCTCCCTTCTTCGAAAGGAGGCATAAAAAACTGCGATAAAAGCAAATATTTAAAAATGTGTTGATAAGCCAAAAAAAAAAAGTCAAAACGCCAAAAAAAAAACTATTTCTTTTAGGTGGTTGGGATGGGGAGGGGGGTTGCATACTTCTTTTGACAACCCCGCTTTCCTTCAGGTATTTGTATAAAGTTGATAAGATATCGAAGGACGATATGGGCAAATTGCGAAGTTTCCACAACGTTATAGAAGGAGCCCCTGTTTGTTGTAAAAATAGTTGTAATATGTTTATGTACTACCAAAATGTTATCACATATCAACTTGTAAACTATTTCTAAGGCTTAGGTCGGTCCATGGGCGCCGATTGAAATGTTGATAACATCTCCCCCTGAACGTTTTCATTAAAATATAGTAACAAGCAGGCCAGTAGGGAGCGATTTCAGTTTGGGGAGGGCACAACCAAGCACAAATTCCTTAACAAATTAGGCGTTATTATTGAGGGGACACAAGCATTAAGTAGCCGTGTTTCCTTAATAATTAAGTATACTATAACCACACGTTGACACTAACGGAAAGACTGGTTTTGCTTCGGGTAGACCAGGAAGTGTCTACTGGATACGATTATAGTACACTGTAAAGTTCAATTAGGGGATCTGATTCAACTTATGTTTCTCATATGTTTTAGTTTACCGCTAAATATATTTACAATTTACCGATTCACTCATTATCTGATTCCGCCCACCCCCCTTCTATCAGTTACTCGTAATTAGATGAGACAGTGATGCACTGCTTGAAGTAAACTCAGATGAACTTATTTCGATGTCATTTTCATCCAAGTTGGTGCTCGGAAAAGGGTTAATTATTTACTGAATAATCATCTAAGCTCTCTATTGGACTTTTTTTCGTACCTTCTCAGACCGTTTCTGCTTGTAAGGTACAATGATTGTACAAAGAGGAAGAACTCTAACATTTTTTTCGTCAAATGCAAATTTATTTTTTTCCCCAAATTTTCTTCCGAGTTCATTCATTAAAGAGAGAGGGAGAGAAAAAAAGACAAGCATACATAGACGCGGGTGTTCAAGAGATACGAATAATAAATATAACCTTGTTGATCGATACGAGATCCACCCCAGTCACATCATCATGACCCTTTGCTTTGAACAATAAAATGGCGACGAGACCGTCCGACTTTGTATTTCCATCGTAGCTTTCAGTCCACATTTGTATTGAATATACGCAAAGCGCAATGATTAAAGAAACAGTTATGTTATTCTAATAAAAAACGTAAAAGGTTGCTCTTTAATGTCAATCATACTTGAACAATACATGCACTACCTGAATACGTCATTTTCCCGCCATCTATGAATCTTCGTCTTTGCTCGGGATTACTCGGTTAAAATCGTAAAAGCGCATTACTTTTCCATAACAACACCACAAAACTTCACAAAACCATTTACGTCATCAAAAACTGGGAACCGGGCACTTTCTTCGCAAAATTCATACGCCAAATAAATTTATTCCTCTATTTATCTATTTCATTATTTAAGTTTAGTGAAATGAATCAAAATTAAGATACCCTATAAAATTAATTATTTTTCATGGGGTTAAACTGAAAATCATTAAAAAGTTTTGCAAACATAACAGCATTCTATATTTTTCTGCGGATGGATTATTCAAGGTGATTTACGTCTGATAATGGTGGCCAAGTAGACTACGATAGACTTTCGAGAAAACAGCCATGAGTTCTGAAATAGAGCCCCATATTACCAAAAAGTATGAAATCAAGAAACGGTTAGGAAAAGGGGTGAGTGACTTTAAAGAAGTTTTGAAAATATTTGATGAGATTGCTTTTTAATTGGTTTTGTAGATTGGTAACGAGGTACGCTTTCGTCTCGTCTCGGAATGTGTTAGTACATGTATAGATTTCTTGATGGTCATTATTGACTTCATCTGAAAACGATAAACACAATCGAAATATGCTTTTAAATTTTTTTAAATTTTGAATCTCGTTTTTCGATAAAATGATAAATGTGTTATTTTGGCGAATTGTCAATATCATGTAAAATTTGGCAAATCATTAACATGACTAATAAGCACTGAGCTTATTGACATATCTTTCAGTGACTGAAGTTTATATTTGTATTAAATATGTATTATTCTAAAGAATGGAAACATCAGCTCCCTAACAAAAAAGTATTACTTAGTAAGTCTGATTTTTTTCAACAAATCTCTGATGAATACTTAAGGCATATAGGCCTAATAAAATAATTCTAGTGATGCGCTATTTTGAAACGGAAACATAAGTAAAACTATGTTTCAGTTCAAGATTAATGTGTATTATTTTATATTTTATGTTCTAAAACAGAATTAAGATATTAAATTAATAGAAATTCTCAATTTATTATAAGTCTTAACGTACAGTACTTAAGAAAGATGTCAACTTTTGCATATCATTACTGTGGAATAAATTTGATTTGTCAGGGTCTTAAAGAAAATTTAATGAACTGATTTGTTGACAAGTTATTGTTTATGGAGATGTAAATTCGTGGGTAAATTTGATCCATGAATTCCACAAACATGGTAATAAATTCCACAGTACATTCCAAATTTAAAAAAAAAAAAACTTTTAAAGAATTAAAAGGGTTGACAAAAGTTTCATTCACAATTTAGTAAATATCAATGTTCTTGAATACTATGATGTAATTATTGCCAGAACTTAATTCTCTTTAAGAGTCAAGAGTAGCACTGGTATTTGAGGTGGCACAAGAATGGCACTCATTTAGATCAGCTCTCATGTACACTCACAGCTTTCTTCAGTGAAGATGTGTTTTAACATATATTTGTTTTATTTTTCTCCAGGCCTATGGTATTGTTTGGAAGGCAGTGGACAGAAGAACTGGAGAAGTTGTGGCTGTGAAGAAAATTTTTGATGCCTTTAGAAATCAAACAGATGCACAGGTAGATTTTGATGCACCACTCACCAGTCCTAAGAACTCATATGAGTTTTTCTGATCAAAATTTGTGTATGTGTTCATCACTCACTGATATTCTGAGCATGCATTAGCTTTTCACCTATTTATCTTCATCTGAAAAAAATACTGATCAGACTTCAGCCAACTCTTTCTTTAAATCATCTATATAAGAGTTAGGAGTGAAACGGTTCACCGCGGTATCGATTCACCGCGGTATTTTTTCTCGGTTTGATACACGGTGCAAAATCTCTAATTTTCGGTTCGGTTCATTTTTCGGTCGGGATCGTTATTCAGTCGGGTTTGGCATAAGGTAAAACACATTACTCAGTAAAATAAGTATAGACAAGCTTATCTTTTAAAAAGATTGGTGAGCTAGCGCTGTAGCATAATAAAATACAGAAGAAGATATCCGAACCATTTGTTAAATTTGCTTAATCGATTAATTATTAACAGGAAGGCAGATTGGTGCACTGGGGGTTGAGTTTGTGTGGGGGGGGGGGGGGTTGTCACAATTCAGAATGGTGAATCTAAGAGTGTGCCTCACGTCGGCAATGGCATAACTCCTAACTGTGCTTTAAGCATTCTGTATTTTACTGTAATTTCAATTTCAAGGTGAAAAATAAAAGGTCAGTAGAACCAATGAGCACCTTCGGGCCTTTCCAGCAAGCTCGGAAAACACATCCGAGGTTGCCGCAGTTTTCCGAGCTTGCCGGAAAGATCCATGAAGGTAGATTAGAAAAGCTATGTATTCATTACAACTTTAGAAATAACAGTCTTGGTTTTAAAAGACCCGAGTTACTGTTACTTTTTGTTCATTTACCTGCAGGTGAGACAACAAAACACGAAACTTCAGATCATATGTATTTTCAGATGATAAACACTAAATTGCCATGTCTTTCCGACATACTCTGAAAAAGATTTTTGTTGTTGTTGTTGTTGTTTTTTTCCGAGCTTGTCGGAATTATCCACTAAGGTGGTAAAACTGTAAGGAAAGCTAGATGTCTAGAATCTTGGCATTATATGGCCAATTTTTTTCTTGTACTTTTATGTGTAGGTTAGACAATAAATTTAAAAAAATCAGAATCCGGATCTATACGGTATTGACTGTCTATAACCTACGAAATGTATATCGCGCATATCAGACAGGAAAGGCCAGTGTAAATTCGGATCATTTCTATTTTTGTATGACAAAACGAAATTCTTACCGTACAGTCTATCTACAGTAGTTTTCCCAGAATCCCCGACCGTGAAGTCGGGCATGCGTATTTCAGAAATATAGACTAACGTAGTTGCTAGCGCTCTCGAGCGCTAGCAAAAACGTAAATTTTTGATGACTGATAGCTTGTAAAATAATTTTTGACCGTCAAATAATTTTAATCAATTTCTTCGAGTCAATTTGCAAATAAAACTCATAAAATATGTTACTAGATTTAGAAAAAGAAAGCATAAAACAACGTTGAATTTGTTTCCTTCTATCAAAATGTATCGTATCGAAAATAACCGAACCGAGACAAAATTATACAATACGTATCGAACCGTGAAGGAGGTGTATCGTTTCACCCCTAATAAGAGTGATCAAAATAATAAAAGATTGGTAAGGTTATTTTAAATAAGGTCTTTAATGCTCTGTGTGTGTGTGTGTTTATTTTTTGTTCTGTTCCTTCTACTTATCTATATTTCACAGCCATATATTGTTTAAGGTATACAGCAACAAGACAGCTGGTATTACATACGAAATAGGGATGTCAACGAATATTCAAACATTCGAATATTCATTCGATAAGTTGATATTCGAATATGAATTTAAGATTCGAATATTCGGTGTTTTCAGATTTCATAAAAAAAAAGTACTGTGATTAATAAATATTGATTGGAAGAGTGCTGGAATTATCCCTGTTTAATCTACTAGCGATCAATTTCGATCGCCCAATTTCTTTTGCTATTTTCTTATCTTATATAGATCTACTATATTATTTTGTTTTGAGTAAGGTGTTTAAGATTTATACAATAATGCTTTATGTATAATACAAAACGTACTTTCATAGTTTTTATTAGTTAAATACGATCAAATCTAGAATCGAGGACAACGAAACGAAAACCTTCTTAGAATGTCTACAAGACGTGAACAGTATACTTATCAAAACAAATTTAATTGATCATTCAAATAAATATCCAGTACAATTAGTCTGTAATTAATATTGTAAAGGGCTCAATTTTAGAATAAATGAGTAAATTACTTGATTATCTCAGGTTGTACATAATCCTGAATTTTATATTCATTATCAGGAAATTAGTCAATTACCTAGGAAAATTGTCTATGGAATTGTTTGTTTATATTTTAAAAACATTGTATCGAAGATTATAATCATATCTCTTATTAGGCTGATAAGTGTAATTAATTACACATATTGAAATCTGAACAGTATACGACTATCTTGCCTTAGGTAAGACGACTGGTTCCTTATTTGGAGCTACTATAAATACACATGTATCATTTGTTAAAATTATACTTTTCTACATTTAAATCACTTATTTATTTCAAACATTGACAAGTATCAAATGGAATCCCTTATTGTACACCTACAAAAGTTTTCATACAATTTTATTTTAAAATATAAGAATACCTACACTAAACCTTTCATGAGAGTAGGATGATGCATTCAAAATATACCAGCTTTTATTTATTTTATCGAATATTCGAATATATTCGAATACTTTCATTGAATATTCGAATATGAATTATTGACAAAATTGACATCCCTAATACGAAAGTAATAATTTATGCTGATCTTGTAAATTTCTTCAGCAACAATCAATTACAGGGTTGTGGATAACCACTCGCCCACTCGTAAATGCAAGTAAAATTTGCTGTGGGTGATTAGATATTTAAAAAATCTGGTCGCCCACATGGCGAACAATTTTTTTTTTTCCCCAGAACATAATCACAATTGTATGTACTTTCAGTTTTTGAACAAACGCTCTACTAACCTAGATTTTGTATTGCGTGCAAGCATATTAGTCAAACATGAACATGACTTAGATCAAACATGGCGATTTAATTATTGAAGCATCTTGATGATACGAGAGCAAATGTTTCAGATTGTTCTTATAGAAATATTGTAACAATTGGCTATGGCTGTGAGACACTCCATCAGGACTAGATATTCATATAGATATAATATGAATTATCATGTCAAATGCACACAATAAAAGATTAGAATCAAACTTCATTACAGGTTGTATATAATTTAATATGCCCCGTTAAACCATAGATGCTTCATGGTTACTAACAGGGTTGGAGTCAATTACTTTGAAATGTAATTAATTACTTTCAAATACATTGATAATTTTTTCAATTACTTGCAATTACAATTACATTGATTTTTTCAAATGTAATTAATTACTCTCAATTACTTTGACAAATGTAATTAAATACATTTCAGTTACTTAAGTTTTATTTTTAAAAAGTCTTGAGAACAAATACATATATAAACGGCATTGAGATACACAAAGCATTAAGTACTGAAATGTTTTTACAGTTTTGAGTTCATTTTAATCATCATCAGATTTTCAAACACAGAATCACTCAAACGACATGAAAAGAATTCATGTTTGGTTCTGAATAAGGTTTTTACTATAGTGAACTTTTATTCAGTGTTTTTGTTCTTGGGTAGTAGAGGGGTTCACACCTGGACAAAATTAGACCTCTACCTATTTCCCTGGGCAGTGTGACATGCTGTAAAAACAAATTAAGCATTCTGAGACATTTAATTATTGCACAAACACAAGCCCATGCCACACAGGTATACTGAACTGTGTATTTTGAAAAGACACCTTTTTTAACTTATAACTTTAAAAAAAGTAATTGAAATGTAATTGAAAAGTAATTGAAAATACATGACATTTTTGGAAATGTATTTAAATACATTCAATTACTTGTAATTGAAGACTGGCTCAAATACAAATTACTTCCAATTACTTTAGAAAATGTAATTAATTACGCTCAGTTACAATTACTAATTACAATTACCCCATCCCTGGTTACTAAACACTACAAAATGAAATGAACATATTATTGTATCAAGATTTTTTAGAAAAGAGAAAACCTGATGAAATCAGTTTTAAAAAAAAATAAAGACTTTTTTGTTTTTATTTTTAATTAACATATAATGTGGGCCCCTGGGTCACATTGTGGGCCCGTAAAATTTGAAAAGTTAGGAGCCCACATGGCCCCTAAGTTTTCAAAAAACCTCAACCCTGAATTATGAAATTTCTCATCAATGACTGAAATTAGTAAGCTCATAGCCATAGACAATTGATTGTCAGTGATAATCATTTCATCATTGGTCAAGTGTAGCTTTCTTAATGGGTCAGAAGGTTAACAGATTTGTTAGGAGAGGGAGGAGGAGAAATTAGACTCAGATTTTTGTCTCATTCACTTCCACATATCTTTTACTTATATATTTTTATAATGTGCAAGAACCAACTGTAACTTTGAGTAGTTATATATGCTTTATACATGTTTTCCCTTTCGTACTTCTGCAGAGAACATTCCGAGAGATTATGTTTCTTCAAGAATTTGGAGACCACAACAACATTATAAAATTACACAATGTGATCAAAGCAGAAAATGACAGGGATATCTATCTGGTCTTTGAATTTATGGGTAAAATATTTCTTGATATATTATTTATTTTTATCTGATATGGAAAATGGTTCACCATTATAAAAATGAATCTGAACTATAGTTGTGCTAAAATAAGTAATTTTTTTTTTAAATTGTTCCTGATATTATGAATGTTTCATCTATACAAATCAATTTTTTAACAAAAAAGTTTACTTTTGAATTGCATTTTGAAATTAAAACTTCACATTTTTATGATGATAGAGACTGATCTTCACAATGTCATAAAAAGAGGGAGCATTCTGAAGGACGTCCACAAACGCTACATTATGTATCAGCTGTTCAAAGCCACCAAGTACCTCCATTCTGGCAATGTCATACATAGAGACCAAAAGGTATTCTTAATCATTTCAGCAATAACTGTATATACATTTTTCTGGTAAATATTACTGTATACAGGGAAATTTTTGGCCTCATTTTATTTTCGTCTCTTTCGTACATGCCGCAAGTGGGCAAATTTAAAATGGGTTGACTTCAAAGAAGACAGTATAATCTTCTAAACGCAGCTATGTATGGGCAAATTTTAAAACAGCAATATTATTTCCAGGTGTGAAAGGGCAAAAATAATGTGAGGAAAATAACATTGAATACAGTATCTAAGAGATGTAGTTGCTGAATTTTCAGTGAAAGTTCTGAAGAAAAGGCCATTTAAAATATAATGAATAATGAAGGTCGTTTTTATACCGATTTCATGATTTTGAAGTTCAATATAGAGTAAATATTTTTCAGCCCTCCAATATTTTACTGGACAGTGAATGTGTTGTTAAAGTCTGTGATTTTGGACTTGCTCGCTCCCTGACTCAGATCGGTGTAGATGCCGAGACGGGAGACCCAAACCTGACAGAATACGTGGCCACTAGGTGGTACCGTGCCCCAGAAATTCTACTGGCTTCTCACAGGTACAAAAAAAAAATTTGCTGCAAAATAGATCAGCACTTATTGCTAATCATTAAATTTTTAAAATAAAAGGTAGTCTATATTATTTTCTTCTTAAAGTCTCAGTTGCTGTTACTGAGATTAATTATGGTCTTTTGTTACTCTTCTATTATTTGTATTGTTCATGATTAAACTGTGAGTGATATGGATTTCAGGTACACAAAGGGTGTGGACATGTGGTCCTTAGGTTGTATCCTTGGGGAAATGTTGGGAGGGAAACCCCTTTTCCCTGGATCCTCTACCTTGAACCAGATTGAGAAAATAATGAGTACAATTCCTTTGCCATCTAAAGAAGGTATGCTCCAAAATGAAACTCATACATTAGACTATTCCAAGTTTTTTTTTGTTTTGGACATTTCCAAAAATTCACACAGATCTAGAATGAAAATTTCTGTCCTAATTTCTTTTTTGGTAAGTCTTAAATGGTTTTGAGATCTGTATAATTTGGAAAGGGACCCATATCTATATACAATGTTGGAAGCTGATTTACATAGTAGTAGTATCTTTATTGGCGTATACATTGCATATATTGCCATACATGTGTAACATTTGATGAATTTGTAAAGGAATTTGTTAATTGTTTTGATGACATCATTTATAGTCTACATTGTGAATGTATTGGAATTTGTGTCACTGTTTTATGTCAATATGTAAAACTAAATAAGTTTCTGAAAAATGAGTAGACACTATAAATTAAAGAAGAAAAAAAATGAAATGGTGTTGAGTAATATTTTGTTTTATAATCAAAATTTGAAGGTTTTCTGTGAAATTAAGATGTATGTGTGATTTAATGATATGTTTTGAACTTACAAATATTACTTTTCAGACATTGACAGTATCAAGTCAGCTTATGGTGCTTCTATACTAGAAAAAGCTACACTTAAGTAAGTTCATTATTGAATTTCACCACCAATGCTTCTGGTAATTTAGAAATTAATAAAGTTAGATGCAAACAATACATAGTGGATAGTTGTGTGTTTCTCAATATGCTATTCAAGCACTTTTGTATATAATTTTTATGCCCCCGGATCGAAAGATCCCGGGGATATATTGTTTTTGTCCTGTCTGTCAGTTTGTCTGTTTGTCTGTCTGTCTGTTGTCAACTTTAACCTTGCCCATAACTTTTGATTGGTTGGAGCTATGACTTTCATATTTCACATGTGTATTCCTTGTGACAAGACCTTTCTTTGGGTACCATCATATTTGACCTTTTGACCTTGACCTTGGAGTTTGACCCACTTTTGCAAAATTTTATGAGACTTTAACCTTGGCCATAACTTCTGAACAGTTGGAGCTTGGGGTTTCAAACTTCACATGTGTATTCTTTGTGACAAGGCCTTCTTTTGGATACCAACCACTTTGACCTTTTGACCTTGACCTTGGACTTTGACCTACTTTTGAAAAACTTAAACCTTGGCCATAACTTTTGAACAGTTGGTGCTTAGGGTTTCAAACTTCACATGTTTATTCCTTGTGACAAGACCTTCCTCTGGATATCAACCACTTTGACCCTTTTGACCTTGACCTAGGAGTTTGACCTACTTTTGAAAAACTTTAACCTTGGCCATAACTTTTGAATGGTTGGAGCTAGGGCTTTCATACTTCACATATGTAATCCTTGTGACAAGACCTTCCTTTGGATACCAACCACTTTGACCCTTTGACCTTGACCTAGGAGTTTGACCTACTTTTGAAAAACTTTAACCTTGGCTATAACTTTTGAATGGTTGGTGCTAGGCTTTCATACTTCACATATGTAATCCTTGTGACGAGATCTTCCTTTGGATACCAACCACTTTGACCTTGACGTTTGACTTTTATTTAAAAAAACTTTAACCTTCACCATAACTTTTGAACAGTTGTATCTAGGTCTTTCAAATTTCACAGGTGTTTTCCTCGAGACAAGATCTTTCTTTGGGTATCAACATTTTTTATCTTTTGGCATGCATTTTGACTTGCATTTGAGAAACTTTAACCTTCGACATAAGCTGCCATACGGGGGCATAGTGTTTCACAAACACATCTTGTTTTTTTTTGTATACTTAACACAAATCATCCTCAAACTGTTGGTTTAATCCTAAATTACAAATCATGAACTTATTAAATAGCATTTTGAAACAGGTCTAAGAAATCATTAGAAGAGCTTTTACCAGATGCCCCTAAAGATGGCATTGACCTACTTAAGAGACTGCTCCTGTTTAATCCAGACAAGAGGATTACTGCTGATGAGGCCCTAAGACATCCATATATCTCCAGGTATGCCCATAGGAAGTCCAGATATTCAAATAATGAAGCACATGTTTATCTTTGTGAGTGTAAATTAATATTAAAAGATGGATGTTGGTTTTGAAACCCTGATAATCTTATAGGCTATTGAAGTAGTCAAACTAAGTCATCAAGGGAAATGAAACTTATGATAACTGTGTGTCTAAATCATTGGACAGTTACATGTATATCATCAGGAAAACGAAGCTGTTTGTATTAATCTCTAGGATTCCATACATTCACAGGTTCCACAATGCTGCCGAGGAGATCTCCCTGAATTATGATGTTGTTCCACCACTGAGTGATGACGTTCAGCTGACAGTTGAGGAGTACAGAAACAAATTATATGAGGTAATGTGTCAAAGCTGATGGAAGAAGGAGTAGAGGAGGAAAAAGCAGGTCTTGGGAATGATTGTGTACTAATAAGTGGAGGGAGAATTTAAACACAGTCAATTGAACATTAGTTTTTCTGTTAGATGTTAACATATCTGTGTGATTTTAGATGATAATTCAGAAGAAACAGGAGAGAAGGCGAAGGCGACATGAGATCCGCAGTGCACAGCAATTGAGGGAGTCAAGCCCTGAGGAAAATCCTCCTCCCAGTGAACCATTCCAGAAAGAAAACACAATGCCTGCAAAGTTTTCATCTACAAAGTACAACAAGCCTGTGGCAGAGGTGCATCCCAGCTCAGCACCCCACCATCAGTCCTCCTTCACTTCAGGTCAGACTGAGTATATGAAGGTTTCAGTGCATAGACAATGAAGAAGTTACTGATTCTTTTATTGTGGATTTTATACTGATAGTGAATAAGATGATGAAATTAAGAAGGTTGTTACTGAATTATGAGAGTATTTCAAGATAATTAAAAAAATTTCCATATTGTTACAATATAATCATAGAAAAAGTGGGATCATGGGAGTTGCATAACATAGGTGAATCTTTGTAAAAATTTCACACATCAGATGAAACATACTTTCTTTCTCCTTTACAGCTTTTGGAAGGACAACACACACTGACTCAAAGGATATGAGGTCAAGGCAACAGAGCCGACAGAAGACGTATGATCAGATTCCTGCCTCACATTCCAGTACTGCCGCAGTAAGTCAAGACAAGCTGCCAGAGGGGGTGGTACTCTGTACTTATAATATTTGATAATACAAACTTTATTCCTTTATTTATCTGGTGTCTCTGTAAAAAAAAATTTCTTACAACAAATCAATGATGCATTCTGTCTAGCCAGCTAAATTTGTTAAATTAATAAACATTAGATAGTAATAAAAAAAGACAGTAGTTCTCTGTGGGTCACATGATCTAAAATTTAAGATGTCATTGAGAAACAACTAGCTTTTCTGGGGATTATATCCTATAAAGAAATTAACATACCTGGTATTAAAATTAATATAATGTTGTTTATTAGGATTTATTGTGTCATAAATAATGCTTTATGAAGTATTGCTTATAAATGAACTAAAGCAATTAAAGAACTAACATACATATACATCAATCAAAATTTTATTTTCTCCTATGCCAATCATGAAAGGGGGAAAATTTATTGGGTACTTTTTAAAAAAAGTCATTCCAATCATGGGGGTAAAGTTTACCTATGTATTGACACAGATGCAGTTGTATGACATTTTTGTTCGGGCACAAAATCCAAGACTTCAAACAAACCCATTCCTATTGGGTAGAAACCAGGTGAGACGGGTTCTCTGATTGGCTGGTTTTGAGGCAGAGCTTACTCATATATGACTAGCATGGCCGTTAGCTAGTTCTCACACTTCCTGTCTTGTGTACTTGTATCTTGTCCGCCTTAACTACTTTAAACACATATTTAAACTATTTACCTTTTAGATGTTAACAAACCTTATCTGTATTTATGAATTCATTTTATATATTTCTTGCCTCCTATAGTTTAATAAAAATGTGTTTTCAAAGTTTTTTGCAGAATTTATTTTCCATTCAGGATATTGTATTTTGACCAAATCAAAAAATAAGAATTTTATCATCTTTTATTAAAATAGAAGGACAGTGTTAAGCTGAATTTTATTTGATAGAGAATATTGTGATATATGTGTGAACTCCTAATACATGTGTTGTGATCCTTTAGAATAGACAGGATGTGTCATTAATACTTAGTACTTACATATATAAAGTAATTTAGAAAACTAGATTAAAATATATTATAGATTCTATCTTTATTTGCTGTGGGTGATATGTCTTTCTTTTAAGTACAGAGAACTTGACCAATTTTAATGCAAAAAAAAAAAAATTAACAGTTGAATGAAAATTTAGGTTTTATGTCTTCAGAAACATTAGAATGTGAAAAGTATAACAGAATAACAGTTTTAAAAAATTGGAGCAAATAATGACTTTTTCACGAAGGTTTTGATTTATTGCATAATGGCATGCTGACATTGTTTCCATGATAAACTGATCTCTCTTTTGTAGATGCAGGATCCTTATCCTCCCATTTCAAAGAACCGACAAACATCTGCCCCCGCAGCCACCAGAGCTGGATCGCGACCCACCTCAAAATATGGCAATCAGCCATCCATGACAAAGGATGATCGAGGAGGATTATCAGTGACCAGCTCTCGACTGGTAAGTTTTGGCAGTGACAGAATGGTTAAATGTGGCATGTACTTGAGAGATTCTATGAGATATTGTACTTACTTAGTCCTCTGATTTAGTTCCTACTCTTCTGTCTCTTTGGTTCAGTAAATGTGTTGCTTTGAATTTGAGGAAATTTGCACTGGTTTTCCAAGGAAGTCTATCTGATTTCCAGGTTAACGCCATGATTTAAATACCAAGCAATAAAACATCTCTCCCTTCTCTTTCAGTCTGGTAGCAAAAAATAACGTATGTTGACATTGAATTCACATACACAGATTCTCCTTTGATTGCCAGTGATTTCTGAACTTAGAAAATGCTATCAATTTGTTCTGTGATTAACTTTCAATTTCTATTTTCTTTTTTGTTGTTCAGAATTATCAGGATTTGAATCAGTTAAATTGTTGACTGTTTTGTTATTCCTCCAACTAACAAAGCAAAATATTTTTTATATAATATAACCACAAAACAGAATTTAATGGAAATAGATTATTGGATTGAATCATCAGGGTTTATATATATATTTTTTTTCCTACCACAAATACAATTTTTGGTGATGTGATTTCTCATCCTGATAATTCCTTATTGACACATGTATGCAGTGTTCAGGCTAGATATTAACCCACTCTAACTTTTCTATTTCTCTGTTGAAGTGTGTGCATCATGATACACCTCTTCATCATGTTTGTGTTTCGTTACATTCCTTTGTGTTGATTCTAACATTTTTTCTGGGTGAATCCAATAATTGGGCTCATTTTATCAACCAGAAGTCTGATAAGAAAATTTCTACTTATGTATTGTTTTATGTGCTTTTCTGGCCTGAATACTGTTTAGGTGCCATTTTATGTGTAATTTTTTTTTGTTGGTCAACACTGTATAGGGTAAATGTTCTTTGAGCCTCTTTTCTTTTAGAGAGAGAATTGATCTCTTAAAATTTATGGATAAAGGTTGAAAAGGCAAACAAACTGAATTTGGAATGTGATTGAGAGAAAGTATATTTTTACCCAAAGCACTCAATTAAGAAAAAAACCCTATACAGCAGTTTAAAAAAAGAAGTAAAGAAAATTCAGGTAACATGAACATGCCGATTTTCTCTACAGTTAGGCATTGGTCGGTTGATAAAATGTGCAATGGATCCACCACTTCCGCCCATACGATCTTCGTATCAAGCATATCGTGATTCGTACCATGACCCATATCACCGTGGGGGTGGTAACACGTACCACGATATATTCTACGATTCTTATCAAGATGGGGATGTAAGTGAAAGTGTGGCTGTTGCTTTGTGCTGTTTTTCTAATCACATATGTGTTGGTTGTAGTTTGCAGCTGTTTGATCAGTATTTTTATATCATAAGCACTGCACAAAAAATTGTAGCTAATGAATTTGATATTTTACCATTTTAGTAGTCCCAGCCAATTAGATACTTCCCATTTAAAAGCATTTATTTTCATCTTTGAATGAACATTCTATTTCACCACATCACCAGTAATCCTTTAAATCCTTTTCTGATACAGTAGAGCTATCGTTCCATGATCAGAAGGTTCTGGGTTCAAACCCTGTCCACAACAAACTTAAGTCAATAAAAAATAGGTAGCAACTGTTCCTTTGCCAAGTCCTATTACTTTGAAGTGAAACAGAAAGTTACAGATCTTTCTGATGAGACCTTAAAAACTGTCACAACAAGTATGGCACAATTAAGATCCCTCACTGTTCAATAGATCTGAGTAAAGGTGTAAATTTGAAGCCCTTCAAGAGTGTATAATGACCCCTCATATGAGTAAAATAATCATGCAGGGAATGTAATAAAAGCGATAAACAATCAATCAATCAATTTTTGATACATATAGATATAGTCAAAAATTATAAAATGACAGTTTCATCCCAGATTTTTTAACAGAACTATGGACAAATTAAATGAGCTTGATCCCTAGGACTTCTTTAAATGGAATGGTCATGGTAGCTCAGTTGGTAGAGTGCTCGCTCAATGATCAGAAGGTTGTGTGTATGAATCATGGCCGCGACTGACCTAAGTCGATAAAAAATAGAAAGCAGCTGTTCCTTCAACAAGTGATCGGCACTTTGAAATGAAAGTTGCGGGTCTTTCGGATGAGACCTTAAAAAAAACAGAGGCCCATCGTGTCATGGTAGGTGTTGGGCCGTTGACACAATAACGAACCTTCACTGCTCAAAGGCCCTGAGTGCCGAGTAAAAGGTTTATATTTGAAGCCCTTCACCGGCATAAAGTGACGTCTATATGAGTGAAAAATTCTCGAATAAAACAACATACAATCAATCAATCTTTAAATGTACCAAATTTCAAAGTTTTTGTACCAAATATAAAACATAATCCATTGCAATGAGAGTATTTTTCCTCAGTTTATTATGGTTTGGATATAGTCATTTTTGGTGCCCAGTATTTTAGGTAGCTTGAAGAATAGAGTTTTACTTCTGTATCTTGAGCATAGATATGTTGAATTTTATGGATTTTTTTGAGATGGCAATCCTGGCCATTACAAATATTCATATTCTGAACTTCAATACCTCAAATCCCAGGTATTTCCATCTTTTGTGACAGCCCTGACATGTTCGTGGTATTGAAGTTTGAATATATATAAAAGAGAACAAATTTTATTGGAATCATAGAGGGGAAAGATTTGCATTTGACAACACTGTGATTTGGTTCTTCAAGTTTTATGAATTTATTCAAAAAATCACAGGAGTCCGAAGTTTTTATTGTGAAAAAAAAAATATCGTAAAATTTTTTTCACTCTTTACTATAAAAACTTCTGACTCCTGTAGTTTAAATGTACAATGATTTATCTTTCAGCTATCACACCTGTGGCATCAGTTATTTGTACCAGATAATAGGAATATATTTTTTTCTGTTATATTGTAATAATAAGTAAATTTTGCATCCCAAAATTTTGCAGTTTGGTCCTCCAACTTTAACATTGTAATTTTCATGCTTTCCCTGACTACACCATTGGCTATTGTGCAGAAATGGCTAGGATATAAATATTTTGCTGCTATATTTTATACATTTTTAGTAGGACCACATTAGAAATTAAATGTATGATATACAAGTAATACTGTCATGAATAAATGCTAACCAATCATGCAAGGCACAGCTCATTGATAAATAAAAATAAATGCTTCATACTTAATATAAATTTCTATTTAATAGATGATTTAATATGTGTAAAGTACTTTCCATATCTTGATCCCTGTAGACTCCAAGTAGTGCCCATGTAAAAATTACTGCATACATGTAATAAAATTTACTATATGTAAATTAACTACATTTAATTAGGATTATGTAATAAAATTCACAACATGTAATACTGTCATGAATAAATGCTAACCAAGCAAGCAAGGTACAGTTTATTGAAAAATAAAAATAAATTCACTATTTGTAATTTATTAAAATTCACTACATTTAATAAGCAATTTGGCTCTTCAAATCTGTGATGCTATACATTTACTTAAAAGCATTAAAAAGGGAATACAATGTAGATGCTGTATTTTTCATTTTTATTTCAGTTTTCCTTGAGGCAAGGGTTACCAATATACTGAAATAGTCTCTTTTGCAAATGTTTAACTTTTTTTCTCTTTGCTTGATTTTCTCTAGCCTATAATTTTTTTCTTTTTTTTGAAAAATATTGTTAAGATTTCAAATCCATATTTCTTATAGAAAAGTAGTCACATATGCATTGTATTTCCAGAGTAAAACTAATTTCTGTCAATAAAGTCAGATTTTGTTATCTTGAAGGTACCAGGACAACGGCCAGTATCTGCTACAACCCAGAAACAGAAACCAATCTATGGAAAAAAGCAGTTCAACAATGCAATAAACAACCCCTCCCATGGTGCCCCCAAAGCTTACTTTGGAAGCTACACCCAGAATGTTGGAGTAATCTCCTCCTCGGGACTAGCTGCTTTGCAGGGTGGGAAAAAATCTTGATGGTCTTCTGCAGAGTATGCCATCTCCATGGAAACTTATCTGCTGTGTACTTACTATCTGGCCAATCAAAATTTCAGTTCATCAGGTTTTGAGATTTTCTGTTAGCTTGTCTAGTTTAGATGACATTAAGAAATAAGACTTGGTAATTAGAATTGTTAAGTTAGTAAAATACATTTTCTGGAAAATTTTCGTTTGTATAAAGTTTATGTTCAATATCAAGACATGGCCACAGGAAATCAGAAATTTTCTTTTAATATTCTAAACAAGAAACATTACAGAGATGATCTTGGAGTGGAATACATTGTCCATGTATACTCAAATTGCCATAAAGAAGTTTAATCAGTTTGGATGGTACATCAATATTTTGCATTTAATGATCTCTTTAAATGTTTCTGAAACCAATTTTCTCACCCCATTGCACCATACCCCCCTTTACTCCTTGCTCTTTGCATAAAATATTTTCTGTAGTTAACCATATATAACCTTGCAGTAGTTGGGTTCATTTTCAATATCTTGTTGTATAAAAAGATTATTACTCTAATTACATGTTTTAAGTACTTAGAGTGACTTAGTGGGATTGTTTCTTCTTAATCTTCGTAGTTGACGAAATCTTTTGTGGGTCTTAATAAGATCTACATCAATGAAATTAAATTTTCTTGATTTTTTCCCCTATTTCCAATGTAAAATAAAAAGTCTTTAATTTTTTCAGAAAAACAGATTTTGTCATACATCAAAATTCTTCGTAATTTTGAATTGTAAAAATTGAAATTCAGTTTCAGTTTTTGAAGATAAATGAGAAATATATCCCTCAATATAATGTGTTCATTAGCTGTATATAATAGCATTTCTTGCATGATGCAACCATCCAAGGAAACCTCATCATATAACAGTATTAAACCCATATATTTACAACACTACAATTAAAAAAAATCATCAGTCTGGTTTGCAAGGTATTTGATAATGCTAGAGCAGTGTGATTTGCAAAATGTTGTTTGTTGGAATTTGGAAATAGTGTCAGAAGTTCAATCATCAATATTTTTAATATAAATGGGACAAAGTCCAGTTAAATGAACTGGATTCTTAAAGTTGTCACATGTTTGTGTTTTTATTATTTTTTTTTTCATCAATGATGTGCTGCAATGAAAATCATTCACTCATTGTACCACATTGTATTGTTGATACAATTTTATTGTATAAAATTGTTATTCATGCTAAATAAAAATTATAATAATCATTTTGCATATTTAAGTATATACATTTAAAATGATGTGTATGTAAAATAATCATATTTATGAAATATTTATTGTGAGTGATTGTTGAAATCATATTCATGTAACATTTATTGTGTGTGATTGATTTATTTTAGTTTCATTTGAACATATGGCTTACATGCTTATTTTTCTTTTTTCCCCCTTAAAATAGTTTTTCTGAAAAAGGGACTTATTGTGTGTGAAGCTGCGAGAAAGAATCCGGAAACACTTTTTGTGTCGTGTAATACATGTACCATGATTTCTTTTTTAATCTCTAATTGCTTTTCCCAATCGATTTTGATTGCAATATGCATTTGTTTTTAATAATATTTTTTTCAGTTAAAGGCCTTATGGTCCAGAAAAGTTGTTTTTATATTAAACTTAAGTTCTTTGAGGTCCTTGTAGCTTTTAGCTTTCAGGTAACAGAGTATTGGAAAAGTTAATTGACATACATTTAAATATTATAGTTAAAGGGGAGAAACAATTTTGAGGTGGAGTGTAATATTGTGTATTGTCAAAAACATCTTGAAGTAGAGTTGGACGTACAGCCTTAAACTGTTAGCAAACAGGAACATCAGAGAGAGAGAAAAGGGGAGGGGGTGTTGAAAGCAAATACATGTACATTTACATGTATTTTCATAAGGACAGTAACTTGTGAGACAGAGGTACATATGTTGCATGAATCCATTCTTATGTGTATGTATTTTGGAGGAGCTCTATTTCTCAGATTTTAGCCACATCTTTTAATTTTTTATGATGTAAATGCTAATTCCAATGATATGTGATATATTTAAATCCTTGTGATTTTATACCAGTTGATAATTTTATTGTATATAGAGTTAATCACCAACATTCCGTCCTATACAATGTTATCATACAATTTTTATTGAATGTTAAACTTAGCATTATATTTTTAGTTGTATTTTTGTGACACATCAGCTGCCCTTTTTTTACAAGTAGGTTCACGTTGAATAGTGTCAACCTAGAACTCTAAATATTAACAGCTACACGAAAGAAATAAAGGTGGATGAAATAAATCAAGGTATTGATGTTTTATCTTTAGGTTTCATATTCCTCAATTTGGAACACCCCATATTCCATGTGTTGATATTTTTTAAAAAGAAAGGTTTTTATTATTTACGCTAACTTTTGTGACGTCCCTGAAAGGCACTTGGAAACTCTGGGAGAGGTGGAGCATTAACAAATTTTTTTTTCAAAATTATGAAAAATTGCAAAATTATGTTTATATAAGTAAAATGTAAGTTTATCCGCATGAAGTTTCATTTTTCATTCAAGATTTCTCAATTTCCTATAAAGTGATAAAAAAAAATTGTATCTATTTTTAAAGGTGATGACCAAAAGGAAGAAATTTGATCAAATAGAAAGTCTACAATTTCTTAGTATTTCAGGGAATGATGTAGGCCTATTTACAACCAAAATGAGTCCAAAAATTTTACCATTCCAAATTTTGTATGTAGAGTGTGTCCAAAAGATAGGTTCTGTCAATGTCCTTAAAGAGAAGTCGCTTTTCTTACAAAGATTTGGAGTGAGTACAAAATCATAGCTGTTACGTAGCCCCATTGTAGCGAACAGAACATGTATGTTAGCCAACCCATATGCAATGAGACTAGCATGTAAGAGCCAAATCGGTAATGGCATTCTTGGTACCCATTTCCCGTCAAACTTGATAATTAATACATAATTTTGAATTGTTTTCGCAATCCCTTGGAATTACATGTACATGTATATTTACATATTATTTTCGCTTGACTTCCCCCTCTAAAATTAATGACAGATACATGTATTTGTATCTTCGGAACATATGAACTCAGTGGCAAATGAGCAGTCCGTACAAGAGAGCTAGATATCTCGCACATAGGGGCTTACTTTTAATAACATTCCGCTAGGATCTGAATGTTATTAAAAGTGAGTGGAAATAATAATTTAAAAAGAAATCTGCTGCATTTTCATGCATCAGTTCCATAGGTAGGTCAGAATTTCTTTGTCGAAAAGTTTTTATTTTTATACAGCATTGGTCTATTAAACAAAGTTACGCGGGGAAAAAAATCGGAAGCATTTCTGGAATGAACAAGGTCATTAATGTCACAAAGACGTTTCATCATTAAATTTTAATTCCGTAAATTGTCGATAAAATTCTTAAATGAATTATAAAACACAAAAAACGTCATTCTTTCCCGTTTAAAAAGACTGTTAACACCTGTACGAAGAAATATTAAGATTTTATGAGAGTTAGTTACATAGAAGTAAAACTTCTTAATTTTTACAACCTCTTAAAGCCAACTTTATCATATAGGGCTGTTCGTCCATTATTTTAGTTTCCCGTTATCAGCCGCTTAAAGGCACCGTGTTGACATTATGATTTTATGTAAATATCCAATCCTCTCGTGCATTCGAGGTATCATCATTTGTTGCAATAATAAGCTCATTGGGGTAATTATTGTCAAAATCCCTGTAAATAAATAAACAAAACTTTATCGCCTAAATTGTCATAATTCCACACTGATGACCGCTACACACTAAGGGGGTTCTAAAGAGGGAGGTTTCTTAATAAGTATTAATACTGTCCAGTAATTACACACAAAAAATCAAAAATTAAAATTTTGTATTACACGAGGAATATAAATTTGAGATATTTTGAACATCTTTATGAAATAAAACTGACACTAAAATGGATTTTGATTTCTGTTGTATGACATCCCTTTCTTTGCCTCATATACCCCTTATGAGTAACGCAAAACAACTTTCCCACCCAAAATATAGTCTATACCAAATGAATTATAGTTCTGCAAGTCAACGAGAACCATTCAGGATAACGTGAGCACGAGTAAAATCTTTATGAAAATGGGAATTTATGTGTTTTTAATTACATTTCTTCTTGCTTTTCACGTCATTGCTGAAGATGACGTCATTCTTGCTGTCTTGGGAAATGCCGTAGTTCTGGACTGTAAGATTCCACAAACAGACACCATTATCTGGGACCGACCAGACGGTACTATCATCGCCATCAAAGGAGTCCTTCACCGGTCCGTGAATTCCAGCAGGTTCTCCGTACAGAACAACACGTTGCTGCAGTCTCTGAGCATTCACAACCTAATGCTGAAAGACGATGGCGTGTACAGATGCTATGATCTCACGGACGCTGGCATTAAACAGAACTTTACCGTAAATATATTCGGTAAGTCTCTCTTATTATAAAATGTTTGACACAATAAACTTTTTTCTATAACATTTATGCTAATCTCTTATCAACTATAAGCTTGCAAAAAGCCTGATCCTGAAAGATTACCAAACCCTTTTATATAAGTCATATAGTAAAAGAACATAATTGTAATATGCTGTGGTAATATATAGGAAGAAGAGGCCCATGGACCACAATGCTCACCTGAGTAATTTTGGCCCTGATGTTCTTCACCAGATCCCCCCCCCCTTGTAATACTTATTGTGGCCCCATCATACCCCTGGGGGTCATGATTTGAAGAATTAAGAATACCTCAGGAAGCTTCCACATAAGTTTCAGCTTTTCTGACCCAGTGGTTCTTAAGAAAAGGATTTTTTTTTTTTTTAGAGATTTTTCCATTATATTTCAATGTAAAACTTGGATTCCCTGTTGTGGCCCCACCCTGCACCGGGGGTCATGATTGGAACAATTCAGAATCTACACTACTCTACCCCAGGATGCTTCCACATGAGTTTCAGCTTTTCTGGCCCAACGGTTCTTAAGAAGAAGACTTTTAAAGATTTTTCCTGTATATTTCAATGTAAAACTTTGATTCCCTGTTGTGGCCCCACCCTACCACCGCGAGCCACAATTTGTTCAATTTAGAATCTACACTACCCCAGGATGCTTTCACACAAGTTTCAGTTTTTCTGGCCCGGTGGTGCTTGAGAAAAAGATTTTTTAATGGCTCCACCCTATTTGTGTCTTTTCTTCATTATCTCCCATTGTAAGGGGGCTTGGCCCTTCGTTTTAACAATTTAATGAGGTTGGATCCTGATATTTAAAGTCTTGAACTTTTTTTGTCAAGTATATTTTTAGTTTCTACACACATAGCTAAATTAAAAATCAAAACAAGAAATGGGGGTCAGTATGCTTCTTTTGGCGCTACAATACATTCAATATGACCTTTTTGCACTGAAATTTGTGTCTTAATCAAAAATCACATCTTCGACATTTTCCCTACAATGTTTTTATCCAAATAAATCATGGGACAAAATAAACTATTATCTATTTTAAAAAAGACACATTAAAATTGTGACTAAGAAAAAATTTCAAATTTCTTCGCATAATCAATTATTTGACCTTTCTGCACTCACAACATGTGATTTTTCTGGAATTAAAAATTTAACATGCAAAAAAAAATTATTTTAAAGTCTTAAACTTTTGCTGAATTTAAGCAGATTGATCAAAGTTATCTTATATATTCAGAAAAGAAAATCAAAAGTGGGGGTCTATGATGTAAATTTTTAGATATTGCTAAAAAAAGTGTCAACTTTATGTTAAAATTGGCTCAATTTTTATCTCGACTTTCAGAATATATTTACTATATTTGTCACTATATGATTAAAGAATTTATAAGAAATAATTTAATAGATATTTCAGAACCAGCATAGAACATTTCACTGCAAAAAACAGCTCTGTGTGCAACCAGTATGGGAAAATAGCAATCTAAACTTAACAGTACTGTATATATTTCAAAAGGGAAAAACTGATCATTTTCTTCTAAAAAACCTTCCGCCACAAAATATAGTTCCTGGCTTAATCCTACTTGAATGGAATTTAATTGCGGTTTTTTCATTGGATATAGTTAATTTGCATTGTAGAATCAAGATTTAATGTTAGAACTTAAAAATGATGCAGAATTTTAGAAATAAAGGTCCAGACCAAAATCTGCTCAAAAGCTCAGGATCGAACCTCCTTAAACTTCCCTTTACCCAAGGATGCTTTGTACAAACTTTGGGTAAAATTGGTCCAGTGGTTCTTGAGAAGAAGTTGAAAATGTGAAAAGTTTACAGACGGACGGACGGACGACGGACAACAGGTGATCAGAAAAGCTCACTTGAGCTTTCAGTTTAGGTGAGCTAATGGCGTAAAAGGCGAATCCTTTTTTTATTGTACCCGCAATTTCTTAAGAAAGTTTGGTATACAGCTCAAAAAACTTATAAACCTAACATGCTTTTGTAAACTTATCAAATTCACATTCTGAATATAAAATCATACATGTAGCTGCAAAGAAAACATACGATGATTCATGATTGAAATTTTCTTTTCCATCATTTAGTTACTTCCCCTTTTGCACAAGTAACAGCTTAAGGTTTTACCAAAGGTCAACATGCCCAAAAATTTATTTTTACAACAGCTCCAAAACTATGTGAGGTATTAAGTTTAAACTTTAACAGTTTATAAATATATCATTGATTAACAGATAGAAAGTATCACTTAAAACAAATATTTAAAAACAAATATTTTTTGAGAAAACACAATTTCAAAAAATTTGCATATTTTAAAAAAAATGCACCTGCTTATTCTGTACTGTTAGTGAAAACCATCATTGAAGAAATAATATATGTTTATCAATGAAGGGCAAGTTGGACGTGAATGGTCTCTGAAAGGCTGAAATTGAAAGCATGACATGTATAAAGACAAGACCCCTATAAAATCCGCCATTTGCAATGTACTTTCGGTTTCAGATCTTAACATTTGGACAAAATAAACAGGGAAAACAACTTTCCAGAGGCTATCGAAGTCCAACTTGCCTTTCATTGATAAACATATATTGTTTCTGCAATGATGGCTTTCACTTAAAGTACGGAATTAATTAGGTGTATTTTTTAAAAATATATGCATTTTTTAAAAAGAGTTTTTCTCGATAAATACTTTCTTTAAGTATTTGTTATCAAGTGATACTTTCTATCTGTTAATCAATTATATATTTATAAACTGTAAAAGTTTGAACTTTATAAACCACATGGTTTAGAAGCTATTGTAAATATAAATTTTTGGACACGTTGACCTTTGGCAAAACCTTAATATCACCAAGTTTGTTATGAATTAAGCTTTCACAGTACGTTTTTTTTGGAATTAAGTACCCTAAGTGTCTTCCACGTGTCTTTTTTGAGCCGTTGACAAGTTTTTACCGAAGTTTTCTTATTCCACCGTAAATTCCACCTTAAATGTTTCAGATTGAGTTTCATTCAAGATTGCTTCCCGGTCGATTTAGTGTAGAAGATGTATTGTTTTTGAGAAACTCTCTTGTGCTCATCAGGAGATACTGAAAGCTGTTATTACCATGGTACTTGTTAAGTATTTCCCAGGATTTCCTAGGAAACAATTTAAGTGTTTTATTTAGCAGCATACTATTACTCAAAAAGCACACCAGTTTCTCAGTCGAAATGTAGTTTTTACACTTCCGTTGGCCTTATACAGTCCTGATTTACACCAAAATAAAAACATTTTGGGTCAAATAAGGAAGACCGGACCTTACTCAAAACTTGGCAACAACTTTAAAAGTTAATTAAAAGATATGTGGAAGGCACGCTAGCAATTTCTGCAATAACTTAGATCATAACATGCCTAAATGTATTGAGACTGTTATTCATTCAAAAAGGGGAGCAAAACTAAGTACTACTAAGTAACTTTTCATCATGAATATCAAAATTAATATAAATTAGCAAAATTCATCATAGATTGAGCTGTATCATTGTTGTCTTGAACCGTCCAATTGTCACACTACCTTCTCCCCCCCAAAATCCTCATAAACTTTAAGCAGTAGCTACTTCTTCTTTTAGAATAAGATAGACATCATATTGAACAAGCTTATTCAGGGAGTTTGTGTCCCCCGTTTCAGGGAAAAAAGAAGAGGGCGGAAGAACTAAAAAAAAAAATAATACAAGAAAGAAGGTCAACCTTGACCTTCCAGCTTTTGGTCTGAAAGTCAATAGATGTCTTTTTTAAGCTAGAGAAACACATGACCTTAACTTTCATTGCAAAAGCTCACATGGAACTAAAGTTATCACTTGAAAAATTATATATTCAATATATAAATTTCTGACCTTGGTCTTTGACCTTTTACCTCAAATCAATAGGATTTTTTCAGTCATAATGACTAAAGGTAAAAAATTTCATTGCAAAACATTAAAGAGAACTAAAATTATCACCAGGAAACCATTTTATGCCAGATTTGGAATTTTGACCTTGACCTTTGACCTAAAAATAGAAAAAAACGTAAAGTCATCGGAAGTTACAATATAAAAATTTCATTGAAAAAGCTCTAGGAAAACAAAAGTTAATTTCTGGAAACCATCTTTGCATCGTATGAATTTCTGACCTTGACCTTTAGGCCATAGGGAGTTGTGATATAATTTCATCGCAAAATCACAAAGGCTTTTTAGATATCACCTCCAAAAGTGTAATACACTACAGATGGTAAGAAGATAGGCGAAGAAGGCGTGCAGATTGTCTATAGCTTCAAATATATAAAAATCATATTCAGTTTGTGAATTTAGTATTTTAAGTTCTTAATATTGAAATTTATAAAATTATGACAAACAAAACTTTTTTTGCGGAAAATCTTTTCGGCAAAAATTATTCTATTATTAAAGAAATAATGAGGCATTCTTGGGGTTCGAACCTAGCAATAGAAATCCTGAATATTATTTTCCTTTGAGACTAACACAACCACTAACTACAGCTAGTTGAATATTAGATTAATCATTAGGCCTATTGAATACAAGAAACACTTTTTGCTGATATTTGTAAATGTACAGAAAATGGAGGCGCCTTCTAATTTCTCAGAGGGCCTGTAGTTTTCACTGACTGGCAGGTCCTACGGGGCAGTGGAACAAAACAATTTTGGGGAAGACTGATTAGTAATATAAAATGTTGAAAAGAAAATGTACTTTTAATGCCTAAAAAAAACCAAAGTTATATGAAAACTTTTTTAGCTCACCTGAGCCGAAGGCTTAATTGAGCTTTTCTGATCAAAATTTGTCCGTTGTCTGTCGTCGTCGTTAACTTTTCACAATTTCATCTTCTTCTCCAGAACCACTTGGCCATTTTGACCAAACTTGCCACAAAGCATCCTTTGGTGAAGGAGATTCAAGTTTGTTCAAAGGAAGGGCCATGCCTTCTTTCAAGGGGAGATTATTAAAAAAATAGTGAAAATTTGGTGATATGTTTTCAAAATCTTCTTCTCAAGAACCACTGGCCCAGAAAAGATGAAACTAATATGGAAACATCCTCAGGTAGTATCAATTCAAGTTGTTCAAATCATGACCCCTGGAGGTAGGGCGGGACAAAAATGGATGATCAAATTTTTACATAGGAATACATAGGGAAAATCTTTAAAAATCTGCTTTTCCAGAATCACTTGGCTAGGAAACATGAAACTTATGTGGAAACATCCTGAGGTAGTGTAAATTCAAGTTTGTTCAAACCATGACCTCCGGAATTGGGACGGGGCCACTATGGATGATCAAAGATTTACAAAGGAATACAAAGGAAATATCTTTAAAAATCTTCTTCTCCAGAAACACTGGGTCAGGAAAGATGAAGCTTACCTGGAAACATCCTCCGGTAGTGTAAATTCAAGTTTGTTCAAACCAGGACCGCTCGGGTTGGGGCGTGGCCACAATGGATAATCAAAGTTTTACAAAGGAATATATAGGAAATATCTTAAAAAATCTTCTTCTTCAGATCCATTCGGTCAAAAAGATGAAACTTATGTGGAAACATCCTCACGTAGTGTAATTTCAAGTTTGTTCAAACCATGACCTCCGGGGTTGGGACGGGGCCACAATGGATGATCAATGAAAGTTTTACAAAGGAACACATCGGAAATATCTTTAAAAAATTTTCTTCTCCAGAACCATTAGGTCAGGAAAGATGAAACTTATAAGGAAGCATCCTCAGGTAGTGTAAATTCAAGTTTGTTCAAACCATGACCAACGGGGTTGGGGCGGGGCCACAATGGATAATCAAAGTTTTACATAGGAATACGTAGAATATATCTTTAAAAATTTTCTTCTCCAGATCCATTAGGTCAGGAAAGATGAAACTTATGTGGAAACATCCTCACGTAGTGTAAATTCAAGTTTGTTCAAATCATGACCTCCGGGGTTGGGACGGGGCCACAGTGGATGATCAATGAAAGTTTTACAAAGGAACACATCGGAAATATCTTAAAAAATCTTCTGGTTCTCCAGATCCATTAGGTCAGGAAAGATGAAACTTATAAGGAAGCATCCTCAGGTAGTCTAAATTCAAGTTTGTTCAAACCATGACCAACGGGGTTGGGGCGGGGCCACAATGGATAATCAAAGTTTTACATAGGAATACGTAGAATATATCTTTAAAAATTTTCTTCTCCAGATCCATTAGGTCAGGAAAGATGAAACTTATGTGGAAACATCCTCACGTAGTGTAAATTTAAGTTTGTTCAAATCATGACCTCCGGGGTTGGGACGGGGCCACAGTGGATGATAAATGAAAGTTTTACACAGGAATACATCAGAAATATCTTAAAAAATCTTCTTCTCCAGAACCATTAGGTCAGGAAAGATGAAACTTATAAGGAAGCGTCCTCAGGTAGTGTAGATTCAAGTTTGTTCAAATCATGACCTCCGGGGTTGGGGCGGGGACACAATGGACGATCAAAGTTTTACATAGGAATACATAAGAAAAATCTTTAAAAATCTTTTCAAGAACAGCAAAGCCTTGATTGGTCTTATTTACATGGAAGCATCCTCAGGTAGTGTAGATTCAAGTTTTTTTTCAAATCATGACCTCCAGAGGTAGGGTTGGACCACAATGGACGATCAAGGTTTTACATAGATATACATTGAAAAAAACTTTAAAATCTTTTCAAGAACAGCAAAGATTATGACTCCTGGGGTAGGGCATTGCCACAATAGAAATTAAAACTTATGGGAAAAAATCTTTAAAAATTTTCTTAAGCCATTATGTCAAAGACATATGGAAGCATCCTCAGTTAGTGTGGATTCAAATTTGTTCAAATCACCCCCCCCCCCCCTCCCAAGGGGTAAGTTGATACCACATATAAAATACTGAACTTCTAGCCAAAGTGCTCAGGTAAGCGATGTGGCCCATGGGCCTCTTGTTTTCTTGTATACATAGCCTATATGTTTACATAAATATCTTTTAAATTATCGTTTTCATCGGAATAGAATGTATCTTTAGTTTTTACCCAATCATCTCTATTCGAACTGGATGGGAAAATTCTTGTCTTTGTTTAGAGAATCTTGTACCATTTCACAAGTGATCTGTACTTTTTGTGAGGGCTAGGGGATAATGAACTCTCTATAAGTTGTAAGAATAATAAGTTTTCCTCAATATTGTTGGCGACTGAAGGTTAAATTCTTTTCCTCTGTGTTTCATATCTCTTAGAATTAATGCTTATATTGTAACACAGGGATGACAAGTTTTTGATTATGAACTATTTTATCGTTTTAAGAGACAAACCTTGACAATTTTCTTAACCTCTCACATGGTCCAGTTATCAAAATGTAGTTGTAATTTACAGGGCACTTCAGTATACTATGTTGACATTATTTTTCTAGTCCGCCCTACCCAGTTTTCTGTTAAGGGGCCAGGAAGAACTGTCAACGAAGGCTCTATACAGACTTTTACGTGCAAGGCAGACGGCGGGATACCTCCACCGTTTGTGCGATGGCACTTATTAGGTATGTCCATTCAGGATTTTCAAAAGCACCCAAACATGCACCGTATTGAATTTACCGAATTTATTATTGCATATTTCATCTATTTTACTAAAAGGTCCAAACACAAATGGAACAACTTACACAGGGCGTAACTCGGATACTAAATATTCTAATGGTACAATATTACGAGTGAATACTCTACGACTTCAAATAAGCAGAGAGATGTATAAAGGGTCTATCATCTGTGATACCAGCATACAGTATTACTACCAAGTCCAGCAGACAATTGTCCTGGATGTGAACCGTAAGTTGTCGTTCTTTGTACGTCATTTAAATGAAAAAAGTTTAAGATAACGAACAACATGTAGAGATTAAGAAAAACCTGACAGTTGGGACAAATGTATTTTTTTATTCTTAACTTTATTGCATGGACTCTTTTAAACAAACATTGATTTTTGTAGTTACACCATTGACACCCATCTTTGATGGCTTTTCTGGTTTGTTTGACGATGGAGATTCTAAACCCATCTCATGTCACAGTAACGGAAGTAGACCCGCAGCAAATATATTCTGGATGCTGAATGGCGTCCGCATAAACAGTACATCCTCACAAAGAATTAAAAACGCTGATGATACATTCCTTGTTAGAGGCACTTTGGTTCGGAAGTTAACTAAAGCCATGGAAAGGCAGATTCTTTCTTGTGTTGTCACAAACTCAGTTCTGCAGACGACAACTACACGCAGTCTAAGTCGTTCGGTTGTACTCCTCCCAAATTGTAAGAGTTCTGCTACATAAATGTAGGAGAATGATTAGCTTTTCTTGTAGTTTCTTCTTTGCTAATAGAAATACTTATATGCAAGAACATGTAGAACTAAGCAAAATTCAACAATTACTTGATCATAAACCCTCTAAAACTTCTAAGAATATCAACAACACACAGACCACTTAATTAAAATTCAAAGTTTATATATTTCAAGAGCTTACAAAAAATCGAAATATTTTTTGTCACTTTGCAGACTCCCCTTCCATATCGGCAGATAACGGTACTCGGACAGTTGAAGAAGGAAAATCGCTTGTTCTTCATTGTGTTATTGAAGCCCGACCTCTTCCCCCACAGAAACAAAAGCTATGGTTCTTCAATGGATACCCTATTTCAGATTCTAATTACAACATCACACGCCTTGATATATCGTTGTCCAAGCTAAGAGCAAGCATTTACGTCAAACACATTCATCGGTTTGTTGTTTTTATTTTAAAAAACAATCAAAATTCTTTTTAAAAATGAAATTTTTGAAATGATTATTTTGCTTGTTTCCTTGCAGAAACCAGAGTGGTCAATATAGCTGTCAAGGCTATAACCACCTTGGAGCAGCCAAAGGTCCAGCCATGAATGTACAGACGCTGTGTACGTATTAACTAAGTCACAATAACTGAATCACAACGCTACCTTTTCTAATTTTCAATCAAATACTTTAAAATAAATATTTTGTTTTTTGCAGATAGCCCTATTTGCTCTTTCTCTGGAGTTCAAAAATATGCTGCTCCCGTTGGTGGTCGAGTATCTCTCACGTGTCGTGTAACAGCCAATCCAAATAATGTTACTATGAGATGGCGATATATACAGAGAAATGCTCCAATAAAGACGGGGCTTCTTGGTGACGTAGAATCTCAAACTGTATCTTCAACAACTATTGCAATTGATGTTGCGTAAGTTCTCGTATATATATATATACTTGTACATGTATATACAAATGGAGTTTCAAAATATTTAATATGTCATCTTAGCCAGTACTTAGTATGTAGTTTACTATAGTAGGGCAAGACAGTTGCTGACCATAAAGGACTTACCGCATGTATACAGAATTGCACTGCTATAGAATGGCGTGGATAACATGAAAATGGAAATGTTGAAAACTATGATAAAAACAGAAACTAAGCTGTTTTTAATTACTGTGTTGTACAGTTTAGGTGTTCAACCGCGGTTACAAGTAGTGCAAATCATTAATTTGAAATGTATGTGTTGCAGATCAAACAACCAGTACGCAGACATCGCATGCATTGCAACCAATATGGTTGGTGATATGATGTTTCCCTGTCTGTATCGTATCATGGAACCAAGTACGTTAAGGTTTTTTATAGTGTCTTTACATAGGCCTCTCTCCTTATATATCTCTCTATAGCTCTCTTTTAATTAATAGGTAAATCTTTTTGTAGGTCCTCCTGAAATTCCAAAAAATTGTTCTACAAACACATTGAGCGACACAGAGATCCAGATTGAGTGTACCCCAGGATTTAATGGAGGTTCTCCTCAGCATTTCCTTTTACAGATGCTTGAAGGTTACAACGACAGAAATTTCAACACCATTTCTAACCATTCCACACCGAGTTTTAGAGTCCCTGGCCTAACACCGAATACAAACTACACGTTCCGGATGTGCTCAGGGTCTAGTGCTTTTGCGCGCACAATCAGCTGCGGGGGACCCCTGATGACCACTACCTTAGCAGCGCGTACGTGATTTTATTTCTATTGTCAGGGTCGATCTCTAACTTTTCTACGCATGCACTATAATGAAGAATTTTTTTCTGATACTTACTTAATAATCACGCTCTATTGTTAATTACTTGTCTGTTTCTTGGCATTTATGCTCTCTTTTTTCTGTTAACATTGATCAGGTTACAATGCGGGTCTCATCCGGTAGAATATTTAAACAAAATATATTGCCATTTATTGTCGTTTATATTGCTGAGAACAGACTCAACATCTATGCTCCATAATAAAAACGTCTGATTAAAGGATAAAAGCTACCTTTAAGCGAAAAGAAAATTGGACCTGAATCAGTTTAATTACTCATTGGTAATATTTTCAGTGTTTGTATTGATATATGTTACATATACCTGGTGGATCAATTTGAAATTTCAGATTATCAGGGCTTTGCAATTGTTCCTCATAAAAATCCAATATTTTTAAAAAGTAATTTTGAGGTACAAGAGAGGTGTTGTATGACAACCCTGTTTTAATTCAGTTAGCAGGTTCATTGTTTTATTCTGCTTTTTTGCAGATGCTGTTGACAAAAAGCGAATATCGTCACCTACTTCACAGGCTAGTACCACACCATACATTGTAGGGGGTGTGGTTGGGTTTCTCGTCCTAGTGGTACTAATTTCTGTACTGGCATATTGTCTCCATAAGAAAAGAAAGGTTGGTAAAGCTGTTGATGAACCTCACACTCTTTACTCTCAAAACAATAATTCCAGCATGCCCTCTATGCCCTCTATCACCGACTGTTTCACGCATGCCCAGTTCCAAAGTGTTGTCAATTTTCCAAAGAGCGCAGACGACAGTCCATTTCAGCGCCAAAGGTCAGTAAGATTTAACTACAAAGTCATCATGTATGGTTATGACCCTCGACAAACAGTTCGAAAGTCGTTGAAAACCAAGAAAAAGCTCAATCAAGTCCAAATGTGATTTATGTCTTGATTATATCTATAATTCTACTCTTCGTTTCTGGGACAACTTCACGTGCTTTCCATTGCAGTGCTCCGGAGGAACCTGCCTTAGTTCGTGTTGCCAAGATAAACGTCGAAAATTCAGAAGTGACGCAGCCAGTAGATAAAGAATTTCGATTAGTGGGCTACTTTTAGCTCAAGATGATCAAGAAATGTGCCAACAAATAATCAGAGTCTTGCCAGTTTTATTATTATTTATGACATCTCACATAAATTACTTCAAACAATACAGTTTGGTAGTAATCTTTTCCCTTTATTTTAGATAGTTCTATATCCGCAGCAATGCAAAGTGAAAAAAATGAACAAATATCGGAAGAGACCACGAGTGTGACACTTTCTACTAATCTCAGTTCACCTGTCAATGCATGCCTCATAAGTACACATCCACATGTACTAGAGTCTCTCTAGAACTTTTTATGGTGATAACTCTTTTAATTTATTTTGCATGTATTTCACCCATAGTTTATATAATTTGTTTCCCGATCAATTTTTATTCAGAACGTGCCAATAATTTTGAATATCAAGTTGCAACTAATATATTTTGTGATAACATTTTATGTGAAACAAGTAATAAAGAATTCTGTTTTGTGTTTACAAGGAAGCATCATATTTAATTTCCTCTTTTTTTCTTCCATGGTTATGAATGATAAGTATGTGTACTGAGCACTGATTTGTACCGTAAGGGCTATGTAATATTCTACTTACGTTCTGCTATTGTTTTCTCATGTTACAATTTCAGTTAGTTAACTATTCCTATCACATTTCCTTATTTTTTCAATAAATCATGCTTATGTATAAGATACACATAAAGAACAACGACATAATTTAATTTACCTCGGAGAAGTAATATTTTTTTTTTTTTGGACATGAAATTTCAAACTGAAACTCAAATTAAATTCTTGCTTAGTAAAATATGCTGAAGTGTTTGTAGCGATTTTTGAATGCGATTATGTTTTGATGAATATAATTTCAATTGAAATTCCATTGATTTACATTAAATATTTTGTGTACTTTGAAGAATGACGTATGTCTAATAAAATTCTTATCTTTTGTTTATTAGTATGTAAAAAGTCAGATCCATTTACTAAAATTTTGAAAATATACGTTGATTTTTACTGTGCGGTCATATGATTCACGGAGCAATCACGAGACGTTTTTTGACATTAGGTGACGTGACAACCTGATTCCAGACCTGTTAAACTTTTTCACAGTTCTAAATATCTTTCATATTCTATAGACTTTTCATGTCTTTTTCTTACTTAAAAATTGAATAACTACTGTAAATCACTTTTTATTCACGTAAACTTTATTTTTGCGTAATTTCGCGAGACAGTGTATTCGCAAATTATCATTCTCGTGTATATCAGTATTCATTAAGATTATATAGAGCATTAACCACAAATCGTGAAAATTGTGTCTCGCTAATGAAGAGTTAATGACTATCTCGCGAAAATAAGGCTTTGCAAAAATTTAGTGATCTACAGTATATCTAGACATGTTACATTTTTTTCTAAATTGTCCTATGAGGCATATCGGAAATTGGTGAGATCTCAAAAACAATGTCTACGCAGTTCAAAAACAATGCAAAATCCATGGGCGCAACGTCTAATGTGCGAAAGGCAGGATATTGGGGCAACGCAGGTGTTAATAGTGAAAAGTGTCAATCCTTCCATTCTTACAAAGTTGCTACCATTGAATATTGTCCGCGAACTTTTTTAACAACCCTCGTACTGATTTATTTACATTTCAAAAAAGATAATTTTTGGTTCAGTTGCACCGAGAGCGAAAGCAATTCCTCCAACCTAGTGAAACCAATATTCACATGCACTTCTTTTTGCATTTAACTATACCCTATTATCTTATGTGTTTATTATTCATGTGAAGTGTTACTTTGTTATCGTAACTTTTAAGATAAGCAGACTTATATATAACTATTTGACAATGTATTTCAAACTGAATGTAACATTTTCCTATTTGCGTAACTTTGTAAAGTATGTCCAGCTGTGGTCAGCCGACCAAATTGTGGACATTTAAACTATAATATTTATATATACCCATGATTTCTAAAGATCGCAGAAATACCCTCATCTTCTCTATTACAAGTCAGAAAATAAAGAATTTAATAAAGCATGAATTTTATTTTAAAAGGCGTTTTGGAAAGAAGATTTTAGTAAAAACATTTGCGACCCCAAATTAACCTACTAGACGAAAAGAGTTTTTACATTTCGAAATGAGCAATTTTAAACAAAATTATTTGGTAGGACACCTTCAGTTTTTCCTCTTGATAAGAGACACGTTGCGTCATTTTTCATATAAAATGAGCAGAAAAAAGTAATTGGCTTATAAAATGCATGGAAAAAACTGAAAACTCATTTGACAAATAAAACATGGTTTTCGGCTCCAAGTTGTCCTGCAGGATGAAATTTCGAAACCTTATTGCACATCTACAGGACATCACCAATCATATTCCAAAGAATTATTAGACTAACGCTTAAAATGTAAGATTGATTGATTGTATGTTGTTTTACGCCCCGTTCGAGAATGTTTCACTCATATAGTAACGTCACCATATACCGGTGAAGGGCTTCAAATTTAGACCTTTACTTGACACTCAGGGCCATTGAGCAGTGAGGGTTCTTTATCGTGCCAACGCCCACCGCGACAAGGGGTCTCGGCCTTTAATGTCTCATCCGAAAGACCAGCAACTTTCACTTCGAAGTACCGAGTGCTTGGTGAAGGAACAGTTGCTCCTATTTTTATCGACTTTAAAAGTCAGTCGCGGCTGTGATTCGAACACACGACCTTCCTATCACGGAGCGAGCGCTCTACCGACAGCTACCGTGAAGGTTTTAAAATGTATCAAGAAATTCTTGGAACAATGTTTTATGGTAGAAATTAAAAAAAAAACATGGAACATTTCAGTATTGACGCCCAAGATGAACATACATACTCCGAAACCTCATTGCAAATCTACATGAAAACTTCGTAAATTTTTGTATTTACTGTCACTCGGCAAATTCAAAATTTACAACATAACACCACCAATCATATCGCAAAAGATGATGCCTACTGCTCAAAATGTTAAAGGAGTTTGATGAAGAAGACAATGTGACAAACAGGGACAAAAATAATATACTCAGTGAACTTTCTTTAGGGTACAAAATACAGGCTGTTCATGTAATATTTGCAAACTAACTCTATAATGTGTAGCATTAAATCGTTTTATAATCAGACACGAACACTGTTGACTTTTCCGGGTCTGTGTTAGCTTGGTCGTGTTATAGAAATTTAACATTTTTTTAAAAACACAAATGTATGCAAAGACACGTTTTTTTAAACTTCCTACTGTGACACCACATATATTGGGTGATTCTGAATTGTTTCCGAAAAGGTCCGCATGACGTATTTATGAATATACAAGTATTTAAAAGATATCATCGCAGAAGCATTTTGAATTCGTATCAGGGCTCTAATTGGCGACTAATTTAGTCGCCATGGCGCCTAAAATTTTTAATTGGCGCCTAAATTTTTTTCCATAAGTCGCCAAATTGGCGATCGTTGAATTTCGAAAATTTTCACATTTTTAATAATTTTTCAGAAAAAGCGAAAAGAAATCAAAAGAAGAGGAGATTATTTTTAGCAATGGACAAGTCATGATTTCTTAGGCACATCATGGGTCCCTATATTCTAATAACTTTTAAAGTTGGCGCCTTAGAAAAATTGCCTGGCGACTAAAAATTCGCATCGGCGACTAAATTTTTTTGATAAGGCGCCAGCTGGCGTCTGAATTTTAGAGGCCACTTAGAAGCCTGCATATGTATGGTCGATATGCACTAAAACTTATTGGCATTGAACAGTTGAAGAAACACAAAACTTCTTTTTTTTACACTCAAACCCTAGAGTTTATGTTCTTGACGTCCAATAATGACATCATCCTGACCCGGTGTAGTTATCACATTTACAACTGCATTGGTGTAAACTTTAAAGGAAACAGTTGATTTCTTATATTTAACAAAGAAAATGAAATAAATAAAATTAGATTAAATTTAAATTTTGAAAAAACCAAATAACAATTGAAAAAACAAAAACTAGCTCGAGGAACACCTAAATTATTGAATTAAATGGCAAAGATTATAGCTTCTCAAAACTACATCAAACTTCAAGATCAAGGTCATGAAGTCAAATGTCATAATACAATCCAAAAGGTCTTATCACAAGTAATGCACAGGTGAAAAAAAATATGAAAGCCTTATCCTCTCTCATTCAAAAGTATTACAAATGTAAAAAGACTGTAAGTTAAACTTTAAGGTCAGGGTCACGAGGTCAAAAACCAGAATATACAAACGGTAAGGTCTTGAAACAGGTAATGCAAATGTCAAATGAAATGCCATACCCTGGTATCTACTCTCTATCAAAATGTTGAAATTTTTTAAGATTATGTCAAACTTCAAGGTCAAGGTCATAGGGTTAAAAAAAATCATAGATCATTTGGAAATGCACCTGTCAAATATGAATGCCCTATCTTCGCTCCTTGAAAAGTTAGCAACACTAAATTAGGTCAAACTTAAGGTCAAGGGATCAAATATCATAGCACATTCAGAATCCTTTTTGCCACAGGTAATGCTTGTTTCTTCTTAATTCAAAGTTATAAGTAAAGATAAAATTTTGAAAAGTAAGGCAAACTTCAAGGTCATATCAGACGTAATATACATGTTCATATATACATGTAATATGAAAGCTCTATCTTTTCTCATTCAAAAGTTATGACCAAGGTTAAAGTTTTTTTTTTGTGACAGACGGACAGACGAATGAGATTTAATGTCTCCTCGCTATCGCAAAAGCGGGGAACAAAAATACAATTGGTGAAGGATTGCACAGATTGCTTCCACACCAAAGGAATTCGGGATGATTCAACAGAGATGTGCAGGACAGGGTATCTGGTAATCTCGGGTGAGCTCGGTTGGATATTTTGGATGAAGAAAATCAGTACAAATATTCAACCAAACCAAATCTCAGCTGATATTGGTTATTTTGTAAATCATGAATTTTGACGATTTAGTAGAAACAACAACAACAGTTAAAAAAAAGGAAAACGAAAGAAAGGTTTTCCTTTCTATTACTAAATAGGTTATTTTCAGTAAAAGGATCATGCTCTTTTCAACTTTGCAAAACGTTCCCACCCCCGCCCAAAGATGAGGTATAATATTTTAATTTCTTGGTGGGATATGTTATTAAAAAATACGAGCAGTGAGGTAGGCATATATTATCGTCGGCGACAATATATTGCAATGGCAAGGTGGGGTAGGTGTATACTTTGTCGCCAACCACAATAAGTACAGGATAAGAAATATTGTACCATCACATAACCTGTCAGTTAACATCTGTGAGTCACGAACGGGTTATTATGTTAAGAGTTCTTCATAGAAACACGCACAATTTGTCACATTCCGGGTAATGGGTATTATCCTTTAATTCGTCGGAATATTTATAAGAAGCTATTTAAAAAATTCTGGCAAATTTTCTCTATAGAAACCTAAAACAACATATCCCCTAAGAGATGATAATTACAAACCTTCACTAATAATGGCAGAGTAAGACAAAAATGAACGATAACTTTTTGTTTTAAAGAGAGGGATAGGACAGCAACAAAGCCTGAAAAGAAAGAGAGAGGAAGATAAAGGAATTGTGCATTTTTTTTTAATATTATCAACAATCAGCTAAAAGTATATTTTTTCTACTCTCAAAGATGAATCATGGGTGATTAACTGAGTGAGAACAATGCTTTGAAAAAATATCTGCGGGAAAGTTGTAATTTAAAATTTCATGCCTATGGGTTCTTTTTTAATGATCTCAAAATGTCGGGCAGAGAAAAACAGCTTTACGTGTACCTGTCATAAATCTAAGAATAAAATGTACTTCAAGATTAATAATATAATTCAGAGGGACCATGCCTCGAGATTATTTCATACGTATTTTGTTGGACATTTCGAAAAAAAAAACAACAACATGTTTCTCGTACAAAATTTAAAAATTATAGGTTAACAAATTCACGTCCTGCCTGAAGTTATGTTCAAGAGTACACATATCACAAAGATACCGAATATTAAACATCAAATTAGATCAAAATGTCTTGGAACTTAATTAAGTTTTTTTTATTTTATCGCAGCGTGGCGGAAATCCTTTACATTCAAACCAAATACCCTGGAGAACAAATGATTGTAAGTACTGACATTCATCTCTTTAAGTCTCCATCTAAATAAGTATTTTTTTTAATTCACCCAATTTTGTAATTTTAAAGGGTTCAAACATGGAGAAGGTAGTTCTACAAGTGTCAGTGTTAAACCAGGAGTTCAGAATGCTGCATTTGTGGAGGACACAGTCCATCCAGAGAAAAGTAGCAACGAGAAAGAACACAGAACCCAAGAATCGATATATCGAATAGACAATGTAAAACTCCGCAATCTAGAGGAAAAGGACTCCATTAAGCTCTTAAAGGCCAATGCTACAACCCTTCTAGCTTTATCCCGAAAATATAACGTTAATGAATCTGAAGACAAAGTTAATAAGATTGAGTTTGGTTTCCTTGGCGACCAAATAACTGATCTAGATGAATTATCTAATCCCCGAAGTCCTGGATTGATGCTGACTTCCACAAGTCCACATCGTGATTTTTCTTACAGCGAAACAGATTTAGATTTGCAATCTCCTCAAAGTAAAACTCCATGTCCAGATTTCCTGGACATCAATTTTGGTACAGAAACAAAGCAGAAGTCTTTATCAACACACTCTTTAAATGACCTTCGATCCAGTTCTGTTGAAAATAAACATGATTACATCAATCTGTCTTACACGGATCCGGACTCCAGCAAACCGGAAAATCAAACACCTGCTCTGGAAGGAGAGATGGATGATCTGAAGAAAACATTTATATCTAAATATACACTAGAATTTCAAAGGAAGGATGATAATGGTCCATCGAAAACTCAAAACAGCCCTGCTTCATCCACTAGTACTCTATCAGGCGTGGGGAGTTATGGTGGAGCACCTCGCAGACAAAGTTATACCCTGGCGATAAGTAGCGATGAGGAGGGTAACACTATGGTTAGAGATGTCCTGTCTGCTTCTGTCAACGTCTCCTTTCCAATTTACGACATTCCCAGAAACAGTGGAGGTTTTGAGGTGGAAGTTGAATCCACAGTGAAAGTGCCTACGGAGAAGGATTTGGGGGAAGAAGAATCATCAAATAGCGATTCAAAGCCAGACAAAGAGATCATAGCAATTCTTTCACCGAAAGACAGTTTGGCTGAGGAAACGAGCTACACCTTCAAACATAAAAAATCTCCTTTACCCGCACCAGACGCCCCCGAAGATAATGAATTAGAAAAGGGAAGAATTATCACTTTAGAATTGTGTGAAAACTTAGCTGAGAAGGAATCCCAACAAATAGACCCAGATAGCGCAAGTTCGTGTGGTGCTTATTTCTGAAAAAGTATTTTTTTTTTTTTTAAATTTAGCCCCTGTCTTCTTTAATTAGACGTACACTATATCTAACCAGTAAATACAAGAGTACATGTGTAGGTTTTATCCACATCTGTTGCCTCTTGGGCAAACTAATAATAAGAATGTTGTATTATCTCCCATTAATTGTACTTTTGATATTTCACATAGCAACGGCCATGATTCATCGATTAATCAATAATGTCGTTGTTAGAAAATATCAAATTACTTACTCCTCTCATGAACATAGCTTTTGTGATCTCCAATTCGTTTATACCTGTACAACAAGGGAGTGATTCAAGCTGTTAATTTGATGTTTGATTAAAAGAAACCCTGGCATGGAAGCATCAGATATGACATTAATTTGTTCTTTCTCTCTGTCGTCTTGGTAACTCGCTCGTTATTATTTTACATTGATTGTGCAAGACTTTTACAGTCGCTCACATCAATAAAGCAAAATCTCATAATGCTTTGTCGACTTGGCAACGTTTTCTTCCTCTCAGTTGACAATTTTGTCACGTTCTGAGGAGAATTTTGAAAATTTGATATCTCCAACACGAAAGAGGCAATATGAAAGATTGTATCTCCTTTGATATTATACAGATTGATTTACCTATATGAGATGCATGGGTGCCATTCTTTTACAATCTTCTAACCCTGTAATAAATCAGTTAAGATTTTTTTTCATGCGAAGGTAATATGAGTCCACAAAATACCTTGAACTGAACCAGAATTTAACTTTGCGTTCAGGTAGTATTTCCTTGCGTTTCCTTGCACAGCAGTAAGGATATACGGTACTCAAAAAAATGTTACATATAGATATCATTTTGTAAAACAGTTTGTACAAGCATTTTTAATGCCTGGACAAATATTTATCACGAAGTTTCCCTTTAAAGTCGTCCTTATTCTTATTCTTGCAGCCTCCTCAGATCTTTTTTTGTGAATAGACGATTTCCTGTCTATCACACAGGTACGTAACCAATCATAAACACATAAAATTCACCAATATCTAGAAATCTCAAATATAATTCTGGGGAGAAACCAAATTTTTTCATGTTTTTGCATTGAATTTCCTTATAGATATGAAAGTATATATTTTAGAAGAATGCAAGAATGAGTATCGTATGTCGTTAAGAACTGATACCTTTTTAATTTTTGTCTCTGATATCTGCTTGGTCAAAATTTTTGATTAAAACATTTCATCAGAAAATATAATAATCATAATTACAATAGCATATTTCTACAAATAATTAAAATTATTTTTTTTCCGACTTCATGTATGTATTCAAATGCCTCTCTTTCGCGCATGTATATAATGAGAATGAAATTACTGAATGGGCAAATAATTAGTACGATACCAATTATTGTAATAAATTACATCCAGTAATATGACCATACTCTTTGCTCTTTATACCTTTATCGATTCGCTAGCACATAGATGATGTATGCGTAACCTACAATTTGATCGCAAAGGATTGCACGTAAAATTCAGAATCGATCGAGACAATATGTTTCTTGTCTATAAATCATAATGATATAAAGATAAACCATGGTAAAATCAAAACGGAACTACGCCCGACACAACCAGTGAAATTTGTTTTAGATTAGCACCAAATGTAGCATGTAGTTGTATCTTGAAAGATACGATAATTATGATTTTTCAAATTAAAAACATATTCAACATATATAATTCAAATTACTCATCGCCTCTGTTTTGTCTAGACTCAATTTTTAGTATTTCTTATTCTTTTTTCTTTTTTTTATTGTTGTATGTTTATGACTCTACTTTTCCTCTTGAGTGTTTACAAATAATGCTTACTCGTATTTATGTTATGCCCCCAGTGGGACCATGATTGGCAAATAAAATCAATTCTATATTGTTTTTTATCGAAATAATTTGAAAATTATCATCTCACTTTAATTAAGGAAGCTCCAAACACTGCACACTAAAGAGTTCTACTTGTAGGTAGTTTTATGCAGTTAGATTGATCTGCCTTTAGAAGTAAGAAAGAAAAAAATGGTTATTTATAGTTAATTACACAATTCAATAGATTAAAATATTCGTAGCATTATATTAGACCAAGAATAAGTAATAGAATTAATTATTCCCATTAATTTTCCCATTGTTAGTAAACAACAGTGATATCTTTTCACGAATAGTCCATTGTCTCTGACCATTTTTCCTGTGGAAGTAAGGCAGATACCCTACGTTGAAAATGAACTAAGAAGTCTCAATATGCACACCTTTATATGATATATTTTTCTCCAACTCCAAAAAGCACTTTATGTTAGTGTTTAAAGCTTCCATAAGAACAATGGACATTTAAGGGTTGTTGTTTTTTTTAAGTGTGGTTTTAGGGGTATATCAGCTTTGTTATTGTGCATATTGCAAACTTCTGACCTATCGACTCAATGAGAAACGAGTGTGGATGTCAAGTCGCATCTACGCATGCGCATGTAACGTACTGCGCTGGTGGCATTGTATTGCGGAGATACCACTATTTCGCCTTTGTCATGACCGACAAGGCGTACTCATTGGTGTCAAGTTAAAGTGACCTAGAAAGGTTACCCTAACAAAAAATCAGCTGCAAGTTTAAATTTATCGAAATACTTAGAAAGGCCTTTGTTATTTTTCCGTATCCTGTCAAATCGCCTCTGTTCATTGTAAATAATAAATAACACTATAAATTACATCAGAATTTCTGGGGGGAAAAATTCATTTGGTACCGCACTCAGTACTCTGCGCAATTAAGTAATAACATGCCTTTTAAACGTTACTATTTGTTTTTAAGTGACCCATTTCCCCAGTAGGTGTGTTCGGATTTTCATTGACGATTTAGAGGAGTTATTTGAGATGGGTCAGGATATTGACACAGAAAGTCAAAATACCTGTAATTTTTTTTTTAGGTTGTAAAGCTTGGAATTTGATACTAACGTCTATGACGTTAATCATGTCAGTTTTTCTTTAGATTACTTATGCTTTGATTGTTTGATAAAGAAGGGGATTCTAAAGACCTTTTCTTTTGACTACGTGAAGTTTTTCAAACATGAATTTATATATTATAATCACATTACATGTTTAAATCATTTTACTTTTGAGAATAATTTTGGGCATTCCAACGGTTGACCTTTGTTATGCTGTTCAAATAGCTCCATGTCATTTGAACGACACGGTCTCGATCTTGATGGAATGCACTTACATACTGTTAAGTTATTTGATGTCTGGGAAAGGACCGCATTATTTTGTGTCACCAGACCCATTCACCCACACTTCAGCATGAATGGACGACTTTTCAAAAAATTCTTTAAAGGACATTTATGGTCAATTGATTTCCATAAAGCTCAATTTAGTTTCTATTCATATAATTACGTACACTGATTTGTCATCCAGCATGCAGTAAAGAGACTTCATCAGTAGACAAGATGTGTTTGTTAAGACAAATGGCCCCAAAATATAGCAAAGTGGTATTGTAAAAACAATTCCTCATACTATTTATTTGATTATACGAGATGTTTTAATTGCCATTTAAAATTGGTCATTCAATGTTATGTCAAACCAAACATTTACTTGCAACATTAGCACGAGAAATACTAATCATTGATCTTATTTGACACGCACGTGTGATGTATCAGCACTGTTTTACAGATTGTCTGGTGCTTTTGAATTAGCAGAACTCAAAAAGTATTAACAAAAAGCGTAATCAAAATAATGTATACAATACGTTAGTATACAAACACTGATTACATGTAATTCTGGATCATCCCAATGTTTATGAGTACCTCGCTGTAAATCACAAACGTCGAAATGATCCAGAATAGTGTTGTGCGATACCGATTGGGGATTATCACTGACAAACAGACAAACAAGGGGTTTAAATAATTTGAAAGGGCATTTATGGTTGAATATTCGTGCAGCGTTTACCCACTGAAGTCTAAATAGTAAAGTTTTCGCAGACAAAAGAATAAAAACATTCTGCTCCCACCTTTGAGGTCATAATGTCAAAACATCAAGGTAAAACGAACTTTGTCAGGTCCAAAACTCTGATAGGGCTTTGACACCGTCGGTGTTAAGATTCAACTTTTTAAATTAAAATTCTGTTTTGTATTGTGCTTGGGTTGTAGAGCAAAAATTTCCCCAAAGCAAAAAATCTCTCGAGATGGATTCTCTCCATGGTGGAAATTCTGCTTTACAGGAAATATTTTAAAGATTCTGAAATGCATATGGACTTGATGATTCTAAAAATGGAAATAATCTTCTATAAAACAACAACAGTGCGGACTTCACAATAGCTATAATACATGTACATTGTATGCCTTGATGTTTCTGGGGAAAAAATATACTTCAACTCCTATTTAATATAATAGTGGTGTTCTGTAATCATTAGTAAGACGTAACAATGCCTTGAATAAGGATTTACTTTATATTAAAACATATTAGATATGTTTTTCTCAAACCGATACAAACCATAATAAAACAAATGTAGCCTTTAAAAACATTACTCTATCAGTATAAAGGCACCACAATCATATTAAATAGCTGAATTTATTTTGATCTCTAGTCTCTATGTGTTAAAAAAAGAGAAAGTTTGTGAGAAAGAGAGAAAGTTTGTGACTTAATGTTCCCATTATTTTCAAATTTTGTTTTTGTTGATCTCTGTAAAAAATAAAATAACAAATATAACACTTATATATATCGGAAACAACAAACATAGACATGATTAAATTGAGAACTTAACCAAAGATTTTCACTTATATGACATTAAAAAAAATTAAATCAGGATAGAATTAATTAAATGATATCAGAGCACCAATGCCAATATCATACAGTACATGTAATTTCTGGATCGGTAAAATAGTAGTCCGTGTACATGATTCAATAAATAAACAATCACAATAGTATTTTAATTTCCTGCTTTCTGATAATTTTTTATTCTTTTAAGAAATATGATTTTTTTTAAGCTTCCAATAAGTATTTCATCAACAGAAGTATTTCATCGACAGTGAACAGATTGTGTTGAATGTGACTTGAGATACGGTATTCTTTCCTGCTGAGTGTCTAAAACAGATTTTTATTAAAATTTCCATGTCAATGTCTGAAGTTGTTGATATACAAATCAATATAAATGGGCCACGTTTTTTTTTTTTTTCATTCTGGCGTTGGATAAATGGGGAAGAAATTCAAAGAGAACCTATACAGTATACGGGATACCAAAATATGACCTATTGTCAAGTAGTGTTTATTCATTATCTGTATTATACCAAGTATTAAAATAATGATCTAGAAGCAATCTGACATCCAAAACGTGCCTCAATGATTTTTAACTTTGTAATTTGAGACATCGCTACAAGGAGTCATGGCAACAAAACTGAAAAAGCGGTTTTTTTAGTTTATTAAGAAAAGATTCAATTGAATACTAGTATCGATTATCCGTCACTCCTCTAAAACAAAGTTGTCTTTTTTTTTTTATACATTCTAAACCTTAACCGGGCTTGACAAAATGTACTATATAATAGTTAAATACAAAAATAAATATAGTCTTTCTGTAAATATTCATAAATTTGTATTATATTTTCAGTAAAAAAGAGTAAAAGTAAATTTACAGTGTGGAGGAAAATATAAGAATTCTCCGATAATAAAGTGTTTTGACTTTCGTCGTAAATTTAAAATCCTGGCAAATCGAAAAGATCATGCTGGGGCACACCATGGATTCGTGTTTATTTTGTTTTACAAAAAAAAACTTTGAAATATTATATTTCATAATTTATTTGGTTTTTAATTGCTGGTTCATCAGGGAAAACTTGAATTTAATTTTATAGACATTGAATATACACTGTGTCAAAATTAGCCAAATCAGAAATCGTTTAGCGGAAAAAATTTTCTCCTTTTCTTGACAAAAACATTTTTCAATTATCAAAAATTTACATGAAATGCGATGCATTAAATGATACAATTATTATTGTTCTTTTAATTATATTATTATTTTATTTTTCACTTTATATATCAGTTTAAGCAAAACCTATATAAGAATCAATATGTTATTTACCCGAAACTTCATATCTAGATCCATAGTTACAATTCATCATATATAAAATTTCGCTAAAAACTGTTTTACAAACGTTTTCCAGGCAGAAAATATTTCTTTATGAGATGTATATCCTCTGCAAGCTATCACTTTTGAATCTAGATCTTTGCAATCCTTAAAGGAAAATAAAACATTGTTCATCTGTGGCAGGATATTTAGTTTCATTGCAACTATCCCTATGTATGAATCGTCCACTGCAATGTATTTCACATATGGAAACGCAATCACAAATCTTTGTGCAACATCCATACTAACGACATACGCACCTCCAGCTAAATACGGCGGATAAACTCTATTTGGATAGTCCTCTGTCTTCACAAAATGTGGACTTGCTGGGTGGCGCATAACTGGCGCTTTGTCAACTCTATATCCCACTAATAAAGATTGAGGATGTTCATGAGATCCTAGAAATTTAAGAAGATTTTTAACATTAAAATGAAAATCGTCATCCTTGTAAAGAATGTGAGTAGCATTTGGACAATATTTTACAGCCCAATTATATCCCATGACTGTCTTTATAGTCAAATTCTTATACGAATCTACAAAATCCTGTTGAACAAGGTCTCCATACATTGCATTTTCAACCATGGTGTTCTTATTAAGTTCTTTTTTGGAAGTACCCATCAAGAAAACAATTCGAACGTATCCTTTTTCGATTGGATTTTTCTCCATGGACATTCGCAGAGTCTGTCTCAAGTGAAAATTATCTGGCGCACTTTTTATGAGTATTAACACAAATAACGAATTATTTTGAGGAGGGGGTTCCTGACAAATATTGGATGGATTCAAAATATATTTATATGGATGGGGATTAAGAGGTTTTAATGGTATGCGTTGTCCACTCTCCTTCATCACAAGTAACTCTTCAAAGTTCACGTTATATGGATGTGATATATTGTAAGGATTATTCGTATAATTTTGTAATAGTTGCGGTGCTTTGGTATACTCCTTTTTCTCCAGATGTCTCTGAACTTCCGGTGGTTGGTTAAATAATAAGGTGAAGATGAACACTACAAATGTTGGAGTTAATAAGCTCAGTATCAATGGCAGTCGACACAATGCATACTTCCACCGGCGCCGCATTGTTAGCTGTAAGAAAAAAGTGAGTATTTTAAAGTACATGAGCACTAACAAAGGATTACAGAAACGTCTATACTAGTGCATTAAGTTGTGATTTCACTGAGCTACAGGTCCTTATAGTCGTAAGCTAACAGTGTAGGGAAAATATTCCAAAATGTTCGCGTTCTAATGGGGGAGACTGAATGATATCGGAAGTGCTGAGAGGAAACGTCTGATTCTCTCTCTCTCTCTCTCTCATATTCACGTTCGAATAAAATGCAGAATCTTTTTTTTTTGGATTCCCCCCTATTTAAAACATATATTTAAATCTCAGTTACTCAGAAACGTTAAGAGAAACAGTGATAAGCAAAGGCACCTGAAATGTGGATCGATACCCCCTTAAATATATATTAAAAAATAGTAAGAGCCTATATTTTCTCTATAATATGCGATTTCTCCGTCTAGGATATTTCTATGCAAACAGACTGAACTTTTTCTCACGTTTAGAGATTGGCCATGTACGGTAGAAATTCGGAGAAATTGCATATTATTAAGAAATTATAGACTCTCGCTAATTTTTTCAATTAAGGGGGATATCGATCCACACTTCAGGTGCCTGTGTGATTAGGTGAAATAAATTTCTGTTTGTTATCCCCCGCCCCCCTCCGCGTTCTACGGGACTGAAATTTGTAATATTCTTGGAAGGGAGAACATTCTTTTGAGCTGTGAAATCTCTCATTCGCAGACATGCAAAGCTTAAGTGTTTTATTGCATAATTTTGAAACTGTGGAATAAACTAAATTCATTTCTTTAATGACAACTCCCTTTATTCACTTCCAGCAATTTTAAAATTGAGATAATGTAATAATGTGAAAAACGGCTGAATACATAATGACAAATTTATGCAAACAAGACACTGCATGCACTTTTAACAAAAAGAAATACCTTGGTTTGAAATTCAAGAAATTCAAAATTAAGACTGTTTTTACACAATTTTCAAGTGCAAATTTCAAGACCAACTTATAAGTGACTGAAGGTCATTTTTGAAGGAATCATCAACCTCTCGTCTACACCTTAAGATGCATTGGAAGTGTTCTTTCTCATTCTAAATCACTTGGCCTTCCACAGTATTAGATACGGTTGAAGAATTTTTTCTACACTTAGTTCTTTTCAGGTCATCCTTGTACCACCGAGTTTTAATTTTCTGTTAATATCAGATTAAACCACTTTTTTGTGTATGTGGTTCAATGTCTTCTCAAATTCTCAAACTGTGCAGCACAAACCAGATTTGTGACCGAAAAGCCTGTATTGTTAATCTCAAAACAGGGTAATGTAACCTTCAGCAATCTAATGACATTGACAATTTTTACGTGCTCAAACGTAATAAAGGATATCATTTTCAATCGAAAAATTCCAGTGCTCTGCAAAAAAAGGGCGACGCATTGTATGCGTATTATATTAACAGGTCAGTTAGACACTTGCTAATTCATTTACAGAGATAAGATATATCAGAAATGCAGGTGCCATACAGTTTTTAGGAAAACTTGTGATATCTTGAATTACCCCATGTCTGCAAATTCACTTCACAATGCCGCCTCCCAAAAAAGTACATTGAAACCTGACTAATCCGACATGCATAGGGAGATAAACTTTGTTTCGGTATAGACAGGATGTCGGATTGCAAAGGCGACGGATAAGACAGTTTTTACTGTAAAAATCTTTCTTTTTTTATTGATTTCATCATGTGCCTTTTCAAATATTCATGCTCGGGTATATGTGAAAGTGAATTCGCTATCATACTTTGGTGCTACATGTATGTATACATGATACAGTAGTGTATTATCAGAGTCCAAAGCATCACTTCTGGGTCATTAAAAATAATCCCGAAACTTCCACGCTTTATGACTTCAAACCGATATGTAGCTGTTTTATTGTGTCAAATGAGACTATTTTAGGACTTTGGTCAGCGATACTCAAGTGCACCTTAGTCCAATAAAGAATCTCTATTTTAAATATCTTGCTAATTCATTTTTTATCATATTACAATAACATTTACAGTGTACATGTAATCCAAAAATACAATGTAGCTACATTCTCTGGTATATTTTGTCAATTTTGATTTGAAAACTGAAAGTGACGAACGTTCCTGGTATCCGAATTGCCTTGTAGATATACAATAAAGCGGCCTGTGTGATGCATTATGAAATTTCTGCAAAATTCTACGTGTCATAATTACTTTTAGTAAAAACATTGAGTTTGACACAGGTATCTGGAATGGTTGACTTTATCTTGAACAGTTCTTAATTTCAAAATCTGAATTTTTCGAGTAAACTATTCATGTTAAAGAGAAATGCAACGATTTTATACTAATACATTGATTAGTAAGGGCAGGAACCCACTTTTGGAAGGCGACAATATAAACCAACTTCACAAAACGCGAATCAGCTACGCGCAATGAAGAATAGAAATATGTGTACATATTTACATGCACAAGTAAAAGTATATGTTCATATATCCCTTATATCCTACAATTAACCCCACCAAAAAAGGGGGGATGGTGAAGCGGTAATTGAGAACATTACTGGTAGTGTTTTTATCAATAAAAACCGATTACTATCCTTCACTAAGACATTCCACCTTCTAGTACCTCTGAATAATGTATGAGATTGAATGTTTTTCTGTCTATGAAGCAAGAATGGACTTTTCACCTTTGATTTATCGACTCTGCATGTAGTCAATTAATTAGGTTTCTTTCTCTGACCACCCTGCATCTCTGGCGAGCATGAGATATAATTGTCAGATAGTATCATGTGTCAACCTTTGATACAATGCTCAGATTTTAATTAAATTAGCATTTAAATAAACATAGCATACTTTGACCTACTTGGTGTAATAATTCGTATTGACCTATTTTATGACTTCCAGAGCAGCGAGAATCTATAAATGTAAAGTTTTTTAAATTGCACTTGGGAAATTACGTTCTGCATTATTCAGAACCTTATTTGACTTTGCCAGAAAATCAACGCATTCAATGACATTTAGAAACCCCATTCACTAAGGAAACAAAGGCTGATAAAGAACAGAATAAAACTTCTAGCAAAATTAAAATATGTATTGGTAAATATACGTGAAAAACAATATACTGGTAAACTATGATAACAGATACTTTTCTTCAAATATATATATATATATATATATATATATATATATATATATATATATATATATATATATATATATATATATATATATATATATATATATATATATATATAAACAGTGGCAGTTTAAACGTGGCAAGTTATATTATTCATTACACATTAACTACAGATTAAATGTTAACTTTCAAAATAGCTCGATTAACAAAGTTTTTCCAGTCTTTTAAAATTTCATCCGTTGATGTATAACCTCGGCAGGATATGACTTTATCTAAACTGTTACAGTTTTTAATTGTGAAGCTCGCCTCGTTGTTTAGAGTAATGTCTAACTTCATTGCAAGTACACCTATATATGTGTCCGCCATGGGTATACTCTTCACAAATGGAATGATAGTCACAATCTTTTTGGCAAAATGCATGCTAACTATGTAACTATTTCCAACTAAAAATGGCGGATAAATTTCATGTGCATAAACTTCTTTGGCCACAAAATATTTACTTGCTGGCCTTCGCACAGTTGGCGATTTCAAGCGAAGAATTCCCGCGAATATTGAATTCGGATCTTTATGTTTCTTAATAAAACTGTCCAAATTTTTAACATTAAAATGATAATCATCGTCCTGGATGAGAATGTGCGATGCTTCAGAACAATATTGCACAGCCCACATGTAGCCCATCACAGTTTTATGGGTCAAATTTCTATATTTGTCAATGAAATTCTGTTGTACAATATCGTTGTAACGCGCATGTTCCACCAACACATCCGTGTTTTTATCTTCCGGGTTAGAGGAAATTCCCATAAGAAATACAATTCTCATATATTCATGATATTGTTTAAGGGATTCCCAGTTCCATCGTATTGTCTGGCGAAGATGAAAATTATCTGGTTCACTCTTAATGAGAATTAAAACACTTACGTTCGCACTCCTTTTCAGGGGCGGATTTGTACATTTGGTGGTTGGATTCGTTACATACACAAAAGAATTTACATTAATGGGTTTCAGATTAAAACTTTTTCCTTCCTCTACTTTGCTAACAAATCTCACAAAATCAATATCATATGGGTGAGTGAGAAAATGTGAATTGTTGTATGATGATTTATTGTAGAATTTAAGGAAGTCCGTTTCTGTTGTCTTCATTGTTGGTTTTGGAGTCGTTTTTGTGGTCGTTGGACTTGGTGTGGTAACTTCCGGTGATATTTGCGAATGATGCATTTGCAGCATAAAAACTAAGACAGTTGTGATAGCAAAGTAAAGAAACAGTTTCCAAATTGGAATTTGAAGCCTTCTGGTGAAACAGGAAGTAACTGAATTCCTGAAAAAATGCATCTCATTAAAATAGAAAATTTCAAAAATCTATCAATATTTTTTTTCGTAAGTTGGATAAATGAACAATTTACTTGAATATTTTGCTTTTGTTTGATTTTTTTATGATTCTGATCTAGTTTATTTTCATTTGACAAAGTAGACCTTACCTAGAACTGTGCTTGGTAATTGTCTTGTACTTCATCCTCTCTTTTTCAGACGCTGTGGGATAGTGACCTAAAACCGAACCGGTTAAGAATGAATGGTATCAAAAGTCACTGAAGTACAGAGACCTGTTTAAGTTCAGACCGGCTTTGGTTGCCACGGTTTTAACACTCTGCTCTTCGATTTCAAAGAAAAATAGCCATCAAATTATCATTGTTAAAATGTACTTCTTTTTTATGAGTGCAAACACTGGGTCAAACTAACCTCGAAGGACACAAATACACAAAATTCCAAATAAACAACTTTGCATGCTGAGGTAGTAATCTACACGTACAGATGTTTTTTGTTTTTGTTTTTCTTAAATATTTAGATGTAATCGCTTGTTATTCAAAGCACGACATCGTCCTACAAGGTGTAGGAATACGTCGTAACTGGAACTACTAATAACAGCGTAATTTATCAGTCATTTATTATGTAACAGAGCTACACTCATACGTGTACAATGTCCTGAGAACAGTAATCTCTTGTTCTAATAAATCTAACTGTTCTGCTCAGGTCACTGAATTCTTTTTAAAATTTTTTTTTTTTTTAAACCTCCCATCGATTTTCTTTATATAACTGTTGCTTGTTCAACACTGAAAGTTAATTTTTTGACTAACAACAACGGGACCATAGGGTCTCAATTTCGCACGATTGTACAAAAATTAATCAACTGGGGATCGTTTCTTCTTTGAGACAACACCACAACAAAATGCATCAAAACTTTGACATCTTGACATCAAGGATGCGCTGCAGTAGGAAATATACACTTGACGTGATGCAGCGACACAGAATACCGGATATCAGTTCGGGGACACACACTACATCCTGGTATTGAGAGTTCTATATGTACTGTAAGGTCCACTCACGGTGTAGAGAAATCAATTTACGTAATATTATACCTGCTCCGAGTTTATATTCCAACTGGGAGAGGGACAGTTGAATAATGAATTAAGTAATATTATCTTTAAATCTGTGGGGAATACATGTACTTAGAGGCACAAGGAATTATGGGGAAACATTATTATACGTAGGCTAAATATTAAGTAATAAATATTTTATTAAAAGTCAATGTCATTTGCAATATACGATAGGTTTTATATACATTAGTTATAGATGGTCACCATAAAATTGAAGGAAATTTCAGCATTGTTTTCAAAAGTACAGATAAATTATTTTCTAATAATTTTTGTGAAAACTGACTTCAAACCACAGTCATGTGAATACAATGTATAACTTACTGACCGGTATAAACACGCTTATTGTGTAACAATATAGTTTTTAAATGTACTAACATATTTCACAATTCTTATCACATTCTTGCCAGATGTTGTTATAATCCGTTTCCTGGTGTAAGTGGATTCTAAATTTCATTGAAAACTGAGAATCTGTAAATTTTCTAAGTTATATTTCTATGTGGCTAACAATCGCTATACTGCGTTAGTGTTGGAAAGAATGTCACGTGCTATTTAGGATACATTTAAAATGACCTAATCTTTTTAACGTGCCACATAAGACAATTGGTTGTTTATATCCTTTAATTCCGAGAAATCTCAAAATCTCTGTCTTACTGAAGGCAGGTGAGAAAATATTAACAAAGTTTAATCATGGGAATATAGTATTGATTAGTTATCGTTTGTTGACTTGTTCAAGTAATACTGACAGACAAAAATCTATTTTTTTTTCTTATAAAACTTTTTTTTTGGTTATCCAATTCCAAATCAATACAACTACATGTGTACATGTATGAACTGCTATATACATGATACAAAATATATTGACTGTTGGCATCGTGAAACAAGAAATATAATCTTCACTCGCTATCTGGACATTTAGCATATTCGATGACAGGAAAGTGTTCACATTATTGGTAGAATCCGATGATTCTCGGAACAATGTTGACCATTGTTGATGCAAAAGCACACAATTATCGAATCGTTTCGAACACAGTGGGTAGAAATATATCAGCTATGGATAAAGGGGGTGCAATGAGTCCCATTTTGAAGATTTACAATGTCTTGTTAACAATGTTTGACCAGTGACCGATCATTTATGAATGCTTTTATCACTCTGCTGACAAGCACTTACAGTACAAAGCAATTCCACATTTAATCTCATTTACGCCCATAGTATCCTCACTGCATTTCGCAAGAAATGTTAGAGTATAATCTGTACGCTTAGGTTTCACGGGACATTCAAAAGGCTTTACTACACTATGGTGACTACCCTAGTATTTTACATCAAGGCACCCTCACTCCTATTCTTTTAGTGTCTTCCAAACCCGAAAAAAAATTGTCCTTGCAGTAGAAATCTACAATTTTAACCAAGTTATGTGTAAAAAAAAAATGTTTTGTACAAAATGTTTTGTACTGTAAGCCTACCTTCTTTTCGTTACTCCAATGTTTAATGAACCGGTCTCGCCCCCGCCCTTCACACTATTCAGACTGACCAGTCTAGCAGATCAAACCACGTTAATCCGTTCCTGGATCTCATGTAACAATTTTTACATCTATCAGTCTATATCCTATTGCGTCCAGTTTGATACAGGATAGTCCCTTGTCATGATTCATTTAAATAAAGCTATCCACTGACCAGAATTATTCATAAGGGTAACTAAGTAACATTAAAAACACCAATATGTCAGTGTATGTATCTTTACATGATTTTACCTGAATATTCATACTTTGAGAAATACTATTCTTTGGAACCTCATTTTTTTTTTTTATTTAAAAAAAAAACGTGTTCTGTTAACAACCGCACCATTCAACAGGCACTTATTAATGGATGGATCGACAAACAAGGGGGTAGCTCCATTTAATCCCGGGGAGGATCGTAAAGAAACAATGACTTAAGAACAGCTGGGGATTTTTAATTCGTAGGAGAGGTATATACTGTGTGACCGAAATCAATGTACAGGATTAAACCATCCTTATCAGGCAAACGAATTTATCAACAGTATCAATGTATATACACACAAAGATAATTAATTACGTAGGAAAAAGGTTTACTGTAAACTTAATTAATCTCAGAAATAGTCTGCTCAGTTTTCGCAATATACATTTCACAGCGTATGAAAGGTCTACAAGATTAGGGGTTTTGATGATCCCGAAAACGTGATAATTTGAATAACCGGGTTAGTCTTCGATGCCAAGCCTATATACTCAAATATTTGTCGCACCGAGATAGTAGCTCAGGGCACTTGTTCACCTGATACTCTCAAAGGAAATGACTGTTTCAAATACTGCGTACATACACACGTGGATGAGAAAAATTTTTTTTTTCAAAAACAGATCCAGATATCATTTCAAAAATCGTGATAAAAATTCAAAGAATCACTATCATTTTTGTAGACCTTTGGACAAGCTTTTATCATGACTGACTACATTTTTCAGATAGACTATCTAATCTGACGGCACTGCACCCATAAAAAGTACACACAGCTAGTGTAAATTTAAGATATGGTTTGCAAAATCTTAAGTTATAAATGAATGACTATACCGTTATAGGCAAGACCTTCAACAATTACTGTGGTAAGTGTTATGGGTGTGCCTCCATAAAAATCTATACCCACCACATCATAATCAAAGTACTGAAAGTACTGAAAGCCGGGCTTTAATATGTTCGAGTGTATTGTCTAATCCTAAATTAGTACATATTTGAAAATCTTTCTTTCTGACCATTGATATTTAACAGGTAGAGTTTGTATGATTATGATTAACAATAACCCATCTACCAATAATTAAAATTTACGGTCCAGAAACCAACGTTAAGACCCCAGGATAGGACTTGGTGATATTTTTAATGAAAATACATTTATACCTTTCTAAACATTAAGCTCACAATGGTTATGCATGGTAACAGTGCACTTTGAGTGGTTTTGCTGATTCATACAGGCACATATATAGTATCGGAGGAGCTAGGGGTGTCACCATTTTTCAAACATAAACTTTTACAATGGACAATGTACATTGAAAGGTTGATTGACTCTTCGCAATAAAATTTAAATTGGAACTTTCATCTCACTCTTCGTAATATAAACCAGGTATTTATCACGAGCGACGAACAGATTTACTAAAAGCAAAATGGATAGTCTAATTTTAATTAGATTGTACCCATCATTTTATTGTAGCATATTAAAAGTACCGTTATTTGGTAATGAATTAATGAAATTCGAAATGTGAAAGTAAGTTGTAGCCCACCCCTACTCCTTCTCCAACGGAATAGGATTTTCGGGTTTGGACAATTCTCCTTTTTTCTGATAATGATACTACATGCCTGTATTAATCAGAAAAGAAATATTCTTTATTTTTGGTCCTCTAGGAAACCAGCTGCACGAAAATTATAATTATCTAATCTTTATGACATGAATATGAGTCTAGTTCTAGTTCCAGGTTCGGCCATAATGGTCATTGCCTGAGAAAATCATGATGTATTCAGGTCTTTATGGCTCGTACATAGATGGCTCTTCATTCTGAACAGGAAGTTTTGAAGCAAAGACTAACCAACTTTTTCTGAAAAATTATGTGTTGTACTTAGATAAAGACTTGTGAACATTTTTATATGTTGTTTTCTTTTAATTATATATTAACATAAACGATTTTTATTTCCCAGCACCCTTGAGAGCTTGCATGTGCTTTAAGACTTTTTTTTTGGAATGCGCGCGCACGCTCAATATACTGTAAAGCGCTTTGGGAGCACATGCGAGATGATTCCAAGGTGAGAAGTCTCGAACAAAATTTTCACATTCAAAACATACCATTGACTTTTCACTAAAAATTTGATCTGAATTTGTAAGCATAAAAATTTTCTATGCTAAATTGATTGTTAAATGGGTATCAATAATTTATATATTATACATAAACATATTCACATGAAATTTCTATCTTAAAGTTTACATTTTTATTTATTTATATTCCTGGCTCCACAGAATATAAATCTTTATCCCAGTCATTTAAATTAATACTATTAAATTAAAATATTAACCAAATGGAATCGCATTGTTTATTTCATATTATGAAAGAAAACAAATAGTTTTGAACTTCATTTACATCACCTTTACACAAGATCTTAGTCGCTCGCGTGGCCGGTGGTAAGAGCGTCTGCTCTAGAGTCGCGAAGTAAGGAGTTAATCCTTACGTCGCGGGTTCGAATCCCACTGTGGGACGTGGAGACCGGTCCTTCCGTTGAGACTGTATAAACCGAGGTCCCGTGTCGCAATAGGTGCTTGCACGAAAAAGATCCCTCACTGCTCAATGGCCGTAAGTGCCGAGTATAGGACAAAATTTGGAGCTCTCCACCGGCAAGTGGTAGTGTCTCAATATGAGTGAAAAAATTCTCGAGAGGAAAGGTTAAACAACATACAAACAAACAAACACAAGATCTTAACCATCATAAGGATTTTTGTTCGAAATTATTTATTAGAAAGGAGAAAGTTATTTTAATTGCATTCAGGGTTATCGAAGTAATACCGTATTTTCAAACCCTTTTCTTTAAACGCATTCAAATTTTAACTTTTTTATTTGAGTAGTAATATATTGAAAACATTACAGCATTACCAGTATTACAACTGTAAGATTAATCTTTATGAATATTTACCTACATACATCATTAGGCTGAAAAAAATTTGTTTGTTTCCGGTTATACCCGACTGACCTCCTACACATTTTTTATTTTTTTTAATTCTACCAATAACATATGGCTAGTGAGGAGAATATATAAGTCATTTGTTTTACTTAATGTCACTAATTTAAACATTTAAGGTCACTAATTTTAACTTTTAAGAAAACAATTAATTTTTTACAAAAAATGTTTGTCTGTCAATTGCCAAACCTTTTTTTAAAAGAATGTTGAACCATATGATTTGCTGATTTTTCTTTAGATATATTTGAATTAGAATTTAATTTTTTTAAAAATTATATTCATATTGGTTTAATAATTTATGTAATTCATAGTTAAAGAAATGCACATATTTTTAGAGATATTCTTAAAGTTTCAAACAAACAGTACTTTTATCGCCGACTAGATGCACCAGATACACCATGTACAATTGTCAGGCGACCTAATTCAGGCATAACGCACATTAATTAATTCTTTAAACTCCAATTTACTTATCTATGCATTTGCTGAAAGACAAAACAGAGAATATAACCACTCACATAACATCGACGAAAACGATATGAAATATAGCAACCTGTCGAAAAGCCCGCGCTTATTGAAAATAGTTCGCTTACAATATGCATTCAGTAGCGTATGTGCACAAATTGTTATATCACGATTATCCTAATAAAGTAAATATCCAATTCCTCTTTCAATTTAATTCTCAAACAAAAATATTGATCAATTAACAAATCCGTAGATTGAGATGTAAAAAATATTTGTTTAAGTATCGTTTTTCAATGTGACTATTTTGTTTATCGGAAGCGTCTGCTTTGACGCTGTTAGGCTTTTTGTTTACTTTTCTGAACATGTGCTATTTATAGTAAGGCAGTCGATCACGATGCCTACAGCCAGGACTTTGCTTTCAGCAAAGCCCGGCTAAAAACGCATGCATATTTAACTAAGCTGGCCCCTGTTTCTAAAAGTTACCTTCTGTTTCCTCAAGTAAATGTGGACAATGAATCATTTTCTCCTTCTCAATCTGTTGTTTTTTTTTTTTCGATGATGGGGAGCACGTTTATGTTGGAAATTCCAGATAAGCGTTTATACCCTAACCGGAATATTGCGCGTTAGATAATCCTTCTCAATTAAGTATTGTATTCATACAGTATTTTCTATATATTAAGTACTTCACTTACAAGAACATTATATACGTTCGTGAGTAAAACTCTTCCTTGTTTTCTTTTTTTTCTTGACATAAAACATATTTATTTGTAAAATTTCCTGTTTTAAACTTAAATTTATAAACATCTATAAATTGGGACAGCGCTTACGGCCATTATTGACCGCGGCCATGTGTACTTCAGTCTGTGCACAGTGGTCAGCCAACCAGAACATTTCCATTACATCTCTTATAAAAGCAAAATTTTTAAAGAGCTATCCTAAATTCTGTCACGCCCTCCATTATTTTTAAATCCATTGACGACATTAATTAACCGTATTATAAAAATATGGAGTCTGTTTTGCATCTTCTTACATACACTAGGCGTCGGAACCGGGGGAGCTAGGGGGAGGCTTAGCCCCCCACGTTTTTCTCAAAGATAGACACAATATAGGCTTTGAAAATTGGGGGTTAGCCCCCCAACGCCTTTTTGTCGGTTTAGCCCCCCCTTTCAATTTGCTTTCGACGCCAATGTGGTATATAAATAAAATGAAATACACACTGAACAAAATTGGCAAAGTTCTTTTCAAAAATTGATATCTCTTAATAAACATTTTCTTTTAGGGATCTATTTCCTTTTAAGTGAAAGCCAGTTTCAAAACATTTATGTTTTTTAATGCCCTGTAAACGAACTTCACAGCCTCTAGGATGTCATGCATTAATGTATTACAAGTCCAGTTCATGAAATAGAAACTATGTGTACTTGTGTCTTTTTTCTACTCGTTTTACCTACGAAGAATCGTGACGTAAATATCAATTAACATAATCATATACCCCAGTAGCACTGGGCGAGGCCGTGATTTCTAAGAATCTGCGAGAATAACAGATTAATTTAATTAACTGGGATTCAGCAAAGAAATCGATTTCCTATAAGTTTTGGATGATAACAAATGGTCTTCTTATTTCAAATTATAAAAGGTATACGACCTCGACTTATACAGTTTCTAGAGAGAGAGGGAGAGAGAGAGAAAGTCTGTTATATCAATATTAAATATGGACAAAATCACTTATACTGTATTACATGAGGGAGTGTTTGGGCACTGTTCGGCGTATCGATTGCTTATATGTTTATTCGTAATGTCCAATTCTAGAGAAGATAATAGAAGCGTCGCTGTTTGTTTACATTGTCAATGAGCCATTTCATCTTCACAACAATAATTGACCGAGAGACCATTCTCGACTGGAGGAAGACGGCCAACCTATCTACATAATACCCGAGCAGCCTCCGGTGAAGAACACTTTATACAAAACATCTTCAATTATAGAAATTTCTCGGCAGGATTTTCACAATTTCATAATTATTATGAGAAAAAAATAAAGCAACTCTGCCAATCCCGAGGAATCTTTGACAAGTTCGTTTAGATTCTCTTTGGACTTCATTGTCTTGTAATGAAAGAAGTTTCCGTCGTACAAACAAAAACAAAATATTATTTGGGCATGGACATTTTGAAAAATTCAGAGGGAACAGAGCTTTTTCACAAAGGCGTCTTTATTCAGGGTCAATTTACTTGTACTGAGCTGACTATAAATCTCGGGGGAAAAAACAATATATATTTGCATATTTCGGTGGCAATCTGGTCCATCAATATTTTGTATAATACTGATCAACCAACTTCTTGATCTGAGTGATCATTTAAATTAATCAGCTTTAGTATCAGTTGACGCGTCATTACACGTATTACCTGTTTATCAGAATGGTACCAAACATTTTTCTTGTTTTCTTTTGAACACAAGGACTACCAACAAAGAAAATGTTGTTTTTCAAGCTTAAGCAATGCAAAAAGAATTCAATTTACTTACTAACTATCCGAAATTAATCCTTAGTCCACTGCACCTCTTGTAGCGCGTCCGCTCTCCTCGACCATCTAATCAGAATTAAATACCTCAATTCATGAAACGCTGCCAAGAAGAGTCGGGTACGGCATACAGTGTATGTATCGTATGCTATATAATAGTGACCTTTTTTTTAGCTTGTATCAGAAGGAAATTTATTTTTTAAAAAGGAAATTTATATCACAATACTATCAGTAGTATGTATACGTAGGAGACATGGTAGTTTGAGCTTGTCGTGTAAAAACGCTTTTTTAAAAAAAATCTACCAAGCAAGTGCAGCATAGACCAATTGCACATCCTAGAGGCTTGATTTCTAATCTATCGGAAACCAATATTTAAAGTCTAGCTTCCGTCGCTTCCGGTTTATATAATATATAATTTTGGTTCCTTGGTGGGCTTTATGTGTTATATTTTATTTTAAAACTACAAACAGAGACATGAATGTTTTGCTCATTTTCAAAAACAACGGGGTAAAAAAAAAAATCAGAAAGCAGGATTCAAAGTTTGACAGACGCGTATTCTGAATAAACTCCATTCCTATCTTCACCAAATAACTTTATTATTATTTTTTAAATATCTTCATTCCATCGTGACTACATGGCCGTAAGTTTATTTGAATACGGGGAGATAATTAAGAGGTAATGCAAATAAGGCGTGGTATTTTAATTCATATTGTGAGTGTGGGGGGAATGGGAAGGGGAACATGAATAAACACATGACAAAAAACAAAAACCATCTAAGTACTAGTCCGGAAGCCCCGTTCACATGCGCTGATCTACTCACCGGGTGCAAATTTTGCATGCATGCAAAATCTGCACCCGGGGTGTAAAGGTATATTAATTTGCTAAGCGTTCACATGGTTCTTAACAAATTAGATCAAAATGAAATGGCAATGATTCATGAAGTTTACCTAAAAAAAGATGGCGGATTATTTTATGTTCAGAAGGAGGATATTCTCTTACTGGGTAGCTTTAGGTTTTTGTGCTGAGCCAGGTGGTATGAGGGATCAATGGGCTAGGGAAAGGTCAACAGACTGGTACGACAGAATTGTGTTACAAATGTTTGACGCTTCTCAGTGGATTGAGAACTTTCGAATGGGAAGACGCTCATTCGAAATGCTTTGTAATGATTTGGATAATCACTTGACTCACAAAGAATAATGTGTTCGCCAGCCACCAAGGGCCCAAAAGCAAGTTGCTATTACATTGTTTTACATTGCTGTCATCGACAACAGAGTACCGAACAATTGGGAACTTGTTTGGGGTTGGAAAATCAACCGTGTGAGTCTTTACACAAGGTTGGCAATGCTATTGACGATAACCTTCTACAGAGATATGTTTCTTTTTCCATCTGGAGAGGACCTTAAAACTGTTATAAAAGGATACAATGATCAATGGGGATTTCCAAATTATGGTGGAGCCATTGATGGAACACGTGCCAATCACCGCACCAGATGAAGCACACGGAGACTACCTGAATAGGAAAGGCTACTATTCGTTGGACATGCAAGCTGTTTGCGACCATATATATATTTTTCGGAACATAAATTTTGGCTGGCCCGGACGAGTTCATGATGCTCGAATTTTCGCCAACTCAGAAATCTTTCACAACATTGTTTCCTAACTGGGATCTAAAGGTTCAGTTTCAAGGGCACGAAATATCCATGCCCATTGTATTGATTGGTGATCCTGCCTATCCTTTAAAACCATGACCATGGTTAATGAAACCATTTTCAAACAGGACTAACCTCCAGCACCTTCACCATGACTTCGATCATCTATTGAGAGAGCCAGAATGATAATAGAAAATTCATTTGGAAGACTAAAAGATCGATGGAAATGTGTATCAAAACGGCTAGACGTTTATGTCCAGTTCGCATGTACAGTAATTGCCACATATGTGGTTCTACACAACATACCGGTATGCGCGGGCTAAGTAATGAAATATACAGACCTGAATGGGACGAAATGAACAATGAAGATGACGACAATGATGACGTCCTGGAGGAGGGTATTGATGCATCAGAGTATCCATGTGCTAAGCAGCTCCGTGATGACCTTGTGCTTTGTTTTGCAATGAACTTCTTTGACATTTATTTAATTTTTAAAGAGCATTTGATGATATCAGCTGGAACATTTTGAAAGGTATATAAATTTACAATGAACCCATGATCTACATGTTTTATTATACATGATGAAATTGCAACAAATCAGTTGTCATCGACGTTGCACATTGCGTTAAAGGTTTAATTTTCACTGAAATGTAGAAAAAATGAGAGAGAGTTATTCGTTTGCTTATTTTAACGAAATATTTATTGAACAATTTCAAACAAAACAATGAACAATTGCGTACAATTGTGCATGTATCTACTATGTTGGGAAAAAATGAGTTTTTAAAATTATGCAACACTTAAAGAGGAGAACATGTACACAAGATTGATGCCTGCATATTCCTTTATTCTTATTCCTTTATGTTCATATCTACAAATTATAGTAAGTTGCATTATCAAAGCTACTGGTGCTGTGTTCCTTTGATGGTACATTTTTCCTTGATGCTGGAGTAGGTAAAACGAAAGAGATACTTTGAGATTGGGGTACGTAGCACATACGTACTTCCTGTGCCTCCAAAGAATGAGGATTGTGGTACATCCGTGTTGAGCCAAGGGGGGCGCTGCCCACTAACCAAGCCAATAATCAGATTCATCATACTGAATTGATGCTGGCGTTCCTCTCGTTTCTGTCGTTCTTCCAACTCCAGTTTGGACTTGGTGCTGAAACCTTCCATTACAGCCCCAAAAGCTACCTCCAATCTACTCTTTTTTTTTGCTTTCTTCCCTTTACTGTCCTTTTTCACTGCACTTTCCTCCATTTTTTTTTACTTTTGGGTCATTAGCTTTGCTTGCTTTAGGTGTCTCCTTCTCTTTCTTATCCCCATTCAATGTTATTTCCTCGGTCAGGTGATGTATTGCGTCCATGGTCAAATCTGCATTTTGATCTCCTTTTTCAGCAGATTGTTCTTCAGATGCCTGTTGCTCGATTTCATGTCCATCGTCACTAATTTCCTAGCTTGATTAAGAGAAATCAGCACAGCGTTTTCGGATTCCACTTTCGATCACCTTAACTGGGAAGGATGCAGGTCGAGTTCCCAAAACTGCATAAAGTTTTTCAAAATATTTAAATGTTTTCCTTCCCTTTCCACTTTTCTTCATGTTACCTTTGCACTGACGATAAGAACGCTTCAGAGTGTGTATTCAAACCTTACATTGTTCTTGAGTCCGTTTATAACCTTTGGCTGTCATTTCGGCGGAAATAGTTTTTAAAATGCTTGTACTGTTGGGGGTTTTCTACTTGCTCCTCAATTTCAATTTCTTCCCAGATAGACAGCAATGTAAGTGTTTCTTCTTCTGGCCATGCGGTTCCTCTTCTTCTGGCAGCCATTTTTACGTTAACTTGGCACGCCTTGATTAAATTGGGCAATGTCGCAATACAGAAAGTATTTGCATGCGTGTGTAAAATTTGCTATGCGTTCATATGCCGAAAAATACACTATGAGTAAATGTACACATGCGCAAAAGTAAATTTGCATCTGGTCTGAGTAGATGCAAATTTACACTCGGGTGTATATTTGCAAATATGTATATTTACTTTTGCATATATGCAATTGCGTTCACATGCTCAAATTTACACACTGCAGATTTTGCATGCATGCAAAATTTGCACCCGGTGAGTAAATCGGCGCATGTGAACGGGGCTCTATATCTTTTACTATCCTTGTATTAGGAATGAGCGAGGAGTGCAAGATTTATGAGATTTTTTTACTGCTAGGACAACAAAGCAGTGTCCCTCAAATATTTTTAAACATAATTATCTGCAATATTAAGCTTAACTCTTATTTAAGTGATATGGCCCATAACTTTACTTTTATTTCGATAGAGAAAGCACTTGACACATATTTTTCGTTTTAGCCAAACTTGGGTATTTCTGATACAGGTGATAATAAGATTTTGTCACTACAGATACATCTGTATTATGGGAAAAGTGGAATAAAGTCAATTAAATTGCAGTTTGGTGATGATATCGATATTGGTTTTAAAAAGTTAATAAAAACTTTAACCTTGGTCATAAGTTTTGAACAGTTAGTACTGGGGCTTTCAAATTTCTCAGGTGTATTCCTGGTGACAATACCTTCCTTTGAATACTAACAATTTTGACTTTAACCTTGGAGTTTGACCTACTTATGAAAAACTATAACCTTCGCCATAACTTTTGAACAGATGGTGCTAGGGGTTTTATATTTTGCATATGTATTTCTTATGACAAGGTATTCCCCTGCGTACTATTAACCTTGACTTTTGACCCACTTTAAGAAAGCATTAACCTTGACCATAACTTCTGAATCGTTGGTGCTTGGACTTTCATATTTACCAGGTATATCCAATGACACAAGTCCTTTTTTTGGTAACAACATTTTTGATCTCTTGACCTTGGAGTTTGATTTGCATTTGAGAAACTTTAACCTTTGCCATAAGCTGCCATACGGGGGCATCAGTGTTTCACAAACACATCTTGTTTTACATGCACAGAAAAGATTGTGGCATATTTTGATTTAAAGAGCAACGCTTCATTATTACATTTTCTAATATGAATTAAATAAGTATGACACTAAATATTATTTTGAATTTCATATATACTTCATATTTTTAATTTAATGTTTAATTATTGATCTTTCTATTCACTGTCTCAAATTTTCTTCATATCATGATTAGATATAATAATCATTTATGAAAAAAGTAAGCAACGCTTCATACTTTAAAATATTTTCCATTTCAATCTAATGATATTGTTGTTGATGAAAAATCAATGTTGGAAATTTGGAGAAAAAAATGGTGAGATTTAGAGCAGAGGGATATTACACCTTAAGATTTTATGTTTAAATTAAAGTCAACTACTTTCTTACTAATATTATAAATCATCTAGAGTAGCGTCTTACACCACAGAGGGTTGAATGTAAATATAATAATATTTGCCTGACATGCTCATCATTCGAAG